AGAGATGAAACATTTTTAGGGGATAAAAATATGCCTATATCTACCGTTTTAATACTAAAATACATTTAACAACGCTATGTTTAAGCGGTTTTGAACTATATTCTCGTTGAATGCCCCTGAAGGTGTATCTGTCGTCCAAGCATCAGAGCACAGGTGATTTAGGTAGAATGAGATATCCAAATAGGCTTCTAAGTAAGAATTTGCCCCTCTGTACATGTAATTATCCATTTTATACTGCTTAAAACAGTTTGAATCACCGGGTTAATTTTGGCCAATTTAAGCTTTGTACTGATATAGAGAAGAATCCAGGACCTTCAGTTTATGTAGATGGTGCAAAAACAATTAATGCTCCATACTGTCAAGGAAATGTTGCAGGATCTGGGGAAAATGGTGGACAACGATGTGTCGCAAAGACTCTGTGCGCTTTAATTTACAGTAAGATAACAAAGATTACTTCAGTTGATGATATGACTCAAATAATGATTGCTGGTATTCAATTATATTCTTGTCTGTCACTGCTTGCAAGACAATCTATGTCAATGTTAACAGAATTGCCACGAATGGTTACAGTGTTTGAGCAATTTTTCCACCTTGAATACAGTGACAGTTATACTTGTAACATCCATCACTACTGTATATGCCACTCACAGGTTACAGCATTTGAAACACTCTTGGCACTGAACTACAACTCATTCATTTTAAGATGACTCGACCCAGTTTTTTGGAGGGGTACCATCCTACTTTGAAGCTCTCTGGCATCCCCACCTTTACTTTTATCGTAAGTCTAACACATAGAATGGATAACATATAGATCAATCTACAATATAACATAAAATTTTCGGGGATCAGAGTAAATGTCACGTGGTTATAATGCCACACCCCTTTGAGGTCTGAGTCGAAAATCTGCTGTTGCCGGCATTTTTTCGTGAAAATCTCTCGGCTACACATAGTGCGCATTAGTGCCTTGCGCTAAACAAAGTTTCACCAAAATCGCAAAGACCCAATTCGAGAAATTCAGCGGTTTCCAAATTTAGGTCATAATTTATGCGAAAATGATAAGCAAACTTTACACGGATTATATCTAATAAACTATGAGATTCATCTCTTTATTTTGGGCATCGTTATAACAGATGGGTCCTTGCAAGTCAGCAAAACGCTTTAGGGCCTCGCAAATGCGCGCGATTTCGAGCAAAGCAAACATATAGAAATTATAGTTTTCGCTATTTGTTGACGTTTGTCAGCGTTTAAGAGTGCTTCTCACGAAAAAAGCATTTTCTTAAAAATTCGTAGTTTTTTTTCCTTCAAATTTTTTCAGTGCCACAATTGTTTAACTAACTACCCGGACTCTGCATTTCATGGTCATTGAAAAACTGTGACATTACCTTCTATAAGCCCAAACTTGAGTAAAAATTGAAGATTTTTAGCGTTTTGGCTGAGTTTGTGCTTTGGGAGTTGTCTATTGTTTCTAGTCTGTCATTATACAGCATTCTTGTTCAGCACGCGTGTAATCTGAGATCAGGCTCTATTTTCGTTTCGCTTTGAAAATTACATTCCGGCGGGCAAGACGAAACGAAAAGAGAGCCTGATACAAACCTTTAACGAAATGTCTGCCGCCCACTTTTTTGATTGATTGACATTTGCCGAATCAGCCAATCAGAATTACTTCCGTTGCTTGTTTTTCTAGTATGCAAATTTTTCACGCGTGGGAAAAGTGCAGACTGGGTGACTTAAAAAATAGCTTTTATCTGTTAATCAAAATGCACCTTGTTAGCGGTCAACAACTTGCAGAGGGATTCAACTCCGCGATACACTCACTTTCCGTAAATAAACCAAATGCTGAGAAGATATGAACAACCACATGAATTTTCTGAATTTCCATGGCACATATTAGGGCATATTTTCCTACCATAAGACCATAAAACAATAAAAAGACAGCAAAATCGATCCTTCTCTCCACCGACGACGGATCATTCACGAAAACAACCACGCGAGGAATAAGCGCTTTCAACTTCCGGCGTTTCCGACAGCCAATCAGATCTTGTGGCATTGTTCTAACAGCCAATCAGCATTACGGCCAAAATCTGGCCGTAACGAGCACAAACTTGTAATAGTTTGTATCAGGGCCAATTTCAGCGGTAGCCGTCAGAGAGAATGTATGAGAACCACTCAAATTGGGCCTGATCTCAGGTTAGCACGCGTGCAATGACCACGCTTGGCTGACTTCCAAATGCTCACGAGATATGATAATTTAGCATAAGAAAATAGAAGGGATTCCCGTCACGAGTTGGTTTAATTATTGGCTTGCATTAAACCTATGAAAAAGTGATATTTTTTTAATAGTAAGTAGATTTAGTGTGTAGCACTTTTTGACTTTTTTGCAAAGGCTTAAGAAGCACGAGAATTAATTAAAAATTGTGAGTTAAACCTCTATGTATCACGCGATGGCCTGTCTCACTATACCAAAATTATCATACCTCGGTGAGCATTCGAAAGTCAGCCAAGCGCGGTCATTGCACGCGTGCTGAACAAGAATGCTGTATCATGACAGACTAGAAACAATAGACAACTCCCAAAGCACAAACTCAGCCAAAACGCTAAAAATCTTCAATGTTTACTCAAGTTTGAGCTTATAGAAGATAATGTCACAGTTTTTCAATGACCATGAAATTCAGAGTGCGGGTAGTTAGTTAAACAATTGTGGCACTGAAAACATTTGAAGGAAAAAAAACTACGAATTTTTAAGAAAATGCTTTTTTCGTGAGAAGCACTCTTAAACGCTGACAAACGTCAACAAATAGCGAAAACTATAATTTCTATATGTTTGCTTTGCTCGAAATTGCGCACATTTACAAGGCCCTAAATTGTTTTGCTGACTTGCAAGGACCCATCTGTTATAACGATGCCCAAAATAAAGAGATGAATCTCATAGTTTATTAGATATAATCCGTGTAAAGTTTGCTTATCATTTTCGCATAAATTATGACCTAAATTTGGAAACCGCTGAATTTCTCGAATTGGGTCTTTGCGATTTTGGTGAATCTCTGTCCAGCGCAAGGCACTAATGCGCACTATGTGTAGCCGAGAGATTTTCACGAAAAAATGCCGGCAACAGCAGATTTTCGACTCAGACCTCAAAGGGGCGTGGCATTATAACCACGTGACATTTACTCCGATCGCAAAAAATTTTATGTTATATTGTAGACTGATCTATATGTTATCCATTCTATGTGTTAGACTTACGATAAAAGTAAAGGTGGGGATACCAGAGAGCTTCAAAGTAGGATGGTACCCCCCCCAAAAAACTGGGTCGAGTCACCTTAATGGTGGCAATTATTGGCACTGAGGCTGGGGGATATAATGCATTTGATTCTCATGCTAGAGATATGTATCATAACAGTCATAGTGAAGGGACATGTGTATTGTTGGAAATACCATCCATGCATAAATTAGTGTAATATTTTCAGACTCTACATAGGAATAAGGACATATATGAACTTAAAGGTGTACATATTGCCACCTTTGAGCCGCATCTTTTCTCAAGCAATGTTGAAAATTGTAGTATATGAAATGTTAATAGTTACCATTTTTCCTGTAAATAGTGCTGCCCTATAGCAGTTTATGCAATGTGTTACTCTCTTATTAATCCTTGATACTGGACTTAAGGAACTTTATTTGCCCTTGTTAGTAACCGAAATACACTGTACAAAGTGATGGGTGTGAAAACACATCTGTCAGTATCAGTGGAGCTGAGATAAACCTTACTCTCTGGGCTGTAACCACCTATGTCCTATGTTGTAATTTGGCTCCAAGCATGTCTGCATTGAAGATGTGCATATTTTCAAACATTGTCGTGAAATGACACTATTTTTGTTGTGGTTTGGGACATACTGTATAAGCTGTGTGGTTCAGCAAACAAGTGGAGTAAAGGATTTGTCGTCTCTGGTAAGCTATGATGACAGTTCTTTAGCTGCAATAAGGCATGTTCAAAGTATCTTACCCGTAGTACGACCACGCCCAAATATACGCTCACACAGCCGTCCCCATCCGCCGTCCGTTTGCACACTTTACAGACACCCGAGGCTGGGTCGTACATTTTCATGCGCAAATGAATTGTAGCCAATAAGAGGAGTGAACGATGTTTTTCACACGTGAGAAAAATAATAGCCATGAGAGATGTGTGAGTTTCTCGCCACAATTTCTTGCAGCTTGCAGCGCCATCGCTTTACTAACATTTAACGTGAAAATTTGTGTGTGAAGACACATTTTCTCGTTGGAAAGTGAAAAACAACTCAGAAATTAGAGTGGAATAGTTTTGCATACTTCACTGTCAATGAAGAAAATTGTAGAGAGCCGGCAAAATTAGAGCAGAAGGGGAAAACAGAACGAGACAGAGGCTTAAATTGTACTTTTTGTACAGGGACAAATTTTATTGATAAGATTTGAAATAAAGGGCTGGCATAATCTTGAATGCCTCGGTGTGTATATAATAAACACAATACCACGTGGAAAGTGCTTTGTACAGTATTTACGCACTTCTTGTTTTTGTACGAGAAATCTCACTCGTTCGATTTTTGATACGTCAACAACTCGTGCGGTGCGCACTTGCCATGAAGTATTTTATATTTTAATATATGAAATTGCAAGTCTTTGAGATCTGATAAAAAATAATGCTATTTTTTTTCCTTTTAAGCTCTGAATTAGATATTAATGCGGGAATAAATTTGCTTGCTGATGAGCGACGGTCAGGAAAAATCGTATATATGTGATTCTTAAAAAATGGACGTTCGCCATTTTCCAAATTGGCTTACCGGGAGAATAAAAAATTAAGGAAACAGAAATATTATATGAGATATATTTGAAAGAAATTTATAGCACTTTGCAGCTTTTTAAAAGACGGTGATATAATCTCTACATCAGATACAAGTGGATGCAAACCCTACTCGCGCGCTTTTGTTTAAAGGGAAAAATTGTTACCTATTTTTCAGTCATACTCAGGAGGCGAAGAAGAATTCTTGTCCAGTCACCATCTTGGAATTAATGCTCTAGAATCTGGTGAATTTGAAACAGCCCTGTATTACTTCAACTTAGAACTGAATGAAGCCATAGAGATCGGTAACAAAACCTCAAAAGCAACTGCATATAATGATCTTGGCTTGGCGTATAACTCTCTCGGTAATTTTAAAAGAGCAATCGAGTTTTACCAGCTAGGCGTAAAAATCGCTGAAGAGAATAAAAATGACAATTTGAAAGGAACTTTATATGAGAACCTTGGTGTTGCCTATCACTCTCTGGGTGATTTCAATGAAGCAATCAAGTTTCATCAGGCTGGCCTAAGAATCGCAGAAGATACTGAAAACAAACCTTTAGAAGAAACTATATGTACCAACCTTGGCGTTGCCTATCACTCTCTCAGTGATTTCAGAAAAGCAATCGAGTTTCATTGGCACGGTTTAAGTATCGCAAACCAGAATGGAAACAGGGATACAGAAGGAACTGGATATAACAACCTTGGCAGTACCTATCACTCTCTCGGCGATTTCGAGAAAGCAATCGAGTTTTATACCAAAAGTCTAGATATCGCTTTTGAAACTGGAAACCCAGGTCTAGAAGTAACTGGAAACAGCAACATTGGCAGTGCTTATCAGTCTCTCGGTGATTTCGATAAGGCAATAGCGTTTTATCGGGAAAGTCTGAGTATCGCTAAAGGGACTGGAAACAGAGATGCACAAGAAACTGTATCTAACAACCTTGGCAGTGCCCATGAGTCTCGCGGAGAGTACGAGGAAGCAATCAACTTTTATCGTTCAAGTCTCAGTATCGCAAAAGAGACAGGAAATCAAAATGCACTTGGATCTGGATTCAACAACCTCGGGCGTGCGTATTCATCTCTCCGTGTTTTTGGAAAAGCAATTGAGTTTTTCCAGCTGAGTCTAAGTATCGCTGAAGAGACTGGAAACAGAGATTCACAAGAAGCCGCATATAACAACCTTGGTGTTGCCTATCACTCTCTCGGTGATTTCAAGAAAGCAACCGAGTTTTATCAGCATAGTCTAAGTATCGCTGAAGAGAATGGAAACAAAACTTTAGAAGTAGCTAGATATGTCAAACTTGGCAGTGCCTATCAGTCTCTCTATGATTTTAAGAAAGCAATCGAGCTTTATCAACGTAGTCTACGTACCGCAAAAGAGATTGGAGATAAATATTTACAAATGATTGTATACAACAACCTTGGCCGTGCCAATGAGTCTCGTGGTGATTTCAAGAAGGCACTCAAGTTTTTTAAGCTGGGTCTAAGTACCGCAGAAGAGACTGAAAGCAAAGATGCAGAAGGAAGTGCATATAACAATCTCGGTAGGGCCTGTAACTCTCTCTGTGATTTCAATGAAGCAATCAATTTTCTTCAGCTGGGCCTAAGAATCGCAGAAGATACTAAAAACAAAACTTTAGAGGAAGTTATATATACCAACCTTGGCGTTGCCTATCACTCTCTTGGTGATTTCGAAGAAGCAATCGAGTTTCATCGGCACGGTTTAAGTATCGCAAAACAGAATGGAAGCAAGGATACAGAAGGAACCGGATATAACAACCTTGGCAGTACCTATCATTCTCTCGGTGATTTCAAGAAAGCAATCATGTATTGTCGGGATAGCCTGAGAATCGCAAAAGAGTCTGAAAACAAAAATTTAGAAGGAGGAGCATATAGTAACCTTGGCCGTGCCTATTCGTCTGTCGGTGACTTAAAAAAAGGGATCGAGTTTTATGAGGCTAGTTTTATTATTGCAAAAGAGACTGGAAACAAAAATTTACAAGGAATTATATATGCCAATCTTGGCACAGCCTATGAGTCTCTTGGTGATTTCGAGAAAGCAATCAAGTCTTATGAAGAAAGTCAAAAAATCGTAAAACGGACTGGAAACAAAAATTCAGAAGGAACTGTAGAAAACAACCTCGGTACCGCCTATTACTATCAAAATAAATTTGGACGTGCACAGGAACACTGGAAAGTTGGACTACGTATCGCAAGAGAGACTGAAAACAAACATTTAGAAGGAACTGTGTACAACAACCTTGGCTTGTTCGAATACTGTGTCGGTGGTGTCGGTGGTTTTAACAAAGCAAAGGAACATTTTCAGCAAGGTCTAAGAATCGCAAAAGAAACTGGAAACAAAGATTCAGAATCAAAAACTTATATCAACTTTGGCCGCGTCTCTCAGTCTCTCAATGATTTCGAAAAAGCAGTCGAGTTTTATCAGCGTGCTCTGAGTATCGCAAGAGAGACTGGAAACAAACATTCAGAGCAAGTTGCATTTAGCACTCTTGCTCACGCCTTTTGGTCTCAAGGTGACTTGGTTGAAGCCGAGGAGTTTTTTAAGTCCTCTATAAAACTGTTCGAGGAAATGAGGGTTCTCCTTCAAATGGAAGACGAGAGGAAGATTAGCTTTCGAAATAAACTTGATTGTAGTCAGTGTTTGATGAAACTTCAAATACAACGAGGCAACATCCTCGATGCGCTTTCGACAGCTGAGAAGGGACGAGCACAAGCTCTTATGGATCTCATGGAACTGCAATATGCCACAAACGCCAGAAATTCTACTCAAACGGCTTCAAAACAGCAGATGGAACCTCCAATATCTAGCGTCGTGTCAACTACGCTATTTTCAGCTGAAGACACCGAAACAATGAATTTCTGGTTACTGAGGAAGGGGCAGAGGTGGCATTTTGAGCAACAGGAATTCAGTGAGAACAAGATAAAAGCATTGACTGAGAAAACATACGATACGATTGGTGTCAAGAGGAGTGTGGGGTTTGACGAGGACTCGCAGGATGAATCAGATGATGAAGATGAGATGGAAGACTTATTCTATAGAGGTGAGGAAGAATCGGTATCATTACCACAAGACGAGAAGGGTTGCTTAAAAACATTGTATGACTTGATTATCGCTCCAATTTCACGCTTGATAAACGATGATGAACTCATCATTGTTCCTGGCGGCTCATCATTCTTGATTCCTTATGCAGCCCTCATGGACCAAGATTCTAGGTATTTGTCTGAAACGTGGAGAATTCGATTGGCCCCATCACTACGAAGCTTGAGGCTGCTGGCAGAGTGTCCAGAGGGCCACCATAGTACAACCGGTGCGCTACTTGTTGGTAATCCGTGGGTGGAAACTGTACTCGTAAAAAATAAACAAAAATCATTCCCGCGGCTTCCAGGTGCTGAGGAAGAAGTACAAATGATTGGACAGATTCTTAACATTCAACCTCTCATTGGAAAGAACGCTACAAAAGAAAACGTTTTAAGAAAGATCAACAAAGTTTCCTTAGTACACATTGCAGCTCATGGTCTTGGAGAAACAGGAGAAATTGTTTTGTCTCCTAATCTTGCTAGTTCGGGCATACCCAAGGAGAAAGACTTTCTTTTAACGATGGCAGATGTGTTAGATGCACATCTCCGCGCTAAGCTTGTTGTCTTAAGCTGCTGTTGCAGTGGACGTGGGAGGATCAACGCCGAAGGTATGGTTGGTATTGCACGCGCTTTTCTGGGATCCGGTGCACGGTCTGTTATTGCGTCACTGTGGAATATTGATGACGTAGCCACTCTGGAGTTCATGAGACACTTCTACAAGCATTTGGTAGCGGGGCAAAGTGCAAGTAAGTCGCTTCATCATGCCATGAAATGGATGCGGGAGTCAGAAAAGTTCAATGAAGTGAAGCATTGGGCGCCATTCGTACTAATTGGCGATGACGTGACATTCAATTTTGGCCAGTGATGAAAGGTGAGACCCCCCCCCCCCCTTAAAGATGAGGTAGAGAATTGATCACTTGTTTAAGGTTTTGCGAAAGGAAAGGGTTTTAACCGTTTCTTGTCCCCGATCGTAAATTTGGAGAGCAAGCCATTATTTCCCTAACGTACAACCGAGAAATAAACTACACAAAAACTTAGTTACTTAATCTACAGATCACAGAATTAGAAAGTCACACGTTGAATAAACACCATAACAAGAAAATAAGTTTCGTTTTCATTGGATTGAATATTTACAAATGAAGCCTCCATCCGAGAATTGTGACGTGGGTTAAAATTCCCCCGGGGGTGTGCAATGTGATTTTCCCTGCCCTATTTCAGACTTGAAACGTCTTCAAGAGCCAAGAGACAAAACTTAAAATAAAATGAAATAAAACGAACTGATAAGAACATACCAAATGCCAATCTTCTGGAATCCCCTAACCTTAATGTTATTCAGACCCACTATAACTCAAGAAAGCCGGGTTTCCCCTCTCCCCGGAAAATCCTCACTTTGTCACTGATAGAGAACCCATTCGCTTATTAGTTACCGGGGGGGGGGGGTCACTCAAGGGAAGTCTGGGTGGAGCTGTGCCGCTGAGGCCTTCAAACCCCGACGCTGTTTAAGACAAAAATTACTCATTTCTATACCCTGTTCAACACAGGAGACACTACTTTCTGACCCTGATTTGTTTTGTTTTGCATACAGAATTAAGTAATTTTTCACACTAAAATCGTGGAAATGGATTTTGAGGAAAAAAATTATTGGTATTGCAAATTTAGACCGCTCATCGCAAGTCTTCGCTCTGTTTAAAAGGATTCCAGTCCAAAAAGACACCCTGTTCACGACGCCTAATAGTGAAATTGTATACCCTGTTTAATACTCAAGACCTTGAAAACCATACCCTGTTCAGTGGCACATACCCGTATAGGCCAAATAAGGGAGTGCCCCCGTGAGATTATACCACAATAAAAATGTTAGAAATTAACTTAGTACCTGTTGTTCTCTTGCTTCCACTGCAGAGCTAACAAAAGAAACAGATGGAATTCTGATCCGTGTACATATTTGGAATCGCTTTTGCATCCCCATTGCTCCACTCTGGGTATTACAGGATAAAGCTGATCGTGTTACCCAAGAGAGAATGAGCTACATAATGAACGGAACGCGCGGATTAAGTGTCAGCAACTAATGAACTTTGCTGTAATGGTAGTTAACCTTCATGCCACGTTCACGTGAAAGGAGGTGGCGCGTTTAAACGGACAAAAACTAACCTTCGCAGCACTCGAGCGAACTAAAAGATTTTCATGGGGCACAGGGATTCGCTCTTTCAGCTCATAATCATTTGTGTAATCATGGTATTCTGTAGCTACACTGGATATTTAACTGTGTCCTGTGTCACGTAGTCTCCTTCGCAGCCGCTCAGGCGCTCCACGCCCACACGCGTGACTCCGGCCCGAACGGCAGCCAAGGAGACTATTTGTCGGGCAACTTTTTCACAATAGAGAGCTTAAGCAACTACGAAGACGACGACCTCGACGATCGTCTGCTACACAGTCGTTTTTGGTGCCGTCACACAACGCTCCTCTGTGGGGAGGAGCGTTGCGTGACGACACTAAGAACGGCTGTGTAGCAGACTACCTCTACGACAACTTCAAAAAACAATTGGTTTTATGAGCAAAACAATAGCTCTGCAAGAGCATCACGCTTTTTAGTATATTTCTTTGACGTCCACTGCACGACTACGACGTGAAGCCTCCCAATGCGTCGTTTCATGGAGGACGTGAACATACGACGACGAATTCCCTTTTCTCTCTTTGAACCTGGATAAAGTCCTTAAGAATTCAACTCCAGGAAAAGTCGCCTGCATTTGACATATTGAGCAGGTCCAAATGGACACGATAAAGGTTGAAAGAACGCAAATTCATTTTTTAAGCGAAGTTTTCACTACCGTCGTCGTTGCTTAAGCTCCGTAATTTAGACAGGTAGACTACCAGCCCTTTATTTTTCGTCGGAAATGGTAGAGCGAGCAAAATTCGCAAGCGGACGCGAAAGTCGCCACCCTCGAGGAAGGTGACTTCCCCATACTTTTCACCTTCCCCGCGGTTAGCAATTTTCATGTGTGCTCTGCTATCTGCAAACTACAGTTGAACCTCCATCAAGTGGCCTGCCATGTGGTACCCGACCCTGGGGTACCCGACCCTGGGGTATCCAACCCGCAAGTGGCCGCTTACTTAGCCTGCGAGCAAGCTCTGTTAGCAAGGCCACACCCTACACCTGGGATCCCTAGGAGAGCTTGCTCGCAGGCTATCGCGTACTGAAGGTTGGCCTCTCAATAGAGGTTTGTCAGAAATGAGTATTATCTTTAGCTGAAATATCACGTTATTTAAAAACAATCGCGTGACCGGAAGTTACTGGTCCACAATCGGTCGTCACCTTCTATCTCGGACTGTTTTTTTTTTTTTTTTCATCATGTTCTTGAAATGAAGCCAAACTAGGTGTATAACGCTTTATGGCCGCTTAATAGCGGTGACAATAGGAGAACTCTCACTGGGACGGCCAAAAGCTGGCCGTGTTATTTCTCATTCTTTTCTACAGTAATTTCGCGACTTTAATTACTGGCCGCTTGATAGAGGTGTGGCCGCTGGAGGTTCGACTGTACTTGTTTTCTAGAAGACTGCAGTCAGTAGGGGAGGAGGGGGGGGAGGGTTGTTAATTGAAATGTCATTAGAAACAAATAAATATAGAAATACGAAACTAAAATGATGTAAACACGACGAGCAAGTCAGACTTGACCGAATCAGTAACGAGTTGCGCTTGCGTAGTGAACTTATCTTGGGACAGATGTCATTTAGTACATAGGAAATGTTTGGCGCCCGCCTATGCAAAATTGCTTTGACAGATCATGGGATGGCTCAACGAGTCTGTAGTTTAATCATCGATGGAGGCTCCTGAGAATAGTGAATGGGGGATCCAGTAGACTGTACAATATGACACTGAATTTTTACAGGATTAAGTTCGCTTTTATTATATTTAAAAACCCAGACAAAATAATTAACTGTTGCAATAAAGACTAACCCTAATAAAGCCAAATATTATTGAATTAAGGCAACTTAGAAACTTCAATAGAAACGAGCTTCCTACATGTACAAGCATTTAAATAACAAGGAAAATGGCAAAAGAGTTTAAAAAATATTTACAATTCAAAGAGCATGTTCTCTATCTGCTTTATGAAAGGTTTGCTTTCCTGCCATTTCATTGTGAAGGAGTTTTGAACCAGCTCGATTATTTTAAGTTAGGTGTAAAACCCATAGTCATTTTATACAAATAAGAAAATATTCTGTAAAACATAATCACAGTCAAAAATGTTTAGAAATCGTGTATTGCCTGTTTTATCCTGGCTAATTTAGCTTTCAGCACCTATAGAGAGAGCCTCACTATGCCTCACGTGAGCCCAGGGCGTGTTTCAACGCCCTGTGGTATTTCCGTTGATTCAAGCATGTTCATGGCACACGAAGAAAAAAGTGCTAAAAATCGGTCACACATGAGTCTAAACTTAATGTGATAACACATCGTAATCATCAATCGAGAAAATAAAAATAAGCTTAGCTCAAGTGAAATTTTGGTGTTTTCCGCTTATTGATTCTTCAATAAACAAGACAAAAAACAAATGGGGCAGTCAAAACCTACGGAAAAGCTCGTATCTATTACTGCCTAATCCCTAATTACCGCTGTGAAAAAGGAGACATTGAGAAAAACCCGCCTTCTTAAAAATCGATTGGAAAAATCTTTTAGCTTACAGTAAGTTACATTCTCGTTACAAATGGTAAGTTAAAATCTGTCCGTTTGGATAGTACTGCTCAAATGGTCTCCCATAATATTTTTCGAGGAAGCTTCTCAGAAAACCACTGTGTGCGAAAACAACAATATTTGATTCAGGTCGGTTTTGAAGGAAATCGTGAAATCCCTCGATTCTTTCCTGAAAATGACTTCCATCGTACGTTTCTCCCAACTTGCAAGTTCCGTTGTTTAAGACAAATTCGTAGCATTTTCTTGGATCTGTTAGTTGACCCTTCAGCTTTTCATCCACATACCACCAAACTTTGGAAGGCACATTGCTGAAATCAACTGTCGGATACTTCTTGACCAGGTCTTCTTTCAGAGTTCCAATATCACAGAGCGATTCTCCTATCTCGCGGCAAAGATGTGAAGCAACCACTTTTTCATTTCCATAGGTCAGCAAACAGGTCTCGATTGCTCTACTCAAAGGGGAAGTGATGGCGACTTCTGCATTCAGATCCTGTATTTTCTGTTGTATCGTCAACGCCTGTTTTTTGCCATAAGTGCTTAAGGGCGCATCCAAGAGAGCATCGCTCTGTAGTCCTTTGTCGAAGCGCGTCAAGTTTTGTCCTTCTTCTGCTTCGTTCCAGGTAGATTGGAAGTGGCGAACAAAGTGAACTGTTTTACTCTTTATCGGCATGGCTAAGACTTGTCTCAAACGTTGTCAGTTCTACCGTGATGACGGACTCAACTGATCGACTGACGGTTAAAACGCAGAGTTAAATAAGATTTCCTGCAAGAACTTTGTCACGGCAGTAACACGACGTGTGAGACCAAGTCATGCTGTTGCCTTGAAGCACGCGCGACAAGCCTTGTCGAGCTTCCGGGACACGAGTTTTGGTCGTGTGTTATTGTCGCGCCAAACTCATTTCATAAATTATATTTATATTACAGTACAAGTTACTTAGAAGTAAATCATATTTGAGAACTGCGTATGAAGATAATAAGTTACCCCTTTTCTTTTTTAACTGCCAGGATCACATACTTTTTAAAATTAAAAAGTTCACCAAACTTTCTTGTTTCATTTTTATTTTCTGAATGTTTTGTTTTCTGCAACAGCTATTTACTTTGACTGTACTTTAATTTGCGACATCTGAAACCACGTCATACAGGAGTAACACTTGCTGAAGTCGACATATGTTTGAAACGGGCCTGCCTGGGGATCAGGACGACTTTCGTGCGACGAGTCCTTGAGTTTGTAGGACCGGTCATATTCCTGGCCGGATCATGTTAAATGTCGTCACTAAGCGAGCTACAAAAGATCCAAAGGACAGCAAGAAACAAAATGATGTAACAGCTTACATCTCAAAAAAGGATGCTTCATTGTATCGTAAGAAAGTCACTTCTTAAATAAAGTCTATTTAAAACCTGCTTGCTAATGTTTTTTTTAAGCAGAGATTCACTCAGAGAAGGATAAATACATCGATTCCTTTGGGGAGTTTGTATACCACCTATCAGTGGTTGAGAGAGGTTTTTAATAAACTTGAATTATTATTTCAAGTCATTCGTCACAAGTTTTGTTAAGTTTAAAACTATTTATTACCTCCAATTTTAGACTGTACGTGCTGAAAATAGCGACTCGGCCCAGTCCCGCTATTCCTCACGTGCGCTGTAGGCGTGTTTTAGCGCCATGTGGTCTCTCCGTTTCTTTTCAAGCACGAGCAAGGCACACGAGTTGTGATATGATTTTCTTTGCTCTGACTTGAAATGACCCATTGACCGTTCGATCTTGAAAACATTATCACCAGATCGCTTAATTCTACGTTAAAGAGATAATCCGCGATAAAAACCAAAGTCCAAGTCGTGCTTAAGTCGAGTCATTTTGCACAGCACGACGTTTGAAACGGGCCCTAAATTTGAAATCAAACAGTAAAAAAGCAAGGCTCACTGTACAGCTATGAGCTTATATTTTCTTTTAATATTTCGTCATTTCCTGACGGATTGTTGGAAGAAAATATAATTTCATAGCTGTACAGTCAGAATGGCGTTTGAATGTTTGCATACAAGAAGTTTTCCTGACTAGATCCATCAAGATCCGGCACCTTTGTTTTGTACGTTGGTCCTTGCTATTTATTACCTAGATGCCAGTTTAAAGTGACCACCACTTGCATTATAGAATGACTGACCTCTCATGCAATGAGTCCAAGTTCAGATTTCTCGCCCTTGTGACCAGGGCTAGCCTACCATGCAGACCAACGTTCTTAGGGCCTTCCTCACTCGTTCCTGCCTCATGCGTGGGAAACTAGACCAGCACGGGCGGATTTAGGGGTCGGCCGAGTGGACTGCTGCAAACCCTTTTGTTTGTGAAATTTTGCATTATTTTTAAAGAATTTTCTATGAAATAAATAGTATCTAAATAGCTGGCAAGTGTGTGTCGCCCCTCTCTGAATTTTATGGACCTGCTCCTGACCTGGGCTTACCCTTGTCGGATTATACAATCACAAGTTAAAGTTCTTGGTTATCACATAGTTAATTGAGTGGAATGGTTATGAAACCCGTCAGACTCCTTTGTTATATGTTTTTGTGGACCTGAAAGTGCACAACGTTCAAAAGAATTCCTATCATTTTGATTGTATTGACCAATAAAAACGTTGCATTAATTTCTTCCGTAACAATTTGCCAACAGAAAACAAAGGATTGTGCACTTTCACGGTGCTTTGAACATAAACTGCAGCACTGTTGTTTTTATCATTGATGTTTGCCGCTTTTCATAACCAGTCTCCTCTAATAACTATGGTTATCATGATGATTTACAAAAAATACATGATTATTGGCAGTCTAGGAGAAAAACAGAAGCAGCCACTTTGCGTTTAGACCTAGCAATAAAGGAAAAGGAAAACAAAACAGAGCTTCTGAATCTTTCAATGACAAAATAAAGCTTTAGGAGGACAACAACATCCAAAACTTTTTCTGAATTTGGGTAAGCTACAATGGGCTAATACTTCATGCTGTATAGGGCCCTGGACCTCATATCGTATTCGTTTTCTGCACGGTAAATCAATTGCAGCATTTCAATTGTAAATAGCGGTAAATGGTAAGGAGTACGATCCCGGGGGGACTCTCCTATAAATGTGACGGGGATGCTTGTTGGAAAATTAAAATTAAACCCGTGAGGGATGACCAAAGGGTCTGTGGCCCAAGCTTTATAAACTAACTAGACTGGAGATTTTTGTGTGGTCAGTGTCACGGCATTTTTTTGTAAATTTATTTATGCACAGCCCTGAGCGATACCTAAATGGGCAAATAACAATGACTTTACGTCCCAAACACTTTAAGCGGGACCATAGTCTGCACTTTACACCCCTAAGCGAGACGATGAGTATCTCCATCACTTTTATATGGGAGTTCCCCCCGGGATGGGAAGCGAAAGATGTTCTAAAAATAAACTGGCAAACTTGTTTTTTGAATTATAGTTAACGACACTACCGAATGTTTATACGTTGGATTGGACACAGATGGAAATCGAGAAGACAAAGGTTTTCTGTTGATTTTGGGTCAAAAAATCTGTGAGGGAGAAGACGAGAAATAATTGGGAGTTTAATCAACGACGACGGCGACGGCTACAAATGCGTCACTTTAAAAGTGAATTCGCGCTGCCTTAACTCTGTTTGGAGTTGAATTCTAAAGGACTCTATCGAAGTTCAGGAAAAGAAAAAGAAAGTTGTTGTCTTATGATCACTTCCTCGACAAACCGTGAAATTAGGCACTTTCACCGCCACGTCGTAGTCGTGCAGCGACGGAAAAGAAATGTACAAAAGAGGGTGCTGCACGTGCAAGGTTGTTATTTGCCAAAACCTATTGCTTTTTTGCCGCTCTCGTTGACGTCGTTGCTTACGCTCCCTAATAAAACACGGAGCAGACGATACGTACTTTTTTGGAGATCTTAGTGTACCTACGACTTTGGTTTATCACAGGTAGCCCAAGCTCGAACATTTGAATAAACATTAAGCATCCACCCTCGCCTCGGGGTACCAGCAAATGGCCGCTTAATGGAAGTTGGCCACTTTAAAATAAACCTCTTAAGCTTGTACTGTTTTGACTTTCCAGTGAAAGTCTTGGTGGAATTTGCCCTTTGTCTTTCATAAATTATGCGTACATACGCGCGTCGTTTTTAGCTTTCGCAAGATTCTCTCGTTTGATCACTTTTGAAGGAGTTGTGTCACGAAATTTATCGAAATTAACACAGTGCATGGGAACTGTACCCAAATTGAGTAAACGATTAAAAAAAACGCTTAAAATATTAAAAGAAGGTACATATAACACAGCATATACAAAAGAAAGCACAGATGCCGAGGACAAACTTGAAGAAGATTAAAACAGATTACATTTGTGTTTTTTGAAAACTTGTTAGCCTAGTAGTTTTTCAAAGTTCATATTTGTTGTAACGTTTGTGACAATCCTTGGGAGACATGTTTGTTTGACATGAAGTTGTGATTTTGTCATTTGCCAATTTGCAATTTTTCTGCTAAAGTTAAGTTCCGTTGCGAAGAAAGACGTGTAACTAGCAATACTAACAAACAACCTTAACGTGACCCAATTTTGCCCCTGAACGTCTCGGTAAACGTCTGCCCCCGCACTATATAAGGTAAAGAACAGTGAAGGAGTCAATACACTCTACAATAACACACATCTAACCGGATTCAAGTCTTTTTATTTTTAGTTAAAAAGCCTGAGAGAAAAATATTAAATGTTCTAATATACACTTACTCGCCTAAATAAGTAATAGCTAAAACGAATTAAGACTTGAAGAAAAATGTTTGAACAATAGCAGCATAAAATCTTTAATCGAAACAAGCTCCCTGTATTTTTAAATATATACAAAAAAGGTCAAGTGAGTAAAAATAAAAAATAAAAAAATAATAAAGAAACAATCCACAGATAAAAGAGCAAAAAGCGTTCTATCTTTCAGCTTCTCGACCCAGTCCTACTATGCCTCACGCGAGGGCTGAGAGTGTTTCAGTACCAAGTGGTATCTCACGTTGATATGGCACACGAGTCGAGGTGTAAGTTTCTAAATGATTTATGTTCCATTGAACGCGATAGGCTGCTTAATTTCTGTTAAATTTTATGATCAAGCAAGTTCTTATTAAGGCTAATAATTCCCGATAATCCACGATAAGAGAGCTAAATTGAAAACCAGCTTGTTCAAAGTTCACCGGCGCGGTTATCGGTTCTCAAGTAAACAAGACAAGAGATAACAAAGCTCGTAGCTATCACTGCTTGATCCTTGATAAATAAATAGCGTTGAGAAAAAAGGGGATAAAAACTTACGCACAAATTGACAATAAATTGTTACATAGAGTATGTCAAAATCTGTCCGTTTGGATAGTACTGCTCAAACGGTCTCCCATAATATTTTTCGAGGAAGCTTCTCAGAAAACCACTGTGTGCGAAAACAACAATATTTGATTCTGGTCGGTTTAGAAGGAAATCGTGAAATCGCTCGATTCTTTCCTGAAAATGACTTCCATCGAAGGTTTCTCCCAATTTGCAAGTACCGTTGTTTAAGACAAATTCGTAGCATTTTCTTGGATCTGTTAGTTGACCCTTCAGCTTTTCATCCACATACCACCAAACTTTGGAAGGCACAATGCTGAAATCAACTGTCGGATACTTCTTGACCAGGTCTTCTTTCAGAGTTCCAATATCACAGAGCGATTCTCCTATCTCGCGGCAAAGATGTGAAGCAACCACTTTTTGATTTCCATAGGTCAGCAAACAGGTCTCGATTGCTCTACTCAAAGGGGAAGTGATGGCGACTTCGGCATTCAGATCCTGTATTTTCTGTTGTATCGTCAACGCCTGTTTTTTGCCATAAGTGCTTAGGGGCGCATCCAAGAGAGCATCGCTCTGTAGTCCTTTGTCGAAGCGCGTCAAGTTTTTTCCTTCTTCTGCTTCGTTCCAGGTAGATTGGAAGTGGCGAACAAAGTGAACTGTTTTACTCTTTATCGGCATGTCTAAGACTTGTCTCAAACGTTGTCAGTTCTACCGTGATGTCGAACTCAATTGATCGAATGAAGTAAAAACATGGAGTTAAATACGATTCCCTGTAAGAACTTTGTCACGGCAGTAAAACGACGCGTGTAACCAAGTCGTGCTACTGCCGTGAAGCGCGACAAGCCAAGCCGTGCTACAATAGCACGTGCGACTGCAAAGGTCGTGTGTCTACCGTGACGAACTCATTTCATAAATCATATTAAAATACATTTGAAAAGATCGTGAAAGCGGTTTGTTATGTTTGTGTTTTGCCTTTTTCACAGTCGGGCTAAAACACAGCTATAGCGTAGCAAGACGTTTGAAACATGCTCAAGGTTAACCTGCCATTACGATTCTTTCTTTTTTTCGGAGAAGCGCGAAGTCGGCGAATGGGCGCGCAAAGGAGAAAAAAAGACCGGAAGAAAGACTGCCTGATCGAAGGGTATAAGCCGCCGGGGAACGAATGACTCTCACGCGACGAGTCCCCGATCAGATTTCCTGTCGTCATGTTTTTAAAAATAACATCACTTTACTTGCCTGTGTACAGCCGCAACTAGGGTGCGACTGTGCACAGGCTCCTCTTTACCATCTGAATCAACGCGAGGCAGAAAACAGAAAAAAAATCTAACAGCTTACCGTACAAAAATGAAGCTGCATTGCAGGGAAGGAAGTGAGAAAAAAGAAGAAGAAGAAGAAAAATAAAGCGATTTCTTTAGGTAATTCCGACCAAGAGGTCATTGGTTACGTGGTGTCTCGTCTCGTGACTGGGCTATAAAAAACCTAAACTGGGTCACGAAAGCGAGTTGACTTTACAACACTTCAATCATCTCAGGCATTTGTCACACGTGACGAATCCCTAAGGACGACTGCGTAGAAGCCTACAGTAGTCGTCGAATTTCTTGACACAGTTTTGGCCTTTTCTGTCCTTTTAATGTTGTATTTATATTGCCTATCAGTTATCAATGCTCCAAAATACCGGTGGCCCAACATTGAGAAAGAAGCGAAAATTAGCGTGACAACAATGAAGCTCAAAGGTTTTGCTTCTTTTGCAACGAATTGTGACGACTATTTTAAGTGTGTTAGAAGGGAATGAACTTACCCACAGAGGCACCTGAAATTCTCCATTTTCTAAACTTGGTACGGCATGCAACCACAAAGCTTCTTGGGATCGTTCGGTGGCACAACACGAAGGTCAACAAACAAGGCGCATTACGACTCTCCAAACTACAACCTAAATTCAGAAATGCAACTAATCTTCACTATTAAAGAATCCTTGAAAAGCCTGATGCACCTGTAACGTCTTCTACAGTCACAATGACCATGAGAGCCTTTTTTAGCACGTGGTTTGCTGCTGTCTGCCATGTTGTTGCTGTTGGTTCTTCCAATCGATCCCCAGAGCCTTTGCGGTCTTAAGTCGTACCAGCTCACCGCTCGTCTAGAACATCGCCAAAATAAGCTGAGTGCAACCCTTGCGAACATTACTTCATTTGCTTAAGGGCACAACACAAGTACTCGTGGACACGGTATAAGACATTTGTAATATAATTTCTTTCAACTTTTTTCTCTCTACATATGCACAGTATAATCAGATTTCTCTATTTACGCGTAAACTTTCCTGCAAGTTAATAGGGAAGAAGGGTTACGTCAGGCATCAACTGACAGTCCGCTCTACATACCAAAAATTCTGACTTTGACAACCACCCTCGCTTTGACACAACAAAATGCCAAGACACGGGGGGAATATCATCTATAACCTTGGGTATTTAATCTTTTATACACTCTCTACACTAAAATGCTATCTACTTGCACAGTTACCAAGGCAACTATAACCACGAACACTTCACGGCTTGTATGTATAAAAATGTCACTTGTGGTTTTTAAGGTTGCCTACTTATACAGCTGACGCGGTTACTGGGAAACCCTTAGTGATGGAAAGCGTCTCTATTAACAGACAACCACACTTCCCGGTGATTCAGACGTAAGAAGCCAGCTTCCTCAGTGTTCCAATTAGAATCATCAGTATCAATGTGACGTTGCGTCGTGGCGCCGCTACGATTTCCCGCCATTTGTTATTAGAATTGTCAGTAGCACATAACGTTTTTTCCTGTCATGGCTACGTTCACCTTTTACAAATCTTGCTCTAAGGACAGTCTTTAAGAATGCGACGTCATTTTCGCGGCACCGTTACGTTTTCTAACTGAAGTATTCAAATGGAAGTGGCCGCCATCTTTATTTTCGAAACTTAAATATTTGATCCAACTCATTGTAATTGCTGATAAAGTGATCAGTGATCAGTAAGATTAAACTAAAGTCCAGTTTAACGGGAAAAAGCATCGGCGCCACAATTTTTACCCACAAGCTACTCCCTTTGAGTAACTTGTTTATTATTAAACTATTAAAACATTACCAGTTTCAAAACTTACTTAGAGCTACAAGGAAGCGGTTTAATACTGACCTAATATTATGAAAACTAATACATGAATTACAAATTCAATGTTTTTGTTGTTAGGGTCGTAAAACTGTTTATCACAGCATCAAGAAGACCGCAGACTTTTTGCTGTAGATCTCGTTAAAATCATGTTTCATTTTTTAAACGCGTTTTCCTTTTTAATAAAATTGAAAGTATGCCGCCGCATCAGAACCTTTTTAACAGAACAACTGAAGTTCCAGACTCCAGATGCAGTTTCAGTCATGTTCAAATTGCACCAAGTATCCATTTATGCCCTGCTGCAATATTGCAATATTAATGAAGCAAAAACTGGAACTCGGCGCGCAACACTGCAGTCTAAAAAGCACCTCTTCAACGGTTGATTTCATCGATCGCACGATGACATCTATATTTTAATGTGCCGATTAGCGAGAACACGTTTCACAAGAAAACTCAAGGAGTAGATCAAGATTTTTAAGGTTTTAGCAAGCCAAAAAATTGGCAGCTACGACAGCGTAATTTTCATTCTCTCCGCATTTCCTTCGCTTACATAATTTGTTATCATCAGTAAAAAATAGAACAAGCTTATCGCCGGGTACAAATCCCCTTCTGACGCATGACTACATGCTGTCAAATTGTTAGACTTTAAAACAAAACGAAAAGAGGGCAACCAACGCTCTAAAGTACGCATTCAGGAAAAGTGCACTTTTCACAGTACAAAAAGGTAGGGTGCAACCACTAAGAATTAACTCAAGCGCTTTCGTGTAGTTCCGTTGAATTTTCTAATATTATCTGAACCTGTGGACACCTTCTGGGTATAAACTAAAATGGTCAGTAAACGCAGATGATTAAAGTACACAAATAGACTTCAGTAGACATGAAAAGGAATTTTGATTTCTAGGCCTCCGATAAGAATTCAGTAATTGGGGTATAACCTGGTCTAAAATCACAGGCGTGGTTTGAAAATCGAACAGGTGTGCTACACGAGTTCAAATTGAAATCATAAGTACGATTTCATACTATGACTGCGCCATACGACGTTCAATTACCATTATATTACCTCCACTTTGAAATCGCACAATTAAATCGCTTAATACAGGATAAGTTTGATATTCCTTTGAATTTTGAACTTAAGAAAGGACAAGGTTTAGTAAAGTTAAGTGAAAATCAACAAGAAAATTTTATCTTGCGGCCCGTTTAAAAATTGGACCTATGAAACACGAAAGGAAGCAAGCTTCAATTTGACACTGTTCCTGATTTAGACACATGGTAGTAGAGCAAGAGTTTGATTTGTAGTGTTAAACTACACGAAAGAATATGAATTGACAATCACTGGCCAGGCTTACAAAAAGGATTTGAACCAACGTTGTAGTCTCGAAAAAATAACCGGTGCTTCGCGATTTTTCTGGCACTACATAAAAGAGAGGATCACTTCTCGCATAACTGTGTTGGTTGCCCTACAATGTAAAAATAACGCTAAAAAACTTGCAAGATTTATAAATCGCTTTCCCTTCTAGTTCGCGACTTAGGACTATCAACTAAGCTTTTGGAAATCCAGCAATACTGAAACCTCACGGGCCAGCAATATTGAAACCTCACGGCTGTCTCTCCTTAGGAGAAATTAATAAACTGGACTCTCTCCATTTGTTAACCGATAACTTATTTTACATTCGCTTCAATAACTGGACTTCAATCAGCCCGTTTTATCTTTTTGTAAGACGATTTAAAAGCTAACTTGTACCAATTACAGTGTAATCGTGCCTTGTCATGTCCTTTACGTGCGAAGTACGCACGTGTCGTTAGGCATACTTTTGGCACGTGCGGGAATCGATTTTTCCTCTTAGCTAACAACAGCTCACACTGTTGAGATGTCCACGTGCTACGGGCGTGCATGACGTCACATCGACGACCTAAGGGTTCAATCCGTTTTTACACTCCTCTACGTAATAAGTCATAAATTGTCTTTTCTCACCTTTCGTTTGAGGAGGAATATTGACAATCATGTGTAATTCTAAGTACAATTTATAATAGAAATGACTTCTCTGTTCATTAAGAATTAAAATAATCTAGCTCTATTATAACTTAACCCTTAGCTATGTTATGGGTTCGACATAATTTTCTGGTACAAGACCTGTCCTCCCGTTTAATGTTCCTTCCAACCAGCCTGGTTCTTTTGAAGGTCGAACTAAGGACAAAACAAGAAAGAACATGTAGCTCATTCAAAGGACAGTAAAACGATAATTTTTTTCAATTCTTTGTCTTAACTAGTCTAAAATTAAGCAAGATGCGCTTCGATAGTAACACACCTATTCTTGAAAACTCCACTCCGACTTTTCAAAAATTCTTTGCACTTCTTTCCCATTCGTCATTAGTCAGAAACACTTTTTCACAGTATTTCTCAAACTAGCCTAATAATTTACAGCGCTGACGACTATGCCACTAATTTGAATTTTCATTAACAGAACGCGTCTTTCAGCTGGATTTGAAAGTAGGACTAAATCTTTGCGACATTGCCGTTAAAAAGCCAGGTGCGAAAGGGAAGACACGGAGAAAAAACACGGGAAAACTGAAAGGAAGACAAAAGAGACCTTTTCAAAAAGGCTCCCTAGATTCATTTGGTTTGGAGCCATTTTTAAAACCAAACCAGACTACAGCAACAGTGTTGAGTATTTGGCTTACCGTTAGTGATGACAAGACCAGCATCGAAAGAAAGCTCCGAACTGTTTTCCGCTACACAAGGATATATAGTCTTAACTTTCCTGTAGCAAGAAAAGAAAAATGACCATTCATTTAAAATATAACACTACGACTTTAAATACAAACTTAACATCGCACGAACATGTTAACATGGAAAAACGATTTTAAACTCTTGTTTTTTTTAAGTTGTCTGATATTTTTAGAAAAAATTCTCGTCGCTATTGCTGAGAAGAAGGCAGAAATACAACCATATTTTTAACAAATCTGCGCCCAGTCAAGGTAGATCCAAACAAATTCAGAAAGAGCTGGGTTAGGAGGGGGAGGGGGTACACAAGCACCAGGGGAACCCCCTGGATTCGCTCCTTCGTTACAACTTAGCTTACACCTACCACTAGACTATGAGTATTTTTGTTTACCAAGACTAAACATATTTCTTACTTCGGTGTTTTAGTTTGTAGAGATGGTTGTGGCTCTTCTTGCGGCGGTGGTTCCCGAGGGAGAGGGGGTGGACCGGTCCCCCAAGACTGCAGTCCCCTGTTGAGGCTCCCACCCTGACTGCTGACACGGCGGATGACGGGCGCTGAGTCGTCCCTGGTAACAACAAAATATAAACGGGCCAACATTGGTCATTTTCAGATTCCGCTCGAGACTGGGTCGGCGCTATTACGCAATGCTTTATGGGACTGTTTTTGACGGTAAATTTTGGCTTCCTACGCATCTTCTTAAGAATCCTTAAAAGAAATAATATCGTCGCCCAACCAATCCCATGGTGTAATTCAAGAGACCGAACCAGTCTAAATCTCCAATAAATCACGTTTAGGGTTTAATATTTATGGACATAATTTTAGGAAGTAGAGACTCACGGCTGACGTTATGAATTTTTTTTACTTTGTTTTGTCCATACCAATTGAGCAGGCATTTTTAAAAAACGCTGTTACGAGAGCTCTTATTCCATACTTAACAAGTAAATGCTTCGAGACCAGTTCAGAAAAAGTTGTTAACGGGAAAGAAAAAAAATACAGGACGAAAAGTAAAATGGGCAGCTTGGTAATCTCGTATATCGGTACAAAAATGTAAACAGCCGAACACTACAAGGATACAATTAATTTTAAGGAAAGGTTGCGAGCAACGTATTAAAATCTGTGTGGCTGGCGAAAGAGTGGGTTACTCCCGCTAGCTACGAAGACTTGAAATCAATCTGTAAACAGCTTATGCGCGTCAACTTGGTGTGAGAGCAGTAGGGATTAGTAAGATTAGTAGAGTAAATTGCAAATATCAGTTAGATAAAAGTGCTATTAATTTTTTTTTTACGCCTGCTTAGATAGCAAGAGATGACCAGCTAGAGCAACAGAAAATAAATTCCAACTGTGGCTGCTCTTCAAGACCACAAACAAAAATATAAAAAAAACGGAAATGATAAGTCCTTAATTTTCGAGAATGATACAACATAAATAAACCACTCCAGGAGGAAACTGCCATTTTTAGATTTCAAGAATCTTTAAAACTTACGTGGGATCTATCATAGAAAACGGTCGTGAAGAGCCTGCATCAAATCTGCTTTTAAACTCAGCGCTAAAACAAACAAGCAAACAAGCAAAATAAAAGCATCAAGCCAACAGACAAAGCATGCACAGGGCAAATAACAGCTGCTGGGCTAAAAGCTGACTGCAAATTGTAGATTGTGGACAATTAATTAACTGATTTAAAACTAACGATGCATTTAAAATGCAGCGTCTTTTCTCATGTTCTCTTCAATTGAAAGCACTGTCTTGGGTCTTGTTTCCAAAATTAGGCAATCGAAATAACAATCTTAGTTTTCAAATGCTGTGTTATTCAAAACTACGACTGTGCCTCATTTTCCAATACAACCAGCCATTCTGGGACTCTGATATCAGATACATATTCATTTTCGTGTTTAATATTGGTAGACTAAGTTAAGGAAAATATCAAGAACTTTAAACAAAATATCAGTTTTCTTTTCGTCTGTGTGTAACGAGGCCGTAACTACTTTGCCAGCTTTCAATTTAAGTGTTGGCACACAGTCAAAATAACATGCAGCCTTTCACAATGATAACAAGTGACCATGATTAGTAGCAATAAATTAGCTAGCAAAAAAAAAACTTGCTCTCGTAGCCTGACAAGATAAAACAGTTCCACGTTAAGCTTACGTGCTGTTGTTTTAACAGTAAATTTTCTGTACATCTTGCTTAAAAAATGGTAAGTTTACTTACACAACTTCCGGCTTTTTGGGAGGTGGGGCTGGTTTTCCAGCTGAAAAAAAGTTATTGAATATTTTATTGGTGGGTGTGTGACTTGCATTAATATTTTATTTGTCAATTAGACTTTTAGAATGTGCCGCAGGGTGCAAAGAAAGTCATTTTTACAGCTTACCATTCAAGCCCAAACGTCATTTCAACAAGCCCCCTTTTTTTTTTGATGAGCAGAATTGATTTCACAATTCTTCTGTAAGTTGAATTCCTCAAAATACTTCACTTACCAGTCGGGCAAGTTAAAAACAGAATTCACTAGCCCGATAGCAAAATCCACTAGCCCCGGGCTATCGGACACTACTTTCTTTGCACGCTGTGCCGCTTCTTTTTTTTTACTGCTTTGTTGAAATACCGGCAGAAACTTTCTGGTCCCACTCACCGGCTTTCTCTTTCCAAAACTCTCTTGGTGACAAGGGTTGTTTCACACCATTTTGAGAAGATGAATTAGAACTTGATGAGTCAGAAGTACTGCTTAGATCCTCCTCTGAGTCAAATAAAAAAAGAAATATTTCACATTTTAAAAACAAATAAAAACTATTGCTAATAAAGATGCCATCACAGGGACAGCTAGCCTCCCCAAACGAACCCCAAAGGACGTCTGCGGGGAGGCTAAGGGACAGCAGAACGTTCTTCCAAGTTGGGGGGGGACCATTTCTTTTGTTTTATTCCCCAAGCCTTAGTGCCAAGTTTGAATTCTAATATATCGAAAATGGTCTATTGACTTTTCTTCCAGTACATCTTTATTTTTTTCGAAAAAAGAGGGGGCAGCACCCCATCTCTTTTGACTACAGTCTGTTTTTGTCTCCTATTTGGCCAGTTAAAACACACTCATGGTTTTCAATGCCTTACATTTACTTTGATCAACTCAAAATGTCTGCAGTGAATAGGACAAACAAACTTCATTTCCCTTCATTTGCAAATCAAAATCAAGCTTCCTTATGCAAATCCCAGTTTTAGCAACACACATCAGTTGTTGTTATTCAAAATGGTAGGAAAAATGTTAACAAGTTACAGTTGTTTTACCCTCCTTACCCGATCCAACAATAGCCTTTACTCTCGCCCTCACAGCCGGGGAGGGCTTGTTGCTTGGAGGGGGTGGGGCACGGTATGCCTTAGTGGGGAGGGGGAGGGGTTTGGTAGGTGCGACATTTCTGCTGTCATTCAGTTTTGTGGTAGAATCGTCACTGTTTCTCTTCTTGGGTGGAGGCTTAGGTTTGTTATTGGTGATGTTATCTGAAGAGATCTCTGGTTCATCATCCAAGAATGGATTTGTATTAATGGTTACTGAATTTGAACTCAGGGAATTGTTTGAGCTCTTGCCACTGTCAGGGCTATCTGGTCCAAAAATCTGCCAAAAAAAAAGATAAGTAGGTGATCAGTTTGAATGATATATAGATTTAGCCAAGGCCAAAAGCGAAGCTCTTGCAAGAACTTTTTGAGAAATCTCTATCTGAAGTAAAGTTTTCTGAGCCTGCAATCACTTGAAAACCATAACTGGTCAGCATAGAAGTTAAAAAAAAAAACATATCGCCACAATGAGTTGCACACCTGAGCCTGCAATACAGTCATGTGACACTGGTCAGCGGGTACCCTATTTTGACAGCTGTCAATTTATCATAAAATGGAAGTCCAATATCAAGTTAAATGCCATTTACATATGTCTTGGACATTCGCTAACATGAAGATGTGTACGTATCTATGGACAATTCTGTCAGAAACCAAAATTTCTTGGATGCACAGATAACCACTTTTTCTTACCCATATCATGGTGCTCCGCTATAAAACAAGTCATTAGAGTCACGCAATCTACCACTTCCTGACAAATTTCATGGTTAACCCTTTAAACCCTATGATCAAAAATTGAATTCTCATTTGTTGTCCCAATTCATTTCCTCCAGAAGTAGTGGGGAGAAATTGATAAAATATCACCCAATTCATCTTGTGTGATCATGTCTGTAATTCTCATGACCTCTCTGTTTTACAAAGCATTGATATTACAAGGAGAAATTTGATGCTGATCATTCTTAGGGCTTAAAGGGTTAACCTCCTTTACTCTTCAGTTAGAGTTAATAATAAATGGAGACATGATAATTATTCGGTAGTTCTAACAATTTCATGGATGAAATACTGTCACACCAATACTGTGGTGTGACCATCTTCAAGTAAAAAAACAACGTTGAAAATGTCAGAACTTACTGCGTCAAATTCTTTAATGAGTAGCTCAATAACTACACTCTGGTACTTAAGATTCATGATGGCTGCCATGGACTCCTCTCTGGATTTCATTAGTGTTGGACCAAACACTACACCTAGGTTACTTGCTGCCATTAAATTTTTATTGGAATGAGCAGCGACTCTGAGGGTAGATGAGACACAATGTAAAACAAAGGTTACTTTAAAGTTTTAAAAGGGTCTTTGATGGGTTCAATAAAACTGAAGGATATGTTCACATCCTACAATTGAGACAATAAAGCACAGGCATCCAACTCACAATAGAGAAATTAGGATGACTGTGAATGAAGAAACACAGCACATAGTTTAAGCTGCAGAACAGGTTCTATCTTTTCACATTTTTCAGGCGAGGCTAGCATAAGTGTATTTGGAGCACGAGACATGTGATTGTTCCCTTGTAACATGTGCCTTGTACTCCACGCCTGTTTCATGCTAATAATAATTTTTATTGCTCACATGTCAGAGAATCTCTACACCTATGGGAAATAGATCTACTCTCATTGAGGTGACCAGCCACTGAGCAGTTGACTTTAAATATTATCTCCATTTTAATAAATTGCTTCTTACTTTTTTAAATGCTTCATGATGGTGACAATAAGTTTTCTGTTTTCCTCGGGCATGGTGGCCACAAGAGATGTGAGTGCCTCTATCCTCTTCTCATAAGTTTCTTGTTCTACAAAAAACCAACACAGGTTTCCCCTTCTCAGTTCCGTTATCATGTATACAGTTCTTACATCCTATTTACCTAATTTTGTATTTTTCTTTCAAAACTTGACACATCAGCTACTTAAGCTAGGGGTCTAGCGAGCTGCAGGTTTTTGAGTATAAATAAAGTATGAGTATGAGAGTAACATTAAGTTGTTGAGTAAAAATGAGCCTGCTACATTAGTTGAAAGAATTAAAATATTTAAGTACCTGTAACTTGTCACTAAAGTAACTGATGCTGATGTTACATTGTAAAGATATCACTGCATCCAAAATACTTACTGACTGCATCAAGGAACTGCTCATGATAATCATAAGTAAAAAGAGGCTCTGGCATGTTCCTACAAAAAAAAATAATACAACATAACATGTTAACAAATTCACAATTTGGCTTTACATGTACCTAGCCTGTGAGCAAGCTCTTTGTGGGAAGGGGTCAGGGAAAGCAACCTCCCCCACCTTCACCCCATTAGAGCTTGTAGGCTAGGCTTTACCACAAAGTGATTTCATACAGTCAGTCACTTTAACTACAGCATCACAAACAGATTACTACAAAAATTTTGATATTCACCTCAAGTACTGTTTGAGTGCACTGGTGATTGTCTTCACTTCCCACTCACAATCGTCATCTGCAAGGCCGATTTGTGAAACTTTTTTCTTGTCAATACACTGAAGTAAGAGATTTTGAACTTTGGACCCGACGCCTACTATTCTATACAGACCCTGGTCTGTAATACCTGGAATATTAAACAAAAAATGCACAAAATAACATGAGAACTAACTGTTGTTACACTAAAGGTTTTGTTACCATTTTGTTCTTGAACGTTTCCAATCTACATGTGATTAGCAATAATTGCAGATATCTGTACACTAAAACATCTAAGACAATATTGAATAAGCTAACCTCTTTTTTCCACTGCTGAAATGCACTTTGAGATAAAAGTAAGTTCAAGATCTTTAGTTTCCTCTGAAAAAAGCACAAAAATGGTACCTTTTATTGTTTGAGGAAAGGAACTGCATAAATTAATTTTACTATCATCATGCAAAGACAATGATAATGCAAATGGTAGAATATTTTATGCATGGTTCTTGAAAAATTTTTAACACCAAGTGACTTACGATCTTTAAATTTAGGGATGCTATTGGAGTCCATATAGAGCTGAAAGAAACAAAAACAATTACCTTACAAGTCAGAAGACAAAAACTAGGTATGCAAGATATATGCAAATGTACATTATCAAGCCGCTTGAAGCAGGGACGGGGGGTCTTCGGGTAAAACAGAGATGGGAAGGTGTGAAGCCCTTTTAAGCATTTAAAATTTGTGATCTGAGGACATGTTTGGGTTAAGCATTCTGCAGTGACTTTTCCAAAGAAAAAGCCTGGTGCAATTATAGGGACTTGAAAAAAGTTATGCCAAGTGTCAAATTACATGTACTCTGCTTGATGTTTTTGGTTTAATTGATTTTCATGCACAGAAAAAATGATTAGTGATGGCACCATGAACCACATCAAGAAACCAGGTTTCTCAGAGCAACAGTGAGAAAATTAAAAATTCAAAACTACTATATATTTTGATGAATACAGTTAAGAACAATGTTACAAACTACTGTAAATGCTTGTTGTGAATTAAGTTTACAGAGTGAGGCTGTGAAAAAACTGTAAAATTCCGAAAACAAGCCCTCCAAGTATAAGCTCCTCAAAGAGGGCCTTTGAAAATATAAGCCGTGGGGCTTATTTTCAGAATTTTGTGATATTTGAAAAGGGAGACAGAAACCATTTCAAATCAGAAAGTCTTGGTGGAGCACTGTGTAACTCACAGGTTCTTTGCCATCCATGGCTTGCAGCCAGGATTTTCTATCTTCTTCATCTTGGGCTTGTAATAAAATGGGTTGAGATCTGGAAAGGGATAATGATTTTGAAGACAAAAATAATGAAATTGAGTTACTAATTCAACAGAAAATTACAAATTTGAAAATGACAGAAAAAGAACTATTTTTTTATAGGTTAACCTTTCCAGAGCAGTTATTTCAAAAGTAAACCTCCTATCAATTGAGTCTGTCATTTTTCTGCAAATCAAACAAACAAATAAATATGAGTTAATCACAACTATAATTCTGAAATCTGATTGGCTATCAACAGCTCTGATTTCAGCATTAACAGAACACTGTAATAGGACACTGTGCATCATGTCTATTTGGGCATTACATGCCATTGCGTACACACTTTTGAATTTTAATTTAAAAACACTCTCGGAAGATCGTGTGTGTTAATTTTAACTAAAGCTTAAATTATCACAAATTTTGTTGTAGTTATGATTAACATTGGTAACAGAACATTGTGTTGCCCAAATCAGACTGTAAGCACATACTCATTATAAAACAAATTGGACTCCTGCATTAATCACTAGTATGATTACAGGCTGATTAAAAAAAAAAGATTTAAAAAAAGCACCAGTATCGGGAAGTGTTATTCCTTACATTAGAAATTTCACAAGATTTACTGGGCAACTAATAGAAATCTGGCTTTTTTTTCAATGAATTTCTTTGATGTCAACCAAAACTTGCATGACACTTCAATAGATATTATTTTAAACATCACATGAACAAATCAATACCTACTAACTTCTCTAACCAAAGACATCCATATTAATATAGCCTGTGAACGGCAGACATTTCTCCTCGCTCATCGCCACTGAGGGACGTTTCGCAAGGAGGAACCTCTGCGACTCAGCGACAGAAATTCCATACTGATGACAAAAATCAATGTTTACATAATAAATCCGGTAGTCATGGGGTTTCAAATGCAAATTTGCTCAATTTTACGTTTCTCCTGGTCGATTTTGGTAAAGTGTTGTGTTCATCTGCGAATGAGCTCCAGCAAAACTCAAATGCTTCCTCTAGAGAAGACTATATTCCACAAATATTGACTGTTTTGTTACAGATTCATCGTTTTTACATTTGACCTTTGCGGCCTTTTGTCTTTTGTCTGTCATTCGTAAACAACAGCTAAAACAATGAAACTACGCCGTCGACCAATTAGCACTTCTGACTGGATTCTGGACAGATTTTGCGTCATCAGTATGGAATTTCTGTCACTGAGTTGCAGACGTTCCTCCTCGCGAAACATCCCTCAGCGGCGATCAGCGAGGAGAAACGTCTGCTGTTCGCAGGTTAATATTAATATAACTAATAAACAACTTTATGTGTCGTGCTCTTTGCAAGATATGTAATTTTACTTTATATCTATATTCAGCAATACTAAATCACTGCATTTTTTTTACCTCACGCAAGACTGGACCACCATTGTGTCTGTATTAGTATTCTGAAATACAAGGAGAGGTGTTTATAATAAGTACTTGTAAATGGCTTTAAATTAACCTTGCATAATCATTCTACATTTAGCTTTTATGAGTGCACTTACCAGTCGTCCTTGTGTCTGTGTGTAAGGTCTCATTGTAAGAATCTTGTTTTCTTTTGTGTACATGCAATAATGCTTACTCCATGTAGTTCCAAGGCTACCTAAAAGTGTCCAGGTTTACAACATGGTCAGTGCTTTTCATCCTCACATCTCTAAATAAGTTATCACTTGGTTCGGTAGCTACCTCATTCGAACAAAACTGAAACTAAGCTTGATCTCACTATACCGTACACGCAGAATTTCCATGATTTTGTCTCGGCCAGCAATAAGAGGTTCATGGGTATGTTACAGATCAAAACTAGATTCAGGTTAAAAGTTTTTGACCTACTTTGATTCTCAAATTCCATTGTCTAGCTCTAATTATTCATGTATGTATTACTGTCAAACTCAGAAAACCGTGAACACCTGAAAAATTTCAGGAATGTTGATTGTGGCCAATCACAATAAAGTTCAGGATATGCAAGCAAACCTCAAACCACAAATTAACTACCGTTGCTGTTTGCAGTTTAGTTATCTAGCGCCTTATTGGCTCATTTCTCGCAACACTATAACATTACACAAATATTTCTGGTGTTCACGGTTTTGTGAGTTTCACAGTAAGGCTAGGAGACAAACGGAATTGAAAATCAACCTAGGTTAAAAAATTTAACCTGAATTTAATTTTTACCTGTAACAGGTATGTAGCTACTGACAAATACTTCAGAACTACAGTGTTGTTTCACAATCAAAGATGCAAGAAGCAAATGTAATGTGTCAGTCACTTGCTACTTTTATCACAAATAAAACTTCACATGCACCCCCTTGGTGAAATAAGACATAGTGTTAAAGGTGAAATTTGTTCTTAGGTTAATTCAGAATTTTCCAAGTGTATCAGGGGTGAGAAATGAAGAAAATTATGAATTAAACTAGGTTGGATACCGCTTTAACCTGAGGAATGGATATCATCTACAACATACGGTGCATCCAGAAATTAGAGGGGTAGATCAGATGAAGGGATCGTCTGTAGAAGACAAACCCAAGTTAGGCATTAACCTTTCTTCTGAACTGCAAGATATCCTTGTCTTGTATGAGCACCATGATACTGAAGTTCACCACTTTGTGCTTTCTGAAAAGAGATACATGTATCAAAAAAAGAACATGTACGTAAAAGCTTTCTATTTGGTTTCATAGTAAAAGTGGAAAACGCCAATGTGCAGCTGACAGTGATACACTGTACATGTATGAATTTTGCTATTGCAGTAATGTATTAAGTATTTAAGATTTTTTTGTTATGGATAAAAAAAAAAATTACAATTAAATCTTTTGTAGTATTTTAGTATAAATACCAGTAAATTAATTTTGTAAGAGTTATCTGGTGAATAAAATTGAAGGTGATTAAATATTTTGATACATCACCTGCTGCACTTTAGTCATAAGAGTTTCTGCTTCCTCTTTAGTAGTTTCAAATCTTTCTCTTGTCTACAAGGCAAATCAAAAAAAGAAAATCGAGCAGTCAAAACTGAATTGTTAATGAGTAAAAGGTACATGTACGTACATAGATGTGACAGCTGAATTGATGCTGGATTTACTGTACATGGAAAGATTTAAAAATACTTTACATTAACACACAAGAGGACAAAGTTAATGAGTTACTCACATTTTGAAGTCTGAGTTGGAGATCTGTCATGTACTCCATATAGTCCTTAAAAACCTCATGACCTTTTTCAAAAATTAAACAGAAAAAGACATGTCTAAATAAAAAAAATCAGTTAACAGTTTATAAAACAAATATAGACGTAAATAAAAAAAAATGGGTTTGAAAGCCTTACCACTATGAAAGAAAGTCATGTGTCCATACATAAAAGATAAAAGCTGAAAAAAAAGGCAGGAAAAATTAGGCTAGACTTGAATTTATCACATTTTATTGGAAAAATCATAAGCGTGACTTCCAAACTCAAACCATGCTTTGTTATTGAAATATTAAAAACAAGTCCACGTAAAACAAGAAGATACAGGCATACATAAGTCACTTTTTACAAGAACCTGAGTTCACTTCAAATGTAATTTATACAGTGCAACTAAGAGAGTTCAACTTACAGTTTCCACAAATTCAAACTTCTTTTTCTCATTGACCTCTTGGAGTTTGACAACATAATCCAGAGCTGTTTGATGAAACGTTCGCTTTTCCGACTGGAGTTGATAGTCAGCCTAATTTTTGAATCAAAAAACTCTTTTTGAAAACATAATCACTGTTTTGGTACTTCTTTCCTTTCCTTTAAAATCAGAGGTCATGGGGCACGTTTCTTGAGATTCCCAATAACTTTTTTTTCTAAAGAATTAAAATGCTGGTCCTAGCTTGCAACACAGTCCCTTTTGTTTTATAAACTTTTATCGTAATTATTGTTGGAAAACTATTGAAACCTTGAGCTTGAATAAAAACAACATCCGCTTTCCAGACCTTCTTTCCCAACTTTCAAGAAAAGGGCCCCTGGTGTAGATTTTGAGAAGAATGTGCGGGGGCTGTGTTGTAGCATTTGTCAGTTGCAGCATTGGTATTTGAACTAGGTATGGGGATAGTAAGGCTGTGTCATCCAGTAGAAGAGGAGGCAGTTTGCATGGGCAAGTGGTCAGTGCATCACACTAAAAATCCAGAGGAAGAAAAATGTTTGAGTCCTTCTAGCTTGTTTCTTAGTTGCTCTGAGTCCTCAGCCTTGCTCATAAATAACCAACTGGTTACCTCCTGAAAGTGGGGTTTCTAATCCTGTTATGTTCTATTGGGATTATTTTTTTAAAATCATATGAGCAGAGGTCAAGTGAACTAACTGAAGCAGCTTAGCACACTTCAACTAGAAACAAAGGTGAAAGCATTATTTATCATTTTACCATTCCTGTGCCAATAAAGAAAATCTCACCTCTGTCAAAATAGAATCTTTTTTCTTTGAAGATAGGTTTAGGTAGTTTTGTAACGATAGACAAAATTTCTCCGTCTGCTTGTCAAATTTCTTCTTTTCCTCCTACAAAAAAAATATAACTACATCAATGGTATAAATATTGTTACTGTTACTATTATCATTGTTGTTGATGTAAGTATTATTATTATTCTTCACTCTGTCATTATTAACCTTTTTGTTATTTTCAAAATGAATTTCTTAGCAACTATTTTTTACTACGGCTGATATTATTCTTGAAAGGGATATTCCTACCTTCGCACCACCAATCTGCTCCTTCCTGAATGTCTCCAGTGGCACAATTAATTGGGAATTAGCATGGTTTAACTGCAGAGAAACAAAAAATGGACAACAATTTCAACTTCTGAAACACTTAAATATTACCACAGCATCATAATAAATACTACATGGAAAGTGAGTGCATATGATATTTATGCACAAAGTTGTTGATGTACATGTATCAGAAATCAGTGCAAGCACAGCGGCAACAGGTTACTAGTAGAAAACTGGTTAAAGTAATTGGTTGGAGATGAAATCAATTAAAGGGCTCAAAAAAGCCCCGTCTGGTAGTCTGGGACACTTAGATTTTCTTGCTGGGCAAGTAACTTTGAAACAAATCATCCTCTAACAAAATCATGAACTAAGGCAAGCAAGAAGTGTCCCTGGGCAAGCAAAATGGGAGAGCTGCTTGCCCAATGGACAAGCTGAAATTCAAGTTTTTTTTCAAGCCCTTCAAGACAAACAAGCTATACACATACCATTCTGTCCCTTTCATCTTCTACACCATCAATCATTCTGCCAAATTCCTTCAGTGCATCCGCTAAAATTTGAGAAAGAAAACCCAGGTGAATTATTGACACAAAATGGCCCTTTCCATTCATAAATAAGTGTGAGAAAACAGCCAGCATTTCACGACACCACAAATGGTGTTCCCCATGAAATGACGTCTGAGCAATGACTGCAGAAATTCCATACTGATGACGCATCACTTCTCAGATCTGGGGAGTGCTTTCACTTCGTTGAGGCAAATTTCTCTCATGGCACAACCAATCAGAAGCAGTATCCAGATCTCCATAAATTCAACCTAACTGTTTTATAAAAATGCCTAAGTTTTCTCCTACAAAAAGGATGTGGTTAAATACTCACCAATCAGCATTTCATCATCTGTTTCAACCTCACCAATGTACTCAAATCTAAGGTCGTTAAGTACTTGGGCAAAACTCCTCTGTGCCTTTGATAAATCTAGAAAAGATGCACAGGTATAGAGCAAACACTTGTAACTTTAGGCCGAGTAACTACAGATAAGTAACTAACTTTCAACCAAAAGCACCTTCAGTGCTAGTGGTCGATAGTTATCAGCATGTGCATGCCTAGTAGCTTGCTACATGTTTCACCTTATTCAGTGGCATGTGTAGTTTTCCTTTGTGCCGCATTTTCCCCTGACACGAGGTTACTTTCTTCCAGTTTTTTCTCCCCTCCCCTTCCTGTTGTGATGGGTGCCTGTTTTGTTTTTTATCCTTTTTTGTGGGGGGTAATGGCTGGGTTGCACCGTTGGGCTAGCCATGTATTCAGTCTAGGGGCTGGCTGCCAAAAGTGGAAGCCCCTGGAAACTCTAGGTACCCAATCTCCATCTAGCAATGCAGGTGTTAGTAGAAAGTAACCTTTGACAGCTTATACAAATGACCTTAGATATTTTGGTACAATACTAGACTGGCAGGTAATATGTGGTCCATGGAATGACAGTTTCAATGTTATCTTGCAAATTAATGTGGTTTGGTTTGCTAATCATCACCTCCAGGAGTGAAGTAGAGGAGGGGTCCACTTTCCATAACATGGAAAACTTGTTTTAATCCTACAATAAACTGCTAAGAGACTATTTCAAAATAGTACATGACTACAATCATGTACAAAAACTTACGTAGTGTAGCATTTAATAAAATTAATGTAGTATAAAAGATATTTTTGCACATAAAAATGTACCACCAATCAATATTTAACTGACTGTATTTTTTGTCACTTACCTACAACTTTTAGTGTCATTTTTAAACATACATATACGTTTTAGGTTTCAAATAATAATTCGTAAAGCAAGTACATGTACATGTCCTTTGACATATTAAAAGCACTTATAATTTGTAATTTTTTTCAACAGCTGTACAACCTATAAATAATTTATCATAAACTAATAGAATAACAGACTAATAAAATGGCAAAAGTCATATTTTAAATTAGAATTGATGACTGAAATAACATTTTATTAAAACAAAATATATATATATGCAGAAAACAAAGGAATACAAAATTAATAATTTGTTACTCTTGTTGATCCAAGAAACTTCTATTATTGTTAGTTTGAAGACTTAATTCAAGTTAAAATAAAATTCCTTGTTTTGCAAGATAGACAGTATGAAAACCTTAAAATTAGTACATTTTGTTTCATTTCAGTACATTACTAATATAAATCTGCAATTTTTCTGGTTATTTTTATGTAGATTCTGTTACTAAAAGCCACCAAATGTTCCTACTTGTAACAACAGTATAAAAATTTCACAGCTCTTCACAACATGGTATTGAGTTTGAAAATCTACAAATGAATATTGTCTGTTATTTTTAATGTCAGTGCCACTATCCCCTAAACTCTATCCATTTGATATTACTATATCAAAAACAGTTAACTTTGTACCAAGCAATTCTAACCATATTGCTAGGCTCTAAGAGCAAAAACCATATAATATAATGTCATATAAAAGTATAACCAGTAACATCTGAGCTCTAAACTTGTACTGCGCAAACAAATAAAGCCTTTACATACAAGAGCACACTGCTCTGATATTACCAAAGGAGTATGGATGCATGGTAATCATGTTATTTCATATTGAAGAAGGGGACATTTTTCTCCCAAATCAGCTGATCAAGACCCCTATTCAAATTTAAGGTATATTTGTTTGAGAGTGCACAGGAAAAAATATAGGAGGACTTCTAAGTAAGCAATCAAATTAGATTATAGATAGAGTGAGGAAGCAATAATATTATTCAGACAGTTTACGTGCTTATCAAAGTTGCAACACATTTTGACGTTACAGACAACAATCAACAAAATAACAAAATAGAGCAGATTAAAAATGCAATACAATAAACACAATATAGCACACTAGCTACCCACCATCCGGATTTACAAGGACCCAAAAGTACTTTAATATTTAGTGTGACTGTTGAAATCCACATATTTTTCTGACTTGAATTCAAAGGACTTGGTTACTTAAAAGGAATCCTGCTCTATTAATTTTGTACTACTTGCTATAAACTTGTAATCAGCAATGTATTGGCTTGCTGATTTCTGGTGATGATTTTAATGTGGTTTCACTCCTAAAAGACTTAAAATTAAAAGGCAATTAAGGCTACAGCAAATCCCACAAGGTGACTACAAAATCACTCTTCACATAAAAAAGTGCCCTTGTATACTTACTGTATTTTACAGCTGATCTGTTGTTGCTATTTTGTTATTTTACTTTGGTGTTACTTTCTTTTTCATAGTTTTGCCCTACCAAAAATATGCTGTAATGCATTTCACTTATTAAAGTGAACAAATGAATGAAAATGAAATAATGTACAAGAAAAATGACAAAGAAGAATTTCTTGTCATTTGCTTACCAGGTATACAATGTAATAATACAATGTATACATAGGATCCCTAAATTTTATGTAAGCAAATAAGATAACTGAATGTTAACAAAATATTTGCAATGCTTGCACTAAATCAAGGATGGCTTTAACAATTTGTAGCTGATTTGTGATTTTCCAAGATAAACGGTACCTAAGCCTGCCCCTTTAATTCAAAACAACAAAAACATTCTTGCTGATTACATAATTGATGGAAAAAAAGGACAAAAAATTCATTACAAATCTACTCACTGCTGAAAATCTAAAGGTGTAAAATTTAAAGAATCTAGTAAACATGAAACATAACGATCATCTCACAAATATCCTTTATTGCCCGTTATAAACAAAGCCAAAATCGGGAAATCAGGAATTCTTTTTAAAATTTCTGCTTATATGAGCCGATTTTGTAAACAATAATATTACAAAAACAAATTTGAAAAATAGCTTCTAAACATCTACAAGGGAATGCCCATACAGTGGTATTGGACGGATGATCGGACAGGGTTTCAACTTCCTTTGGAGCTTCTTCGGGTAAATGTTTTTATTGTTAAATTATGAGATAAATTTGAAATAATTTTTTACTACCGGGCCCTATAAAGAACTCTAATGTTCAAAGCTTTATTTATATAAGACACAAATAGAGAACTCCCCGAAGTAAAAACATAAGTTTTCATTAAAAAAAATGGTTTCAAATAAACGTACGCTTTTATCCATTTTGCTCAATCATCACATTCAGACACAAGTCTTATAAGATGTACAGTGGCCGAAAATTAAAATTAAATATAATGTAACAAACTATGTAAAATTTTCAATAAAAGAAAGAGAAAAAATAGCTCGATCTCGGTAAGGTGAAATTTCTTCGAAACAAAATTTTGTGTGCATCAATTGCAGCCCAGGAAATTAATCCTACAAGGGGTCATAAAATTGACGACCTCATTTGACAGGAACATCAAGCTTATTTTAATTCTTGAAATCGCTGCGCTTTAAAACGAAAACAGATTCTACAAAAAAACAAAAAATTGACGATCACATAACAAATGCAACGCCGAAGATCTGTGGCATATTTTTTTCTTTAAAGTTCACTATATTTCGTACTTTTGCAGGAAGTCGAGTTGCCTCGGGGTTATCAGGTCTGCTGCTGTCCAGCTCTCTTGTGAGGCATTCACTTCAAAGACCTCCGCGAATTTTTAAGCGTCATCAAAAATGTAATACACAAACTAAATTGGAATAGAACAAGAGCACTTACTTTCAAAGGCCTTCAGTAAAGTCTTGCATTCTTTGATAAGGCCTTTGATGGCCTCGTTCGTTCGCTCGAGTTCTCGTTCATGTTCATGAATGTTCTCGCGAAAATACGGACTATCCAAAATGCAATCCTCGAATTCTAGAGGCTTAAGCCCCATTGCGGAATGAAGAAAAGCACCTTCGTGCCAACCAGGACTTGAAGATTTCTCAGATCAGTCAAGAAAAAAATCATAAACAACTCAAATTTATGCTGGACGGAACAGCCTCAGTTTTCGGCTTGTAAGTTTTGGTTGCGATCACGCATGTGCAAACATGTGACTATAATTCCGTGACGTAGGGACACGATTACCTGCCCCGCCCCTATCGCAACGAAAAAATGGGCTCCTGTTGCTGAGTAAATGCGCGAACTTCAAAAACTTGGGAAAAATAGTGGAAAAGAAATTAGAAAATGAACCGAACCACCAAAAACAACAGTTTGCATTCAACAATTTTTGTTTTTAAACAAAACAGAGCAGGAGCCCTTAGAGGTGGAATTTCATGAGCCGGGAGGATAGGCGTTGTTATCCCCTGACATCCATGACATTTCCGGGTGGGATAATTGCAAGGTGAAGTTACCCGGTAATTAGGGAAGAACCAACTGATGTGCCATCCAAACACAGAAATTGTAATGATAAGCTAGTATCGAAAGCAAAGAAACAGTTTTCAGGCTCAGCCGCTTTGGCCATCTCCACCCTGAGATAGCGAAGTGAGATTCTTAGTAAAAATTGGCACATGTATAAAAAAAGCCCGATTTTGAAAAAGTGTTAGGAAAATACCTCGCTTACTATTTCCTCCTTATAAGGCCAAAAAATGGGTCTCAAATCGGCTTTGCCGATACTAGCCTTAGAAAACAGCCGACATTTGGCCACGCTACCACTGGTTTCCCCGCCAATTGACGTCTGACAAACGAGCGCAGAAACTCGATACTGATGACGCGTCACTACCCAGATCCGGGTATACGTAGTGCTCCTGATTGTTTGAATCACCGATACCGGTGTATAAACATAGGTTACCAAGAAACATACCCTCTTCACCCCACCCCTCCGTATCTTCCCTTTTCTCACTGTCCCCGACTTGTCCCGCCCTTTCCATTTTTCTTTTCCCTACTCCCCACTATAGAAGCTGTTCATAACTAGGGTTAAAGGTCAATTTGGTTAGTTAAGATAGAACACAGGACAGGTTTTTTTTTATTCATTGGGTAGCTACTTATTGGCATTTCTCGTACTGAAATGGAACAGCCAATAATGAGGAGGCAGAGGGCACCTGTCCCAGCTGACTGAGAGATTGAAATGGGCTAAGAGAAATCCAGGCATTCCGGAGCAGGCAAAGGGCATTTGGCAAACACATAAATAGACGAGGAATTAAGGAGAGGTGAGATAGGAGTTCCTTTTCACTTGTTCACTTCAAAGAGCAGCAATTTACACGTCTTTCCCAGCTTTCAGGGGCACCCAACGACAATTTTTGGAAAAATATCTGTTCGGAAGACGATTTGAGACCTAGAATTTTCGAAACATTTGTGGTAAAATTTCTTGCTTGCCTGCCTCTCCTAGGATTTTCGAACATCTAAAAAATGGTATAATTGCCTATTTTTAACGGATTTTTACCCTAAAAAGGTCTCCTAGAATTTTCGGGAGCCTTTTTTCTGGCTGAAATTTTCGAAAAGGTAAGTTTTGATCCCTATAATTTTCGGATCGCTAGACTTTCAGCTAGGAAATCCGAACAGATGAAAAATTTTTAGGGAATAAAAATATGCCTTTATCTACCGTTTAAATACTAAAATACGTTTAACTATGCTATGTTTAAGTGTTTTTGAACTATATTCTCGTTGGGTGCCCCTGAGCTTTTCTTGTGATTTTTTAATCCATACAGAGTACAGTATAACAGGAAAAGGACAGTCCACCGTGTGATTTATTTTTTCACCTTAATGTCGTCTGAATGGTACTCAGCATACTCAAAAAGTAAAATTTGTTTATTTTAATTTTTCGTTGCAAAGTACCCAAGATAAAATCTGGCTTCTTTTGTTATTATGTTTCCTCAACATCTTCAGCCATTAGTCTTAAGTAAACTCTTCCAGGACCTTTGTTTTTATCTTCCTTATACGAGGGAGAGATTCCCTGACTGTCAACATACGAGCTTCCTCCTTCAGCCGTTCCGCCGTCATTACCATTACATTGCAGAAAGCAACCTTTTACACCCCCTCCCGAGTACCCTCCCCCTGCGCCGGGCAACAACCCCGCAGCACCACCCCCACCAAATCCTCCTAGACCCATGCTTCCGTGTGGAAATACTTCTGTGGCGGTTGGTTTTGCTTCTCCACCTTTTCCTCCCTCAAGAAAGCTTTTTCCGCCCCAATTTTTATCATAGCCAGCGCCACTACTGTACATTCCTCCTCCTGCTCCCGCGATCACTTTGTGGTGTCCAGTGGAATGTGTAATAACTGTCTCGCTTCCGTTGCTTGTGTCCAGGAGTTTCCCGCCAGAACCCTCACTACCGCTGACCAAGGACGACGGCTCATCCTTCCTTCGGCCTCCTCCACCACGTGTTTGACGAAAAGCTGAAAATTAAAATATGAAAAGGCAAGATTTTGAAAATTCTGGAAAACTAAACCTGATCTGAGGTATCACTCTCGACGTCGTTCATTCATAAATATGCTTTTTTTGCTATAGAGTTATCAATTTTGAGTTATCATTAATTAATGCATACATCATCGACATTTGTGCCATTTGTGTATAAAACGCTCATATTATTTTGGTCACTTCTAAATCTAAATCTAAATGTCTGATCTGCAAAGGACAGTACAGCCCATCTTCAGCAGAAATGTGCTGTGCTCGTTCTATGTGCTCTAAAAAACAATGCAGTGAATTAGTGCTGGTGATATAAAAATAAATTAATGATCAAATGCTCAATGGGGCCTGGTCTGGGCCACACTTTCTTCTTGTTTGCCAGTAAATGAGACTAGATCTGCAAACAGTTTTAAATGACTTCAGTCAGTTAGAAACGTTTTTATTCTTTACAAAAAACGAGGAGTCCAAAGACTACTGCAACGCTGATAACAACGTGTATTGAAAACGTACTTCAAGCGATATTTCGACTGGCCAGTCCAGCCTTCTTCAGGTAATACAGTTGTTACTAAATTTTTCGGTAGGAGTTACAAGATTATATAGATGGAGAATGTCGCAACACAAAACAGCTGATTAAATCTCTTTTCTGGAGATCCAATTAACATTGACAACCAGCAGGATCTTCGTCCACGGTTTTTACATTTTATTTCTTTATCGTTTTTATTGTTGTCAATTGCAAAACAAAACGTTATTACCTCCTTTGGGGAGGCCGCCACCACCTCCTCCACCAGCAACGATCAGCGGTCTACCATCTTGATTCACTACAAACGTTCCACCACCCCCTCCTCCAGGACGATGCGCTTCCCTGTAATCACGTAACCCCTCATGTGCAACTAGAATCTTGAGTATTTTTCCTTTGTGTAATTGAAACTTTGCCTTTACAATGGCCCCGTATCCTCCACGTCTTTTATTTCCGGATCCGCCGGCAAGAATCCCATCAGCGCCAGAGGCCCCACGAGCTTCAATTGACCAGATACCGGAAGTGGGAACAGTCCAGAGCTGAATTCCCCGATGTTCTGAAGAAACCTTCACTTCATGCTTCAGAACACCATGGTATTTAAGAATTGTGGGGCCGTAATTACCAACCGCTTCATTGTTTGTCAGGACACGAGCTTTGCAGGGGGAAAAAATGGCAAGTTAGTTTTTTCTGACAATGAAGCGAATTATTAACTGGCTTGTTGTCAATCATGTGCAGGACGCTTGAATATGCATTTTGGCGGGCGAATGAGCTTGCAAACTTGAGTAGCGAACTCGTTCCTAGTCTCGCTTCTTCGCTCCCATGGCAGGAATGGCAGGGATGACTGGTGGTAGAGAAAAAGCTCCGAGGTGTTTGTTGTAAAACAATTTGACTTTAAATTTGCTTTAAACAACGACTCACCTTCAAATTTCCTTCCCTCCCGTGAATCGTCATCAGAATCTCCAAAGGTTTTTAAAACGTTTGAGACAACAATAACAACCACTACACACACGGCTACAACAACAACTAACCCAATTACTTTCTTAATTAATGCCTTATTCGAGGTCCCCCTGGCCGCGTTAGACGCAACTATCATCGTCCAGCTGAACTCACAAAATGATTACATTCTTCCTGGAGACAGCTTCGATACTTTAAAAAAGAGCTCCGTCATAATTCAAAAATACGTCACTGCGGCTTTGACATAACGAATGACCCCTAACCCAATTAGAATTAACGATAGTTTCGAACGATCTTGGTCTCTTTTCTGAGCGTTTTCGTCTAATAATAATTACTCAAGGATCAAAGCTTTTGCTGGAAATGTCGCTATCGCGACTCACAGGGGTAACGAAATATTCTTCATCAGGATTAAGAGATTTACAGAAAGAACGTCAAAATCGGTTGGTAAATGCGGGAATTGCGCGCGCGCCCTTTCACACGCGACGAGGTTTCCAGTGGCCAATCGAGTATCCGAGCCAACTCTGAGCCAAGTCACTGTCAACAACAACAATCCTATTCAGGACTACTTTCACCCAGACGATCAAACTCAACCTACTTTTGACATGACTCCTGGGTTCAAACCCTTCACTGAGCCAACTCTGTTTCAAAAAGAAAGGCAGTCAATTTACTAATCACAAGCCAATATACCTCGTAAGAGAAAAAAAATGTTTGACATGTTTTCTAAACAAAGCGTTGTGTCAGGCATGATTGTTGTTATTTTTTCGGGATGACTTTAAGGGCTCAGAGAGCCAAAACACCTCCTTTTGTAAGTCCAGGAGGCTGGGAAACTTATCACCCAGTTTGCTCTCGTTTAAAATTCCTGAAGAATCTGAATTGGAATGAAAGAAGACACACCAGAGATACAAAGGGGCATAATTATATTGCAAGCCTCGTTCTTTAATGGGAAGCACTTGTCTCTCTCTTGACAGGTTAATAGATCAGAGTTACACTGACCACATGAATGACTAATGACAAAACATATAGACTGTTCAAAGTCCCCTAATTTTTCGTAAGATCGTCAGGGTCGAGCGCTTATCGGTATGGGCGGCCATCTTGGTTTCATATGTACCGAGGGAGCAAGCGTCGGGGCTTTTTACACTCATCCAAGATGGCCACCCGTAGCGCTCGATCTCGAAGATATTAAGGAAAAATAGGGGACTCAGGGACTATGAACAGTCTACAAGACATACAGAATACTGTACTGACTGTCATCGACGCCTCTCTGCCGGCGTAAGCGTAAAAGGTTATATTTTCCTGAAATAAATGTATAACATTTAGCGTACGCCACTAATTAAGTTAAGTAAAATCTGTTGTCAGCTACTATACTACAACGGAATAAATTATACTGCAGCTACAACGTAATATTTCTGAAAATGAAAAAAAAACCCTGAGTGTACTTTAATATTTACAGTTTGCTGAATTTCCAATAGTGCAAATGACACAAGAGGTTTGCGCTGGGAAAAGAAACCACACTGGAAACGCGAGATGAATTTAAACTTTTCACCAATTTCTCCTCAGAAGTATCTCAAGGAATGTATGGAAAACATATTCACTGACCTACGCCACGTGCACATCTCCCACAATGCACCTTATTTGCCCTCCAAAATTTTGCATAAGCATTGTTTTCAATTTCTCTTGGGACGGCTGTAATACCCAGGAGAAATGAAAAAAAAAAAAAAAAAAAAAAAAAAAAAAAAAAGGTTAGGCAAATTTTTTTTTTGGGGGGGTGGGGGCAAATAAGGTGCATTATGGGAGATTTGCAACTGGCGTATTATGGGTTTACGGAACAACGTTTCATAGGAAAAAAAATATTCGTCAAATAATTGGATTGTCAATTGAGTGTTTCTTAATATTGAAGAAGCAAACAAATAATTTGTAACAATGGGTGTCTTCTGTTGGAGAGGTAAGCAAAAAAAGGCCGGTGTATTTTGTTGCGATTTCCAGTGCAAAGTTTTGTCCCAAGTTAAAACTGGCTACGATTTCAGTGCGTTTGTTCTGCAACGACAAGTTGTTTGAATATGACTGAAACATGTTCTAAACATGTTTCAAGCCTTGTGATATGGCGGCGACAAATCGCAGCGAAAGGGCCTCTAGTTTTCCCTTTCAATTTTCCACGCTAGCAAGATTGACCCGGCGGAATCACCTGTCTGGTCAGTTCAAAAAGACGAGGCTTCGCAATATCTACACTAAGACAGCCGATAAGATCTGTCCAAGTTAGTAGTACAATAGACCCATCAGAAATACTTTCACCAGCTACTCACCAAAAACGATGAGTTGGAGTGAAGGCACCTTTTTAAGACTTCTTTCTTCTATTTTCGCCCCCAACGAGTGAAGAACACGCGAATTCTCAAATTTTTCTCCGAAATTTAAAAACTTACTTCAGTTCTCTCAAGGAGATGCGAGGCTTTTCATTGGTGGATTAGGGGAGGAGCCCAGGCCCCCTCGTAGTTTTTGGCCAAACTGAAGCCGGCAGGGCTGAGAAAAATTGTTTTCGAGGCCGGGTCCCCTCTTATCTTTGGCTGGTCTGCATGAGCCGGGCCCCTGCCAAATTAAATAGCTGAATCCGCCAATGCTTTTGTCTGCATTCGGGAATAAACTCCACAATTTCCAACAAAAAAGTCCTGCCCATTTCCTACTTTGCCAAAATAACCGAAGTCTCTGGTTAAACAGCAAGCCACCACGTGTATCTCAACTGATGCGTAACTGGGCTAAAAGTATTCGTGAGAAACAACTTTCTCCAGCGTTTTTTGCCTGATATCCAGGCTGTGTTAAAACAGGTACTTACATAGATACTATACACCATTCTCCTTCACGCTAAAATCAATGACACGTTCTCAATACGAAAACAGAAACAAGTAGGTTCGCAAAACAGTGTTTCTCGAAATTTTCAAAAACCGGTCAACACTGTCGAAGGAACCTCTTCCGCTGCCCATTGCGTGACGTGTCACTTGTTCGTCACGCAACTCTGACAATATGGAACCTTGCATAAACCTGGTTTTAACGAGCGACGCAAGCATAACGTTTGCTTGAGACTGGACCGTTTTCACGGAGAAATAACGCCCTCGCTTTTGGGCTTTCACTGCTAGTGAAACCCGAACACCTCCCACGCAAGACGGTCGAAACAAAAAACCGCCTTCAAACGTCATAAATAAATACGTTCGTTTCTATCATCAATACCGAGAACGTGTATCTAAATAAGAATGTGTATCTACATAAAATAAAGAGTATTTGAATATATGTTTTATATCATGTGTCCTTTGTTTCGGCTTTTGGCGTTATATCTTCTGTTGCTTCTTTCTCTTTCTTTACCTTTTCTTCGCGTTTGTCTTTTTCTTTCTTAGCTCTCTTAGACGATTCCGCTGACCGGCTAAAGGAACAAAGGCAAAAGTCACATCTATCAATCTCCCACTCCAGAAGAAACTTTCGCGCGCGACGATTTCTGGGATCGCTTGAGTGGACAAGCGTTACTTATAATTATAGGTTAATGGTTGCCTTGAGTATCATCGACCAATCATAACTAACGCTTGTCCGCTTACAGTCTCAGCTTGTGCAACATATCTCTGATCATACAGCCTTAAGGACCATGAACTTAATCAGCAGCTTAAAGTAGTCTTACACTTACGAAACCATTTTATCAGCAGTGACTCTCACCTGTCTGCGGCCGACCGTTTCGCTGTTGTTTTCATAGCAAGTTGTCCATCTTTTAAGTCTTTCATATCTGTTTAACAAATGAAAAATAACAGAGTAACCCGTGTCCATGAAATCAAAAGTTTACGAATCGCAACATAAAAGGCTTATCGACCACAAAATTCCAAAATAACTGTTTTATTTAGACACTACGGTGTTTACCTTGAAGCCATCTGACTTGAGTTGCTGGACCGTAACTAAAAAAATAAGTTGAATAAAGAAAAAAGGAGAAAAAAGAATGTGAAGAAAATCAAATACTAGGTATCAATGAATTTACCAGTATTTACTGAGATGTAGCTTGCGAACAGCAGACGCATTTCCGGTCGTCGCTTCGACCGGAAATGCGTCCGCTGTTCGCAGGCTAACTGAGATGTAGAAAACGTTCAATTAATACTGACCCTTTGTCGTTTTTGGCAGCAATTCTGAAGATAATGGCTGGCTTGGTCGAGAAGTCGATATGCGCGCTTTGAAGAGTGGCCGTGCTGACAGTGCAGGTGGGTTGGGCACCACAATACACACGTACAAAAGCGAGCTGGACTGGGCCCGAGCTTGATGACGTCAGCCCTGCTACTGGTTTGTCGTCTGACTGGTTGTTTGACTGGCTGCGTATGGCGAGGTACACGGAGTATTCACTTACATTACCAGCGGCATTGGACGGTGCTTCCCACGATAAATGAGCTCCCTCAGCGTTCTGATTTATCCAAACAGGAAATAAGATTAAATTTTTACTGTTATTACACCTTTTTTTGTCTTCTTGAGAGAGGAGGAGAAAAGGACGCTCTGCCTGAATCCTGCCCGACGGCGTTCGCCAGGAAATTAGTCGATTCGCCCGATGACATACAACACTCTACAACATTGTGAACATACCAGTCGAGGTGTTACTTTAGTTACCCTTGGATTCCGCATGTGAAGTCACTGTCTTTCTATGCTTATTCCCTTTTTTCAGGCTTAAAGAACGACAAATACGCTTCGGGCGAATCGACTTAGTCTGGACGAACTGCTATCGCGCGAACCGACTTTCGGGCAAAACGACTTGACACCAAACTATTGGATCACCGCAGTCCGAACTGCTGGACAAGTCAATATTATTTTTTCCCGCCAAATTTGGTTTTCGAAAGCGAGGATCCATTTTTTTGTAAACCAATGGTCATAAACAAGCCCGCTGTAGCAAGCGCACGGCTGTTAGACATAGGTTCGAAACTATATCCCCGCAACATGCCGTGCATGCTCAGCAATTATCTTACTCGAATCACGCAGGGTCTTTCTCGAGTACGTAAAAATCGATCGGGTGAAAGAAAGCCTCTGATGACGGGGTGCTGTTACTGACGACCAACTGAAAAAGTGTTTAAGCCTGACCACTCTACAAAGCTGGAAAGCTGTACATAGTTTACGTTTCTTCTTATCAACATCTAATTCAAAAGCACCGTAAAACTCAGTACGATAATTATGAGGATTACTTTAATAATTCATGAAGAGAAAACGAAAGAAATTAATGTTTAATGAGTGTCTTTATATCTGATAAAGACACAGCTAAACTCTACCTCCAGTATTTTAGACCAAAATAACCCCAAGTCTAAATATTTGTACAAGAATGAGTTGTTCTATATCAGAGATTTTCAAGCCGTTCAGAAAACTCGCAGTCGTGTATTATCAGGTTTTAAAACTCGAGGCAAACTCCTGCTCGTTTTTTAAACAGTACTACACAAACCTTGCTGATTTTAATTGCTGATGGAGCTCCAGGAAACCCTAAAGGGAAGAAATAAAGAAAAGATATCTGAGTTAGGAATCGGTTGTTTCAGACAAGTTCAGGATTAATTAAGGATTATAATGATTCATCGATGAATTGTTGCTCCTTCCCTTCCTCTTTAGATGGCAAAAAAAAAATTCACAACCCACCCCTTGACTTCATTTATTCCTTTATCAAGCCTTAAAGGCCTGCCCAACAATTTTTCCGACCTCCCCTCTGTCAAAATTGAAAGCCCTCAAGCATCCAAAACAAACGGAGAGCTATTCGACTCAAGAGCTCTCTTCGAAGACGATCTTCCACTCAAGTTCACTGGGAGATACAACTGTACTTCTTTCTCTTTAAGGTAGACCTAGTCCTCGGATAATTATAACAAAACCCCGTATGGAGACCGGCGTGGCGTGGATCAAGCTTCATTTGTTGTCCTAAAGGAGACCATACTCCAACACAGCATGAGAGAAATTGTTTCGTTTTATCGAGATACTTCTTTAAGCATAATTCTAAGTGATACGTTTATATGAGTGAAAACACCCTAAGAGAGTAAAAAATCTGCAATTTCTACCCCTAAACGAGACGATGAGTAGCCTCCCCCGCGGACGTTCTTACGGCTTTTTACGCGCTCCTTCCCCGTGGGAAGCTAGACGATGAGCATCCGTGTCACTTTCATTCGGGATTCCCCCCCTCCACCCCAGGGTTTCGAAAAGTTTGACATAGAAGCCTTCGAAGTACATCTAGTTGGTGACGTTTAGGAAGACTGGAAAGTTCCCTTAGTTAGGGGAAACAAATGTAGAGTAGTTAGTTGACTTTTTCACCTGGTAGGCATGTTTTAAAAGCAGACACATCACTGAATGGTCCTCTTCCGCAAGCATTGATGGCTGCCACTCGAAATTTGTACGCTGTTCCTGGTAAAAGCTCCTGCTTCTTTAAATTATGTTCAGAGCCGCTTTCAATGTCAAGGTTGGCCTACAAGTTCCAAAGTACCAAAAGGTTTCTATTTTATAACTTTATTAAGACCTCATTCGTACGTCATAAGTTTGAACAAGTTTGAAATGAGATACTTTGTCTTTAACATTTTTACAACATTTTCTTTCAAAAGAAAGGGTACATATTAACTAAGTCCAAGGTTGTTTGAAAATTTGGCTCATGTTAGTAATTCAAATCGCGCACCTCTGAGTTTCACGCAAATTCATTCAATTTTACATTCCACCTCCAGTTTAAATGGAGACAACAGTAGTAGATCTGACTTTTGAGTCTGTGGATGAAATCCTATTGTGTGACCATTCAAATGAAACCTCTTCAGCAGTATTTTCAAATGGTACTATTTGTTTAGTACATGTAGTTCTAACTTTTGAGTCTGTGGATGAAATCCTATTGTGTGACCATTCAAATGAAACCTCTTCAGCAGTATTTTCACATGGTACTATTTGTTTAGTACATGTAGTTCTAACTTTTGAGTCTGTGGATGAAATCCTATTGTGTGATCATTCAAATGAAACCTCTTCAGCAGTATTTTCACATGGTACTATTTATTTAGTATGTACTTCTAACTTTTGAGTCTGTGGATGAAATCCTATTGTGTGGCCATTCAAATGAAACCTCTTCAGCAGTATTTTCACATGGTACTATTTATTTAGTATGTACTTCTAACTTTTGAGTCTGTGGATGAAATCCTATAGTGTGACCATTCAAATGAAACCTCTTCAGCAGTATTTTCACATGGGACTATTTGTTTAGTACATGTAGTTCTAACTTTTGAGTCTGTGGATGAAATCCTATTGTGTGACCATTCAAATAAAACCTCTTCAGCAGTACTTTCACATGGTACTATTTATTTAGTATGTACTTCTAACTTTTGAGTCTGTGGATGAAATCCTATGGTGTGACCTTTCAAATGAAACCTCTTCAGCAGTGCTTTCACATGATACTATTTGGTTTTCAGTATTTTCTTTAATTTTAGGTATTGATGAAAGTCAAAGGCCTTAACCACCGGTACATCACAAGCAATCTAGCTTCTCTCACCTCATTTGTAGTACTTTCAGGAGATAAATAATAATGCGTGACCATCATGGAGATTCCTTTGACAATTCCTACATCATACCACTGATTTGAAGACTGTACTTTTCTGGTATAGCTCGGTTTGACTGGTTTTTGAGCCTGAAAATAAGCCAACGCGATTAAGTTTTACTAGCCACCAAAATATGTTCCCAGTGCTTGTATTTAATAATAAAAAAAGTGGACAAGGCAGCAAAGCTGTGTGGTTTAGGCTGCTGTATTTTTTTCTTTCCTTATTATTTTGTGTGTCACAGTGCAAAATACCACAGCAGATAGAGTGTCTCATTAATAAATTCACCTCTTTTAATATGGAACTCAAACACGGATTATTTCATTTTGTCTGTTACAACTGCTCTGCACTCCCATAAAAGATAAATTACCTTTCTTAATTCATACTGGCGCATTTGATTGATTGTATTCCAGAATAAGAACATGCAAAATTTTATTGCAAATCTCTTGTACTATGATTTTTGGGCCACTTAGATGCTACATACTTTGGGATATTTTATTTCAAGCATATTTCTAGCTATTGTAAAGCAATAGCTAGAAACCTGCATCTAGAAATTTAACTTTACCTTTGATATCAAGGCTGGTGTAGCTGATCTGTCAGCCTTCACACCTGCTCCATCATTCACAGTGCGTGACATAGCAGTAGTCACCTGTGCGGAGCTTGTAGTGACTGTTTGAGGCAAACTGGTTGACACATTTCCGGTGGAAGCTCTTGTCACAGCGACAGTGGTCCGTGTTTTGGTAATCAGTGGAGACACTACTGCCACTGGCGTGTTACTGGACACTGTTGAAGACACCAGCGGAGTTGTTACTGAGGAAACAACAGGAGCAGTGGTGACTGCTTTCACAATTCCTGCTGTACTAGCCGGTGCAACTGCTGATCTTGACATCTGCGTCACAGATGATTGCATTGTGGACTCGGCTGCTGTTGCCTTGGCAACACTGACGATGGCTTTGGGTGTGGCTTGAGTTGATAGTGTTGTAGTTGAAGATGTTGTTGTTTTACTTGTCATAGTGGAATCTGCTATGTTAGTCTTGACAACAGCAGGTATACTTGCAATGGTAGTGGTGGGAAAACTTGCTTTCGGGATGGAGACAGATGTTGTTGTTGCTTGTGGTACTGGAGCTTTTGCTGTTGACGTTGCTGGGGGATTCACCTTAGAAGGCAAGACAGTCGTTACAGATACTGCTCCAGAGGTGCTGATTGTCCCTGTAACCATTGTTTTGGTAAACTGTTGTCTTGTTGTAAGTGTCGTCACCACAGTTGTCTGTTTGCTGGACATGGTTGTTTTCACTGGCTGGCCTGATGTTGACACTGCAGTTGCTGAGGTCTTTTGTTCCTGCCCTGACATAACCTGAGCAGTGGCAGGAGACACTGCCACAGAAGGAGGAATCTGCTTCTTGACAAGAGCAGTTTGTCCAGTGACAACTGTTGATGATGGAGTGACAGATGCTGTGGTCATCACTGTCTTAGCAACTGAAGCCACCGTCAATGTCACCGCAGGTTTGGTGCTTGTAACTAAGCTTTGGGTAGCCTGTGTGACTTTTGCTGGAGCTGCTGAGGATGTTGTCAGCTGTGCAATGTTTGCTTTCACAGGAGAAGCACCTGCTAGCTGCACAACTGTTGGGGTTCCTATTGTGGCACCGGACTGAACCTGCAACCCTGTTGCCACCTGCTGTGTCTTAACATTTTGCAGGGTGAGCTGTACAGGAATACCACCTGGGCCTACAGCAGTCAGCTGACCCTGTGGTCCCACTTTAAGCTGTGTTCCTGGGGGTAAGTTTGCAGGCAGTGTCACAGGAAGTTGCTGTCTAATCACAGCCTGGCCACTGCTTCCTGCTATGGCTGTCATGGTCAGACCTGTCGCACCAGGCAGCTGGATTGAAGTTGTAACAGGAATCTTTAACACAGCTGTCCCTGGCACATTACTGGTTCCACTCTGCACTGGTAACCTCAGAACTGTTCCAGTTGTGGTTCCGCTTGACGCAGGGTTGCCAACTGGGGCAGCCATACGCACAATGGTTGCTCCTTGTAGTTGCGTTGCACCAACTTGGGTGGTGACTATCGTCACAGGTGCTGTTCCTTGAATCCCTGCACCCTGAAGTCGCATGACAGGGATGCCCTGAGCGTTGGTGATCATGGTAGCCTGAACTCCAGGAGGAAGCTGAACTGGTGCTCGAATCAGTGCAAGTCCCTGACCAGTTATTGAACCTGCTGAAGCTGCTTGACCCTGATTGACAAGCTGGCCTTGAACAACTGTCTTTATACCAGATACTGCAGTAGATGCTGTGGCTGTAGATGTCTGAGTTACTGACGTACCTGTTGACGTAACTGAAGAAGCCACAGCTGGCACAGGACTGGCAGCTGGACTTTGTTTCTGAATGACAGGCTTGACTGGTGATGCCATTGGCTGTGCTTTGGGCTTAGCTGACTGTGATGGCGACTGCATTACAACTTTCTGTGTTGCCATGCCTAGCTGTTTAGTTGGCGTAACAGAGGGCGAAGTTGCTGGAGAGGCCTTGACTGCCACTTTTGGAGGTGTAGTTGCAGATGCTGGTGTCTTTGTCCCTAGTGGGCTTCCTGACCCGGTGGATGAGAAGGCTGCTTTCACTGGAGTGGCAGCTGGTGTTGGGGGAAGTTCATACTTCTGTAGCTGCAGTAGATATGCATCAGCTGTGAAAAAAAGGATGTCAGATAATCACAAAATGTACCAATAACACTTAAACGCATGTAAAGAAAGTCTTGTCCGATAGCCCGGGGCTAGTGGATTTTGCTATTGGACTAGTGATTTTTGTTCTTAACTTGCCCGACGGGCAAGTGCTGTTTTTTGGGGAAATTCAAATTACAGAAAGATTGTCATCAATCCTGGTAATCAAAAAGGATTTTGGGCCTAGCTGAAATGAGTGTGGGCTAGTACATGCTAGCTACAGCTTGCCCGAATAGGGGGCTGTAAAACTGACTTTCTTTGCACCCTGTTAAAGGATATCCAAGACAGCCTGATGTAGAAAAAAAAAAGGTTTTTGTCACAGCAAAATAGGTAAATGTGGGGAAAATCTGTTGTCATGTTAAACCACAATTTCCTTTGTCTCCTATGAAGACCTAGGGCTAGGCAACAAAGGAAATTCTGAATCAAACTTGGGGGAAAAAACATTTAACCTGAAAATGAATTTTATCCCCAACAGATACAGATTTCACATGTTACAATTTAGAATTTTTCCTTAAACAAAGAACAATGTGAGTTCACTTTACATAATGAAAAAAGCACTTTATTCGCACCAGAAAAATGAGTAACACACTGGCTGTATATTTTGAGTACAAGCATGGCAAATGATGAGGATTGATCTCAATGACTCTTTGCCGTTAAACTGCATTAATCTCTGTGATTATCAACACCACAAATAACCAAAAGATGTGACAACAGAAATAACAACATACCAGTAGGCACAGAGCCCCAGCACACTTCCAGGGTAGTGGTACTTGCTCGAACCAACTGCACCCTAGTTGGGGCAGGAGGTTTTTCTAAAGAAAAAAGAAAAAGCTTACGTCATATCACAGAGTTATGGAAATACAATTTAAATGCAGAGAGCTTTTAAAGTGATCAAGGCAGAAATAAAACCACATACACACCTGTTTCAAGATACCACAAGTCTTTGCAGCATACCTGCCAAAAATCATGCTATTAGCATTTTGTCTTGAAATTCAACTCTATAAAAACCTAACACTGTGTGAAGTAAATACTAAGAACAACCTAAATAACTAGTGAACTTAAATAAGAAAAGAGCCCCACAGAAGCAGCGCAGCACAACAGTCACCTAAAAGATAGAACTAGTTTTAAAACTTACTACCTGACTGTAAGAACACAATGATGTATTTGGAATTAACATGGAGAAGTGAACAACTCCTGAGATATTTTACGCTCAAACTAACCTGATTGTTCCAAGCTTTTCGGTAGCCGTCTCTGCCACTCCACATGTACAATCTGGTGTTGATCTGATTAAAATAAAAATAAGGTACTTAACACTTATAACAAACTGAGCATTTTGGAAGAAAATACATGTATGGTACAATCCTGAAAAACTGAATTCTAGTCAATTCACTTATTTTGCTGACTCAAAATGAGCTTGAAGTTTTGCTGACAAAATCTTGTGCTTGGCTACAGGTTCACAGTGATATGAGGCCTCTCTTTGACTGTTCAACTATAGCTATTTTGTGTTTGAATAATGACTTATTAACAATATTATTCCACCAATGCCCATTGGATATGAGATAGTGATAGCCAGCAAGAGTTGGCTATAATCAACTCATTTATCCAGCAAGCGTGAGTGGATTATTGTTGAATACAAACGCCCACAAAATATCGAGAATTCTTCCCGATTTTTCTTGTCAAAACAACCAATTTTCAGCTTGTTTTTAATTATAAGCAGACGCGTACAGTTACCATATTTGGAGAGCATGGCATAATGGCTCATCTACAATGATGGCTAAGCCAATCAGGGCTCTAGAACTACATTATCCAATGATTCCATTTTTAATAATAGCTTATATTAACTTACTAGTTAAAAAGGTGCTTGTAAAGTAAGTTACAGCCTGAGTGGTGGGTGGTTGAAAGGGGATGGAGAAGGGCAATTTTAGGCATGTGAAGGATGTGCGACAGAGGGGACAAGAAGATGGTAATGTCTTAATACGGTAGTATTGATCAACAACTTTGAAATGACAGCATTATTGCTTTGCATTTCATTACAATCCATTAACGAAATAAAAAAGGCACAAGAGAAGCATCTTTTTAAGACTCACAGCCACACTGCAGTGCCCCGCCCTTGCTCTAGGGATTGAATCATCATACTGATCCATCACTACATTCTCCCAAGACATGCTTTCTGTGGACAAAAACATAAAAAAGTGTTTAAACCAGGGAATCAAAAAAATGTTCAGTACTACCCCTAAGAGAGGGACAACAGTTTTGAGGAAACATAAGAGATGGTTATTCTTATGACAAAAAACTGCTGCACTCTCTAAATGATTTAAGTGCAGTACAATACTTAACAAATTATTATTATTGGATGAAGTTGAGCAAAATATCGTGATTTGTCAGTGGCAAGCAATCAATTATTTGCCAAAATATTTTGCGATAACCGAGTTCAATAATTCTTTTATCATTTGATCACCTAGTTTTTTTTTTGTAATGAATATTCTCAGGAAGCGAACCATTCTGCCATTTTCACGCAACAGTGATCACAAGAAGGAGAAAACCGCGGTTTCTTTTACTCATTTGCAGAATATTATTTGCAGCCAAACACAGTTGGATGAGATTGGGCATGAGCAGACCGTTATTGGTGGGCAGTTATTTGCAGCACACGTGGTGGGCCCTTGACCAATAAAAAGAAAGAAAACTTGGCTTCGAATGACAATATTGCCTCAATCATACACAACAATAAATGAATGTAGGATATTTTTAACTTTAACTTCTCAATATTAAAGTAAACCACTATGTCATTGATTTTATTTATTAGTGACAACTATCACAACTACCTTAAACTAAATCAATTAACTATCACAGAGCGTACCTAAATTTAAACAAGCGAGAGAGTTTGTACATTTCCATTCCTTCTCATCTTGCCTCCCTTTCACTTCATCCATTACAAGCGGTACCCAACCACCAAACACAAACATTCTGACAAACAAGAAAAAAAAAATTGAAAAAACATAGTAAGTACATCACAAAAGGCAGTCTCTAAGTTCTCTATGACTTTCTTGATGTATTAGTCCACTATTACCAACAGGCACACCATGTGAGAATGTGTTACGCAGTAGACAGACTGCTTTTGCTAAGAAAATGTACAGCAGTTGCAAATGACAGGTAACAAACCTTTTGCCAATAGTAGTAGCAGAATGGAGGCTCCTTGGCAGAGGAATCATATTGTGGACAGCTGGTTTGGACCATGTCATTGTCTCTGTAATGTAAATAAAGTCATCACTTTTTAAAAACATTACTCTGAAATGTCTGTAAGATGCTAAAACTCCCCTATATGGCTTAAACTCCAACACTGATCACATCCAAATAAAACTATTTTTCACTGCAACATTTCTACCAGTTCATCAATGGTTGACTTTGAATTATCATGGGCAAACATTTGGCCAGTGGGGTCAAATTATATCTAACAGCACTTTCACCAACCAATATCTAACTGCTCCAACACTGATCACACACAAATAAAATTATTTTTCACTGCAACATTCCTACCAGTTCAACGGTTGACTTTGAATTATCATGGGCAAATATTTGGCCAGTAGGGTGAAATTATGTGTAACTGCACTTTCACTCACCAATATCTAGCTGATGGAGATCACCAAGACGGCAACCACTCATTCCACCATAAACAATAAGTCTTGGTCTCTTACTGTCTGAGTCTGACGTAGCAACACAAGTGTGTGATTCACGTGGAGAAGGTGTCATACCAAACGTTGATGGTACTTCCCACTGCAAGTTATTGCTGCTCCGTATATCTACCACGTAGAGATCATTTAAATATCTGTAGATAGATGACAGAAACAACCTGTAACTTTTCATTCAACTTTTACATCTGTTCAGTGATGTTCTTCAATAGTGTGAAATGATTTCTACTGTGGGGGTAATAAACACAAATCCTCTTTCAAACACAAACAAAACAAGAAACAAACCAAACTGCTGGCAAAAAGGCAAAGGTTAGGAATTAAAGATTTACCTAGGAACGTTATTTTTTGGGTCATCACTGTCATTAGCCAGTCCGGCAAAGAGATAAGCCTTGTGATTGACAGCAGTGAAACTGTGTCCTAGTCGAGGGCATGGATAAACCCCAGGGGACTTAGGTGCTTTAGGCTTCAGCTTCTTCCATTCCCACCGACTGGCTTGCAACTCGTACATCTGAAAACAGAGATAACATTTCACATGTGCCTCTACATGTATACTGTACAAGCACAGTCATCACAGTACTGTATACACCTGTTGTGGCTAAATTCTATCCTTAGTTTCCTTTTTTTTAGGGGGGGTAAATTGTGAAATGTAAAATATCTTATTATCCACTACCCCCTCAGTGCTTTTCAGGAGTAATTTACAACATTGGTTGAGGACTTCTGCCAAAGTCCTCCTTATGGTGCACTTTCAATGAAGCAATGAGTTATGAATACCCCATAATGTGACTGAGAATTTGAGATAGACCACCACTCTGGGGAGTACCGGTACATCCCCTATCTTTTATGAACAGTGTGTTAGCTCCTAAAATAATGTCCCACAGAATTTATTTTATGAGCAAGTGTTGTAAGACTGACCCTACAGTTTATCATGCCTTTATTAGCTGAGAAGACCAGAAATTCCAACAATTTGCTGATATATTACTAAGAAAGCACTTGCTTCTCATTTATTTAAAGACTGAGTGTTGGTCTGCCCGGGAGACCTTTTGGGAGACCAGTGCTTATCCAGGGGGGTGATAATGAGTTACAAACAAAGGAAAATAAAATTTAAACCACGGTTACAATAAATTGAACCACAACAAATCCTGTGAAGACAAACGTTTTTCAGGTTAGCTTGTAATATTAGTCAGCTGCTTTTACACACAACTCTATGAGTCATAAATAATAATGGAAGTCTCTTATAAAAATATTGTGCAATCGATAGCAAATTGGCAAATGATTCTCTGCACTGTTCTCAGGGTATGATCAAATCTTGTACTTGACTGTAGTGGGCTCTCCTTATATATCTGCAATAAGCATTTACTTTTCCATTCATAAAGTTCAATAAAATCCATGTGATAGCTTTTGTAAACATAACCTGAATTGTAAGCAGCTACTGTTACAACATTTCAAGAATAATGACACAAAATTGCAAAAAAAATTGCTAAAAAATTCCAAATTTCTTGATGGATAAGTTACTAAATATTGAGCTTTTAAGCCAACAAACTTAAAATGTAAAAACAAGTTGACTATAGGGTGAATTTTTATTCTGCTTAACTTATAAAAGGACTTAATGATAACAACTGAAATAATGTTACACTTTTATTTCATAAATAATAAATGAACAGTACTGATATTTATTTTTTTTACTAGTTGAATCCTTTTAGCTGGGTGATAAAGATAACCTGTCTGTTTTATATCCCTAGAATGTTGAATATATGAACAGTACTGATATTTATATTTTTTATTACCAGTTGAATCCTTTTAGCTGGGTGATAAAGATCACCTGTCTGTTTTATATCCCTAGAATGTAGATAGGCCAGCCACAAATAATATTAATGACTTTTCAATTTCATCATTTATACGTCATTTCCCATCACAAGAACCAAAATTTATTTTGCGTTGAAAATGAGAAAAGCGCAGAATCAAGGGAAAGAAAATCATGATTGGGTTTTAATCTCTGAACTTTTCAAGTAAATATTTTTTAACTTGTAAGAATCTATCACTCAAGGAAGTATAGCTGTATGTGTGAGTTATGGCTGAACTAAAAACAAGAAAAATAATTCATCTAGATCTGAATTGACATTATTAAGGACTTTCACTTACATCAAAAGAAAATCATAAATATTTTTTGGTGTAAATGTCTTTGTGCCTGCAGGTATCTTAGAATAATTATTGGGTTATGATGCTGACACAAGATACACAAACTTGACATGAATTTTACTTATTCACAAGAATATCATTAAGCAACCACATTCTTCCTTAAAAGCTTTTAGGAAAAATAACTATTTTATCTGATTTTTCTCTCTTTACACATGTTCACTTTAACAGTGGTATAAACTTAGTTGAAAAGAACCTTTTGAGTAGATAATACATTGTAGCAATCACACCATTATTTGAGGCCCTAAGGAGAAAATAACCAGCTTCTTGAAAAATAATCAAATGCACAAAGGACCATTAAATAGCCTTTTGTGCACGTAAATTTTAAGCTTTTGTCAATGCAAACCATTTAACTTTACAATATAGCTCCAAGAAGGATCAAGCCTCTAATTACTTTCCCACAAAGACATTTTTTGCCACAAAATTGCACATGAAAAATAACATGTTATTCAACTCAATAACATAACGAAAATGAATTAAGAAAACTACTTTTCAATGTTTTTCTTCTTGGATCAACTTTCAGAAAATATTTTGTTGACTAAAAAAGATTGATATAGTGGGTATAAAATTTCCTGTAACAAAAAAAATACCATACCGAATTAAAGCTGATGTAGACATGATTGTTCTCACTCTAGTTAAATGCACAAAAACATTTCCTTATGTAAAAAAAATGTTGAAGAGATATTATGGTTACAATATTTATTACGAAATATATTGTAAGACACTCAAAAAAATTTCAAAAATTCCATACAATAGTTTACAATCTTCGAACTGAATTATAAAAGCAAACTGGCTCAGTGTTCTCTCAGACATTTGAACTTCAAGAAAAAGCTAAATCGTGCTATTTCACGTTGTATATTGGAGGACAGTTTGATTACTGCTCGACGCAACGAAGTGTAAACATACAAAACATGTGAATATGCAAGACTACAAAAATTGACTTTGATTTACGCCTACGCGTATATCAGACTCAAAACACTCGTTTTAAAGCTATATCAAGGTTCGGCTCCGATTTAACGGATTCTAAACAATATCAATTACACACTTGTCTTCACAAAGAAAACTCCTCGACCTCATTATCTGCGGAAATGGCCAAGGAGAATTTTTCTCAGGGGAAAATAATAACAAAAAACAACGTAAGGGTTACGTAGTGTACCCTTTCGCCAACCTTAAGAGGTGCCCCATAAATAAATGATTTAAGCTACGTCTACAAAAACTGTTTCCCAATATTCACGCACAGATAAAAAATACTTAATAGCGAAAATTTACCTCATTAGAGTAGCGCCCGTATTCAACCATACCACCGAATGTAATTAGTCGAGTACCATCCGCAATAAAACCGTACGCCGCACATCCCGGAGGAACATCTCCGCGAACCGCGGGGACAAACCATTGATTTGTCGCTAAAAAAGAAAGTAAAACATTTTGATTAATGTGAAGAACATAGCACGCTTAGCATGAGCGTCAGCGGCTAAAAACAGCATCGGGAAGACTCTGGCGCGAAGATCAAGCACATAGGGGCCGCCATGTTTCTCGCTCCCACGCAAACTGCGTTACCTGTGTTATAGACGTGTAATTCGTCCACGATTCCTTCATTTCCTCCTCCAAAGACAACCATAAGTTCTCTTATTGCTACAGCGCGATGTCCATGCCTTGGTCGAGGCACGGGGCCAGTAGAATTTGTCACACGCTTCCATTTCATGGTCGCCGCCATGTTGTTGTTATACGGGCCATCAAGAAAAAGACAATGAAGTTACCCAAAAGCTCTTGCGTTGTTTGCTTTTGCTTCGCGCGCCGACAGGTCAATCAATTGCGTCACGTTATCAAGATCGTAGAAATCGATAATGACTCGTGTACCACGACGGTGATGAAACAACACATGTTGTGGTAGAGGTTATGGCAGAGGCTGGCCACGCTTAAAACATTTTGAAATCGAACGACATTTCGTTGAAAAAAATCGCTGAAGACATAATTAATGTGAAGTGAAAGTGAATTTCTTCCTAAGCTAATAGTGAGCTTAAAAATGAAACGAGAACACGTGTTAAATTGTAACTTTTCAGCGTGGTATCCAAAGTTTAAAAATATCACCATTAGAAGCCGGGTAATTCCACTTCCTAAAGAGTTCGTTGATTATCTGAAAGCTGATAATGTTGTCTTACCCGGAGAACCTGTGTCAACAGTGTCTGGGGCGGAAGCTGAGAGTGATTCAGAAGAATGGCTGTCTTTGGATGAAGATCCAAACGAACAAGCAATCAGTGTTCCGGAGTTCAATGAGGTGGATTCTGCAATCAGAGAAGCTATTGTTGATTTGGAAGGCACTGTTTTTCCCAAATTGAATTGGAGTTCCCCTCTAGATGCGTCCTGGATCTCATTTGATGGCACACTGAAATGCCAATCTCCAAATGATATTTATCTTCTGCTCAAAAGCTCTGACAAAATTTCTAACACACTTTTTGACTCTTTCAAACATTGTGAAGATGGAGAAGGGGAAATGACTGATGGTTTTGAGCTGGTACTTCGCAAATGGAAGGATATAAATCCAGGGATAGAATTTAGATGCTTTGTCAAGGACAACAACCTGGTTGCAATATCCCAAAGAGACACAGCAAGTTGCTATGACTTTATTGCGCAAAATGAGACAGACATTTGCAGTGATATAGCAAACTTTTTTAGAAAGAAAGTAGCTAACAAATTTCCTGACAGTTCTGTTACATTTGATGTCTACCGGTATTCACCACAGAAAATTTTACTAGTTGACTTTAATCCTTTTGGCGCACAAACAGACCCTCTGCTTTTCACATGGGAGGAACTCAAAGACCCTGCCCGTTGCATTACTTATAATGACGATAAGTTTCATGGTGTTTTCAAGTATGTAACAAGTGATGGAGGGGTGCAGCCCAATCCTTCTCACTTCAGCAGAATGCCGTCAGATATCAATGATTTAGCTTGCGGCAATGATGTCAACAAGTTAGTTGATCTTCTAAATGTGAGAAATTTGATAAGGCAACCTGGAGAGGAATCTGATGATGACTAGCTAATGGCAAACATGTTGTGAACAGTAACAGTTTTACAACACAGGATGACCTTGGTCACATTCTATCCTCTGTGTTGGTTGTCAGAGTCATGAATGGTGCTCTCCGTCTTTTAACATGGTGATACAACAAATGCAAAAAGAAATTACCACAGGATTATTTTCTTCAATATTATTGCAGATATAATGAAATCCTAGGAATGACTCAGTTGCAACTTTTGAGATTACACATAGATGTTAGTATCATAAGAAAACAATATGGAGACTATAAGATAACCCCAGGGGGGTACTCCAGATTTTAAGTGACAGAGATTATCAAAGGCCTCTTTTGGGTTTGAAATTTTTGATGCCAGGATTTTTTTGGGTAGGAAAATTTGGCAGGAATTCTTTTGGGTGGCTTGATTTAAGTAGGGATTTTTGGGGTTATTCAAAACAGTGTGCAGATTCATTGCAGCACCCATGTATCCTGGCCACATAAATCTGTGAATAAAGTACAACCAAACTTGTTTAGCTCTGTGGAAATTTTTAAGGCTCGGAAATTCAGCATGGGATTTTTTTGCGGTTAAATTTTTGGTTCAGGGAGTTTTTGGGGTTTTGATTTTTGCTCCCATTAAATCATCCCCATCACTTGATATCCGGAGTAACCCCCCTGGGAAGGTAACCAGTCTGTGGAACACAAAATGATGTGACCTGCTTGTGGAGTGTTTTTGAGTCTACAAATTAATATTTTCCTAGAGATAATCCTCGGCAACATCTACACTATTATTAGGTGAGGTTGAGCATGATCTTGAAGGCATTAAAGCATTTCCGTTGTTGAGGCAGATGACACAAAGCAAGGCTTTGGTAATATTATTATTATTGCTCTCATGCAAAACCAAATCATGCATTAACCTCTAAAGAGTCCTGGAACCTTTTCACTCAATCTGGAAACTTTGATAGTCTCAAGTTCATGCTTATTTTTTTTTGAGTCTCAGATTTCTGAAGTTTTTTGTGTCAAGGTGTTTGATTGTAAAGTAATATCTTGGCAAGTCTGACATTTTACCAAAAACTATCATGTCTAGAAAAAATAAAGGTAATAAAATTGTTACTATGCTGAGCTAGAAACAGCAGTTTATAATAGTTTTAGTTCTGTAAAACATTTTCCAACAAAAATTTACAAAATGTAGATGACTGTTTACTTTTAAGTTGCTAAACAAAGGTCTATTAAAGAAAACTTAGCTCATTTTTTGTCTACAACGCAATCAGATAGCCTAAGAAAAATGATTCAAGAGTTGCTTGGCCAAGGCATGTGTAAGAAATCAAAGTATGGTTCTTGAGCTGTCTTGGTTTTAAAATGTGTCACTTGGTGGCTAGGTATGAAAATCAAAATGGGTAGCAATTTAGTGACGGGGATTAGAGAAGCTAATGTTTATTGAGGCTTGGGCATGAAAATGGTTTGTCAAATTTCGTGGTCTGCAAGTAGGTGAGGCTCGATTTCCACCGCTCTCTGAGTCCTTCACGGAAGAGCGTGGGCTCATTTCCCGAACAGTGGCTGGTAATCGAGCCTACAAGTAGGTGCCAGGCAAATAATTAACATATTTTCCGCTCATTTCTTCTCTTTTTTATTGATAACCCCTCAATACATTTGTTAATAGGCCATTTGCATGATGGCGTCATTTTACTACTACGACCAGAATCCTTTTTGTTTTTCCTTTCATACTCTAATTTGTATACCTGCCAACTCTCACGCCTGCGGGTTGAAAACTTCGATCTCACGCCCGCTCACGCCTGCGGACCAATTTCTCACGTCTGATTGAAAAATGTGAGTTGTTGCCGTCTTGCTTGACACAATCTCCAAAAATATGTTAACTCAGACCCATGTAAGGAACGAAAACCATGTGTAAAATGAATAAATGACAATACCTTCCTTGCGATCTCTGATTTTGTGGATAAGCGTTTTCTCGATAACTTCGCCTTCGGCAGACTTCGGACGTCTTCGAAGACTTCGGACTTCTTCGAGAATCTTCAGAAATGATCGTGTCGTTTTCAAAAATCCCAGCACTCCCAGGATAAAAATCTCACGCCTACATCTCAGAAAAAGTTGGCAGGTATAAATTTGGTATTCCCAGTGAGGTTTCGAAAACAAAAGCCCTAATTTGCATAAGAAAGCAAAATCCTGAAGGATTCTGGTCGTAGTAGTAAAATGACGTCATCGTGCAAATGGCCTATTTACAAGAGTAGTTACCTGTCTCTTTCTATACAAGTCTCTTTTCTCCTGTTTTTTATCTGCTCGTGAGCACTTTAGGTAAGATAAAAAATCTGTTACAAAATACACTCAGAACGGGGATACAGACCTTTTTCAATCCTTTTGTAGCTGAAAACACCATTTGCTGACTCACAAAATCTGAAATAGAGGAATGACAAGGGGCTGTTTGGGAAAAACTGCACATTATGCACTTCGCTGCAAAAATCTATTATTTCTCACCCCCCACCCCTTCACTCTCCCATGGTCTGTTGAGGACTGGGACACAGTGTTTTGGTTTATCTGCCGATCAACAATTGTTCTGCCGATCGCCATGTTCCAATGGAGGCTGCTCTTCTACTCTCCTGGGCAGCGAGGAATTTATCTGAGAAGGGTTATAAATAGACGTTTTTCTTACATTATTCTCGGCGATGAAAAGAACGTAAGTAAAGCATAGTATTTTGTTTTGTTTTAAATGCATTCGTCCATCATCTGCATGATTTCATATCGATCTCCAGACTGGAAGCTAAGCGCTGTCAACTCATGTTAACTGGATCTTTCCTGGATTTAATTTGTAAAGTTCTTTAGCGCCTTTTTTATATATTCTTTACTATATTTTTTTGTAGAAAGGTGTACCAGTAAAAGCATGGATCAAGGGTGTTCCAGTTGAGAAAGATGCAACGGATCAACTTCTTTCTTTAGCAAAATTGCCAATTGTCCATTCTCATGTAGCTGCTATGCCTGATATGCATCTTGGGAAGGGTGCTTGTGTGGGATGTGTGGTTCCGACTGTGGGTGCCATCATCCCCTCTGCTGTCGGAGTGGTATGGTCTAGATTTGACAACTGTCATTTTTGTCCTGTAATAAATACCGTATTCACTCAGTTATATGCTGCCCTTGATAAATGCTGCAGATGGAAGCTAAAATACCACAAAATGCCGCCCTGGAATAAAAGCCGCACCCAATAGAAATATTAACACCGTGGTGTTTAATTATGTAGATATGGTATGATTCTTTCTCGTGAGATCATTTAAGAGAAAAGTCCTGTCCAATTTAAAGATCAACGATTAGTACCCCTGGGCAAGCCTTCTTCACCACCCCATGGCCAGTCACTTGAACAAAGCTGAAGTTGTTCAAATTTCCATAATGTTATGGCAGTGAAGAATGTTGCTCAAATTCCCCACCTTCATGTCTTAATAGTTGATCTTGCGTAGTAAAAACGCCAAGAAGTTATTTTTGTTAAATACAGTGGATTAGCTCTCCTAATGGACGCTCTTGTAAGCTGATCGAACAGCTCTACTTAAGGCGGCCTTCACAAAACCCTGTTTTTGTCAACTCCAATACAAACTCTATATCTTTATATTCCCGTAAGTGGCCAGACACCTTTTTCGCATCCCGAGGGTGTCCACTCACTACAGTGTCCACTGTATCTATAAGTAAAAGATTCCGGGTTGTGGTGTATGCCATCATACCACAGGCTCTTGCATCATTCTCTCTAAGCTGTATGTGGCACATTTTAGAGTAAATTGCTCAAAAATAAATGTCTGTTGAATTTTCCTGCCAGAGCACAATCTTTTCGTAACGAAAAGATGCAATATATTACACAGGACATTGGATGTGGAATGATGGCAGTAAGGACAACACTAACAGCAAATCAGCTGCCAGATTCCTTGAAGAACCTTCGTACAGCTATTGAACAGGCTGTACCACATGGGCGGACTCATCAGGTCTGTAACCTTTGGTGCCGGAAATGATACTGTGAAATCATTTATTGCAGAAAATATCAAGAAAAGTTAACAAATATATATTTTTTAATGAGAGTAAGAAAAAATAATACATCAAAGTCTTCAACAAACTGTTGCAAGAACAGTGAGGGTCACAGGTCAGTGATGTGCGCTATTACCTACTGTAAAATTCCGAAAATAAGCCCCTCCAAATATAAGCCCCCCAAAATCATAATGCAAAAAACCCTCCATTAAATTGCCCCTCTGAATATAAGCCCCCTGGGGGGCTTGTACTTGGAATTTGCCCTCAAATACAAAGTTAAACAAAGCAAAAATGGTAAATTTCCTTCCCATTGCAAGCTACCCCAATCGATATTGAAACGCAAATTTCCCTCCGTACATAAGCCCCTCCAAAAATAAGCCCCTCAAAAAGGGCCTTTGAAAAATATAAGCCCCAGGGCTTATTTTCGGAATTTTACGGTATCTTCCTCTTTAAATGAAGTCTTTTACTTGGTGTTTGATTTGCCACCTACTTGTCATGGAACTAGCTGGAGTTAGCATATGCACACTCAACTAATCATGATAGGTGACAGCGGTATATGGAATGGAACACTCATTATTAAATCTTTAGTCTAAGAATGATAAAAAAATGTATAGGTCAGGGCAAAAAATAATGAAAATAATAACAATCATGATGATAATAATGGTGATGATGATGATGATGATGATGATGATGACAAAGTTAATAATAAAATTATTATTTTTAGGGTCGCAAGGGTGATGTTGGTGCATGGAAGTCAAGTGACATTCCACAGTTTGTCGTAACGGAGTGGGATAAACTCAAGAAAGAGTATGAATACATCTGTAGTCGGCAACCGATGGCGAAGGCACAGAATAACGTGAATCATCTTGGAACATTAGGCACTGGAAACCACTTTATTGAGGTAATGTGCGTATGGGATGTGGTTTTACTTTTAATTTATTGATGATGGGTTTTGTTACAATCCCTGCTTTGGCAATTTTTTATAGAAATTTTGACCTGTTGAGTGGTATTTACACCATTCCCTTTCACAGTTTTTTCAACTTTTGAAATGGACAAGTTAGGGAAATTTTCATTGACACCACTGGAAAGATTGCCTTTATTAGCTTATATTCATCTCCTGTCAGTAATGTCTGTTTCCTGGTAGGTATGTCTTGATGAAGAAGATAGAGTTTGGTTTATGTTACATTCTGGGTCACGTGGTCCTGGCAACAGAATTGGAACAGTGTACATTGAACTTGCCAAGAATGATATGATGAAACTGGACAAACGAGTTAAGGTACATGAATGCCAAAATTGTCGTGTGTATTCGGCTGTGGTTGTGGTTGCTTTTGGCTGCTGTTTGGCCATTTGATTGCAAAGTTAAGGGAACTGTTTAGATAGTCATACATGCTCTTCCAACTTAATGTTGGACAAAGGTGTTTGATCGTTTACTAGTTGGGGTGTAATGTTGACCTAATATACATATTCTTCCCACTGTTGTTGTCCATGCATTATCGATATATACTGATTGAGAAAAAATTTTATAAGGAGAAATTTGTTGCTGTTCACCTACCATTCAGGCTGATCAAGGGTTAACACTTTTCACTCCTTCAGGGTTAATTGTAGAAGCCTTATGAGGCAAATGTGTGAGAATAAATAACCAAACAAAGTGCATTTTAGAAATGCGCTTTTTATGGATCATGTTAAGGCAAACAGTGCATTTGGTTTGTATCGGTCGCTTAGCTCTGAGCTGTACTGTGCTGTATGTGTAACAATTAAGCCTACGGACAAAAGCCTGTGGAACACTGTATTTCTGCTCATCATCGTTCTAGTTCCACAAAAACCAAGGAAAAATGCTATAGAATAGTAGGTAAACCATCAACAACATCAATGTGATGAAGACTATTCTGTTTTTGTTGAACAGGTTGATAAAGATCTGGCTTACCTTAAAGAGGGCACAAAGAATTTTGAGGATTATGTGTTTGCAGTGACGTGGGCACAGAAGTTTGCCCGTGTAAACCGTGATATCATGATGTCAAGTGTTCTGCAGGCAGCTCACTCTTGCAGCAATATTCCACAATTTGAAGTGGACCCATTTAGCAAGGCTGTTAACTGCCACCATAACTATGTGAATTTAGAGATGCATTTTGGAAAAGAAGTGTTTCTTACAAGAAAAGGGGCCGTAAGTAACAAGATACTAAAATTTGGTATTATATAAAATACTCCATAAGGCCCTTCTCTGTTGGTTCAGTTGAATGTTCACAAAAAAGTTTTGTAAGCAAAACAAACAAAAACACAAAGCCAAAAGCAGGCCAAAAATAAAAGAACCTATGTCAGGAATTTTCTGCCTGCATTTATTCAGTTTTTTGGGATACGCTTGTGTTTTTCTTTTTGTGCTATGGTTCTTGTTAATTCAAGTTTTGAAATACCATGATGTCAACTACTCCATGATTTCAGACATGTCATTCAGTTGCTTTTTTTTCGACATTTTGAACCGGGGTACTTGCATCTCTTGTTGGTGAATGCACGGTCTAGTCCATTTAACACAAGGACTCGCCCTGTTAAAAAATATATATACTACAGTGGAACCTCGAGTTAACGAAGGGCCAAGAGACTGGAAAAATGTGTCCGCTTTATCGAGGTTTTTTTTCATATATCTTGCTATGACTGGGGTAAAGAAAATCGTTCGTTATACGGAGGACTTCGTTATATAGAGGTTCGTTATATCGAGGTTCCCCTGTATTTGCTTTGTGGTCTAGTATGTCAGTGATATTATTAATATTAATATTATTATTATTATATGATGATGATGATGATGATTCCCACAAGGTTTCTGCTCGTGATGGTGAATTGGGCATCATACCAGGGTCCATGGGAGCACGATCCTACATCGTCAGAGGCAAGGGAAACCCTGAATCATTTCACAGGTAGGTGGTTGTCTAATTGACGACTGAATTTTGGCTTTTTATTCTAAGCAAAGCGCGTCATGAGTTTTTAACGTAAGTAATAGCACTAATATCCTTCTTCTTAAATCACCATCATCATCATCATCATCATCGCCATCCTCATCCATATTATCTTCGTCATCACCATTATCATTATCGTCGGTGTCGTCGCCAACGCCACCCTCAGATTCGATTCTTGGTCAATCAACTTCGGCAAATACGCTTTGTCTGTAGTCGACTAATTTGCAACCTCAGTTAACGTTTTACCTGCCAACGTTATAATAGGAGGTTGAATGCTTAATCATTCTCTTTTGTGGTAATTTTCTCCTTAGTTGTAGTCACGGAGCTGGGAGGACCATGTCGCGAACCAAAGCCAGGAAAATGTTTTCAATTGAAGATCACGTGCGTGCAACAGAAGGCGTGGAATGTCGAAAGGACGCTGGCGTCATCGACGAAACACCAATGGCTTACAAGGACATCGATGACGTCATGGCAGCGCAGAGTGACCTCTTAGATGTTGTTCACAGACTCAAGCAGGTGCTGTGCGTGAAGGGGTGATATAGCGGAAGTGAAACTGATGAAAATTATAAAGTTTGGTCAACGGTGAATTCGAAAACTGTCAACTCTGCGGTCACGAGCAAAGGACAGTCAAAATAATTTCTCAAGGCACCTGTGGTTATCTAGTCTACCTACAGTTCACTTGGTCCCAGAGATATCAGATTTCATGTTACCTCCTCCTCTACCGTGGGCCAGACAGTTATGCCACTGTACTACAGACACCTATTCATACAGACTGTTCAATTGACAGTTATGCCACTATACTACAGACACCTATTCATACAGACTGTTCAATTGACAGTTATGCCACTATACTACAGACACCTATTTATACAGACTGTTCAATTGACAGTTATGCCACTATACTACAGACACCTATTCATACAGACTGTTCAATTGACAGTTATGCCACTATACTACAGACACCTATTCATACAGACTGTTCAAGTGACAGTTATGCCACTATACTACAGACACCTATTCATACAGACTGTTCAATTGACAGTTATGCCACTATACTACAGACACCTATTCATACAGACTGTTCAATTGACAGTTATGCCACTATACTACAGACACCTATTCATACAGACTGTTCAATTGACAGTTATGCCACTATACTACAGACACCTATTCATACAGACTGTTCAATTGACAGTTATGCCACTATACTACAGACACCTATTCATACAAACTGTTCAAGTGACAGTTATTCCACTATACTACAGACACCTGTTCATACACACTGTTCAATTGGCCTGAAAAGACCAAAAGACAAGTTGGCCAGTACCTCTATCAGAGTACGGAGACCTGCAACACTAGACCCATTAGGTACGTCTTACACGGTCGTCTCTTTGGTCTCCGTATGAATAAAGTATCAATGTACATTAATACAAATGGAGTCTTACCCGTTTTGCGCTACACAGCCTGGCTGGAGATACGCGCAGGAATATGAAGCTAGAGTCAGCCACCGTGGAGATTTGGCTCAAGGGGTTGACACTGAGAAATTTGAGCCGAAAATATGCATTATCTGCATGACATTACGTCATCAGTAAGGAGTGAAACTTACTCTGAATAGCCATCTACGGAATGTAAATAGTATTTCAGTCCAGGAGCCGCTCCAGTTCAATCTTATTTATAACTGGATTGTTTTCAGTGACATCAATCGATGTCTTGAAGGTTAATAAAGTATTGCACACCAGGCATGTAATTTTTGAATAACTTTAAGTACAAAAGGTGTTGTTTGATCCTTTATGAGTTTCATCACATCATTATCGTCGTCATCATCGTCGTCGTAATCGTCAGTTTCTTTTCCCCAAGTGGAGAAACAGCCACAAGTCTATGAGTTTACTGGTTTAAGAAAGCGACTAGGGTTTCAAAAAATGAGATTACTCGTAACGTGTTACCGACCGTTGTTGTGCGCCCGTGAACAGGTTGCATACCTGACTCTGTCAAACGGCTGGAAATCGAGCCTAAAAAATAAACCCGCGTATTAAACATGCCACAATTGATAGACACGTAGCTCTGACTAGACAGACAACTCAGCCCTGCCGGTCTGTCTCTCGGCAAACCTAACTGTGTAAAGCACCGCTGTATGAAAAGCTCCCCCCGACTTAAGGTCATCTTTACAGTCACTGATTCTGAAGGTAAAGCACCGGAGGTCGTAGATTCGAGATGAAGGTCGTAAGACAAAAACCAATTTTATGAGGTACGCAGTCTATCCCGTCTCCTCTAGGGTGATTTGAATAAGAGTCCTCTTTTATAATTATCAGAGTATTGCGAGGTGTATTCCTCCTTTCTCGGTGGAAGGAAAGTGTATGACAGAAGTCAGGCGTGAGTTATTCGTGACTGGCCAAATCCGGAAAAACACTGCAGTTTATTTTGAAAAACGCGATCTGAAAACGGTTAAGGCAGAGGTGACATAGATGATTTTCAGCTATTACCTTTGTCCCCTCTGCTTCTTAATTTGTTCTGTTTTTCTCTCCGACCTTTGTTAGCCTACGTAGCAGGCGCTTGGAAGTAACGCGCAGGAAAAACGGGGGGTGCGTGTCTCCCTCGCGCGCCGTTCTTTCTTGCGCCCAATACTTCCACGCGCTAACTTTTATCTTTAGTTTATCAATCTTTGAGATTTTTCGGGCCGCGCTCAGCTTCACTGATTTGTGCTCAGCAATTTATGCCTTCGTTTGGAAAATGTTAACAAACAGATAAAAAAGAACAAGGTTCCCGAAATGACACTACAGCATCCAGAAAGAAATATCGAGTAGCTATTTTACTTGGGAGATTATTACATGGTTAGCTTTGGGGTCCGTACGTCTACCTCAGCTTACTCTTGTATGCTAAGCCTCTGTGGCATCCAAGTTATATACATTATTTTTGAAGGGCGCTTATTTTTTCCCGGAAATACGGCAAGGGATGGACTGCTTTCATTCTCGGAATTTTACAATAGGATTTCACTTTTGTATAAAATTCTAGAAAGTGAATCATACTGATTAAAGGACAGCAAAATAGCTACATTTTGCTGTTCGTCTTTGCCGTTTACTGAAGTAAGAAATATGTTATACCAGTTGGTTTTGGCTTGAGATCTTTAGTTGTTCGACAACATTTGTACAAGGGAGCTATTTGACACCCGCCCCTATTCTGCGAGACGTCAGAGTTATATTGGATTTCAAACTGTCACGCAAAAAGGCATTTAGGATCGACCCTTTTTCACAGTTAAAGAACGTACAGACTGTTTGATTTAAAGACAGATCGTTTCATGGTGCGCAAAACAGGCAGCTCGGTGCGCTGAAGATCTCTTAGAATACCGCAGGCTGGGATAAACCGACGCCGTTCCAAGTGAGGCCACAGAAGTCACCGCTAGGGTTTGATGAATACCGTTCACCTTCTTGTTTTGTGTTTGCTTTCTTCGTCTCTTCCGCTGACGATTAGTTTTAGATACTTTCCTCGTTCTTACTTAAGACAAGGTAAGATTTCAATTGCGTTTTATGCCTTGGGTTTCGATCCTGTGTTAATAATTGGGATCCTGGAACGAAAGTGTTAAACTAGCTTGACTGACTCAAGTCTGTCTGATTGTCGTTACTCGGTTTTGCAAGCCATAAAGGTTTTCTTTGAATTAGAATAGCGCAATTTTCTTTTGCTGATGGCCTACAAGACCAGGCTTTTCAATATTTCTTTCAGTATTTGTTTTTATTGTTTATGATAAGCTTGATTTTCCGGCGGGCATGTGCAGAATTAAAAAGGGAGAAAACGGGAAAGTGCGTCATGCGATTGAAAGCCTTGAACGTAAGAGTTGGGGGTGGGGGAGGGAATGAAAGTGCGTGGTATATCCTCGAGAACGAGGCGGCCATCACGTGCAGGGCCTAATTGGATAAAACTGAAACTGAGGTTAATATGAGGAGATTTTGCCTTTTATGATGCAGAAAATGGTCATTAAAGGAAAAAAAGTACAGTCTGTAAAATCTCCCCTAAGGCATACCGCGTATTGTCTGGGGTGGTTTGGTTGATTTTATGACTTTTCCTTCTAGGTGACTAATGTCAAGGCCAGGTGATAACGACTGTAGTAAAATTGCCTGCGGGTATTAAAAAACTATACATTTGGTTATGTTGATGCGATTCCTGAATATTCAATACGAAACGATTAAATACACGTTAAGCGGCAAACATTTTAATTAAGAACTGGCAAATTTGTTGAAGATAAAAGATTTCTAATTTGAAGTCACAAGAAGGTTTATTTCCCAGCGGTTATTTCGTTTATCCGAATAGATGCGTTATAGAGAACACTTTTTTTTAGCTGTATAAGAACCTTGTATTTACAGAAAAAGGATTAAATATTATAGTCGCTATCAATACATTAGTTGAAATTGAGATCATTTGTGACGGACCACTTTTTAAGGTATTAAAAGCGATTCCACCCGGTAATCTGCCTTAACTCTTCCATGGTTCTACCTTTTCTAGAAATATTAGTCAGTTGAATTTACAATTCAACACTCACAATTCATTTTGTTAATTTTCATGATATTTCGGAGAAAACAAATTAGGAGAAGACCAAGATTCAGCAGCGTCTTATAATTAATAGGGCCACGGCAGTTAAAACGTTTGGAGAAGGAATCATTTAAAGCTTTGATTTTAAATATAATGTTTGTATATCACATTTTAATCGGTTTACTTGTAATACGGCAAGGGCACACGCTCGCGCTGCAAACAGTATTAATTTTTGTATTCGGCACGAAAGCCCAGGATACGGTAATATCATCACTTACAGCCTACAGCTATAAAGCTGTTTCGCTTCCCCAGCGGTAACTTAAGAGACCGTTGGTCGTGACAGAAACGAGGAGTGAATGAGAGCTGAGGAAATTTATCAATCAAAAGACATCTGACTAAATAAAGCGATCAGTAATATCGTAAAGAATATTGTAAAGAAAGACAAGTACTTTCGGAATATTTTATCTTCTTGCTTAATTTAGAAAAATTACTTAGAGCAGCTTTGCGATTTCTAGCACGTGTTTCAACGTTACGTCAATCCGTAACCAGCCGAGTCTTCAGATTCTTAAACCAGCCTTTAATAGGGAATCTTTTCCTTTTTTGTATTTTTCAAGTAAGTGGTTTTCTAAATATAGGCTAGGGTTATCGAAGATAAAATTTAGCATTTGATTAGCATATTTTTTAAAAGCTAAGAAGGCGGTTTTGTAATCTTTTCTACTCTTCACAAAAAGAAATGGTGTATTTTTTCTGCTCAACAAAAAAGCGTTACTTGTTTGGAAAGAAAATAATAAATGTTTTATTTTCTGACATCTATTGTATTTTCAGCTGATAATAAGCTGCAGTATTATGATTTGCTTCCCCTCGGTTTTCACGAGAGTTTAATTTAAGGTAGGAGCAATTTTAGGTATTAACCCTTTCGTGGTTGATCGTTATCCGGCATTTGTTTTAAATTTCAAAAGATTATATGTAATATTTTGAAAATAGATTAACCTGGGTAAAATCTCGAAAGGAAAAGAAATGACAGCGACAAACTGTAAAAAGAAAAAAACAAATCATTTTCAAAATACGTCAGTTAATTGAAGTCTCGTTGAATTTCTGCTTGTAACATTAATTTAAGGTCAAAAGCTGTCAGTATTCTCTCGCGAAAACTGAATAATGTGATCTGTTGTAACACCTTTATGCTCGCTTTATCCTTCGTGATTTCTCAAAAGATGACTCCAAAAAAGACTTTTTGGATCTTCCATCTCTTGAAAATAAAAATGTACTTGTTTGGGGAAGAAAAAATCACACCTGACCAATGCGAGCACCAGAGGGAAGGCCCCCGCTTTAGAGAGATGGGGGCCGAAAATTCGAATAGTTTTGTGGTTGACGTGTTCCTATGAAACACAGGGGTAATTTACACATCAGATATGCTTGGTCTTACTGGTTTGTTATGCAAATGACCCCGAATCAAAAATTAGCATCGACGTTCAAGTCTTGATGAAGAGAGTTGAAAACCCAGGGCGCTAGAAGAGCGTTTGACTCGGAGAAATCGAGAGCAGTATGTGGAGACTTTTTGAGGGATCGCTTGTGTTGTCATGTTTCTTTTGCGTTTTGTTGCCGGTATTAACGCGTGAAGCCAGTTTTGGGAAGGCTTTTGGGTTTAAACGAGGTAAAGTTATCGGTGTATTCTGGTTGAAGCCACTCAAACGCGTCTGTTCGAGATCATACCCAGTACTAATTATTAACTCTGTCATTCACAGGACATGGATTTCACGATGAAAATGACTACGACGATGGCTATGCGGAGTTTACAGGTGAGAGCTTTTAATGTTGCGATACTTTTCTGTATTATTCGCGAACAGTAAAACGGGCAAATAACTCATCAGTCATTATGCGTCCATCAAGTACATTTCGGGATGCAGTGACGTTATATGACACACTTTCGTCTCTAGTTTGTGGCTTTGAATCATCTACAAGCTGTCGTATTTTCTATTATTTACTTCTGTACTTTCTTCAGTTTTTTTCCTCACCGCAAAATTAAGTTTTTGAACTTCCTTAAGGGAACTTTCGTCTTTTAATTTACGACATTACAAGCGATCAGTTTTACGCATGATTTATCTCGTCGTTCCATCTTCACTTCCCGTCCATAAAAACTTTTATTTTTGAACACTACAGCTGTTTAAGTCTCCAGTGAATTCTTGCGTATACTCTTTTGTCCCGCTTTTAAGTTACTTTGCAGTATTTTGTAGCTAAGACAGGAAATAGAGGCGAAATGTTTTGAGTTGAAGTTCATTTGCATCATTTTGTATGCAGCTGTCGTACCGCGCTGTTGTTTTGAAAAATAATCCTTACTTTGTTAATACAGAGGAATCCCGGCATTGCGAACGGGCGATTTTTCGAACTTAGACTCAGAAAACCGATTTTCCTTATCCTGTTTTAACATTGTACCGTTCAAACTGATTTCCATTCTCCCGGGAGCGCACTGTTTTGACGGAGAACTGCGACTCTTATTCTTGTTATTTGCACATCCAAATTTTCTTTTTCTCGTTTTCTTGTTTCTGAAACAGGTTTTGTTTTAGATTTTCAAGAAAGAAAGAAAGAAAGAAAGAAAAAACGTATTCTTGTCGCTTAATGATCTGAAAGCTGTATCACCGAGAAAAAAAGCTTGTATTACATTGTAGATCAACCAACCAACGACATAAGTGATCATGTATTTTGTTTTGTCTCTCAGTGTCTGCTGCGGATCGTAAAATTAATAAAATTAATAGTAAGGTTTACTTACTGTTAATTTTTGTATTTTACCGCCCGCTGTAAGTCGCAACTGATCCTTCTTATAAACTGGAAGTCGAAACCAAGTCCGACAACAAAAAAAATAACGTGTTTAAATTTCGTTTTTTTAAACATATTTTGTGACTCGAAGCCAAAATGTCAAATTGTATATCTGCTGCTACCCTGCTAGCAGGGTAATCTGTTGCTGAACAGACGTACTTCGTCCAGTTTCGGTTGTGATTGTTGATAATCCAAAAAATAAAGCCTGTTGTTGTTCTACAAAACAGCTTATTTTGGCCCGCGTTTCATTTCTCTTTCGATCATGCTCACAAATTCTACGGTCAACAAAATAAAATGGGAATACAAAATTTTCCAGACGACACTATAATCTTGAGATATATTTGATTTATTTTATGTTTTCCTGGAAGGTTCAACACTTACAGATTTCGTGTGGCTAGTTTTCTATCCTATCTTGAGGGCATGAGTTTGCCGCCAGCGCCTTTTCGCTTCTTTAAATCAGCGAACGGTCGGAGTACATGAGTGTAGGATTCTATTTTTTGCCGGAACCTCATTGCTCAGTACTAGGAGCTTTTATTTAAATGATTATACTTGAGGATTTCTTCCATGGACTTAGACGTTTAAGAACCACCTTGTTGTGCTAATCGCTCATGATCAAGAGCTGTTCGTGTACAAAAACACATCTTCGTGTTTAGCTGAGGGATTTTAATTTCGTAATGAGAGGTAAATAAACCGAACAAACTTATTTTGAAGTAATTTAAACGCTACTGCAGCTATGTTTTGGATTTGATATATACGGCTAATTTTCCTAATTGTGTCGATAGCTTCTTCAGCCTAGATGCAGAAAGAGCACAGAGACTACATTTAGTACTTTTTCACATGTGCGGACCATACATGGCAGCATTGTTTAATCTTTCTGTCCTGATAGGTTCCTTCTTTATTTTGGAGGAATTCCCTCCATATCCGTCTCAACAAAACAAGACTTTGACAGGTGTCTTGGTGAAAATAGAAACTTCCTTTTACATCTGATTGTACAAACTGAAACTTCGAGTGTTTCGGTTTTTATACCCGATAAGAAATAGTATTAAATGCTATAAGGCACACCACTGTATTTTGTGATTAACATCTTTCGCCTCTCTAACTTATTTCGTCCGTTTAGATAATAAAAGGTGACCAACGCGAAAAAATTCCAACTTTCCTACGCTCAAACTTATTAAACGGTGATTTCTTGTATTGCTGTCTGCCGCAAAAGTTTGCAAAAAACTTTGTAATTACGTTGAATCGAGAATCATGAATGCGAGTAGAAACCACATGGTGTGGTCCATGGTGTGGGATAAATAAACATCGTGATTAGCAAAAAATAAATCGATTTACCCACAACATCTAAGCGGAACAAAGAAATTCATTTAGACCGAAAGTGACGAACAGTTCCCCTTAAATCCAGGTGGCTAATATTAAGCCTTTAGGCTTTTTCCTGCAAAATTAGATTAACACAACCACTTAGGGTAAAACCAAATACGACGCTACGTCCGGACTTTACTTTATTTTTGAATTATTTTCCCGTTCAAAACGCGCTGTTATAGAGCTCCTTCATTCATTTGATCTAAATCATTTTTTCTAATTCATTTCATCAACAACAGCACGGGTATGACATAATTTTGCATGTAAATAATTTTGTTTCTTAAGCTGAACCCTCCAAAGGGAATTAAATGAAATCAATTTTCGATTCCGGCGAAACGTTTTTCTACAAAGTTAGATTAACGAAACCCTTTTTTACTGTTCAAACTTTGAGCTTGAGTGACCTCTCTGTTAGCGGATTTTTCACCTTTATTTAATTTCTTGATAGTGTATAATACTTTATAGTTTTCGCGCGATTTTCCCGGCAGTAATCGAAATAAATCTTAAAGTTCTTCCCCGAGGAGTTTGAATTTTGCGTTTCCTTTACAATTAGAGGCCCATTCATGAACGTCTTACAAGAAATAAAGATAATTACTTGCGACACTGATTTTTAAACGCTGTATGTTCTTAATTGAATTGCTATTTGAAGGTAATTTTTTATATATTTCGGCAGAATGAGAGAGCGGCATCTTTTTTTTTTAACCTATTTTGTGCTTTGCGTGGATTCAAGAGAATGATCTCCGCGCGGACGTGAATCTCACGCAGCGTGGGATCGAGGGGGAAGTGAGAAAATTACCCCTTCCTCCTAAGGGAGGCAGCTGGTCGAGTGGTCTGCGCGTCGGACTCGCAATCCGGCGGTCCCGGGTTCGAGTCCCGCTCTGGAGCCCGTTTCTCGAAAGTCCCGATAATTAACGGGCCCGGTAAGCTGTCTCCGTTTACACTAGAGATCGAGGTTTCAATAGTTTTGCATCTAACATGATAAAACTGTCAGTTAATGAAACAAAATGGAGTTGTTTGCTAGCCAGGACCCGCGCTCTTATTCTTTATTTTTCGATTTGAATATTTGATTTCGGGCCCGTAAAGGTACCGGGACTTTTGAGAAACGGGCCCCTGGCCACTTGCTGGATTTGTGCTCGGTCATCCCGAGTTCAAATCCTCGGCCACGCTTGTAAAATAGCCAACTGGTTGCCTCCTGCCAGTTGGGGTTTTTAATCCTGTTATGTTGCATTTGAATTATTTGTTTTCTAAGTATCTACTGACTGTAAAGGGCTTTGGATCACTAAGAGAAAGGCGCTATATAAGTGTATTATTATTATTATTATTATTATTATTATTATTATTAGTCCTCTCATCCCCGTCACTTTAACTCCGGAGTACCCCCCCCCCCGGGGGAATCGACACTGCTGATCGCTCCTCACTGAAGTATTTTGCCACCCCAACAGGAGCTGAAAAACGCACGCTGTCAGAAATGCAGAGGCGAAGATTCCAAAATGTTCAAGAAGACGAGGGAGAAATGAAAAGAGATAGCATTCATGACCTGTTATTACGTGAGCTCACCAGAGGAGAAAAAACAGGTAAACAACTGATTACATTCAGACTACAGCAAGCTCATAGTTTTTGCAATAATTTTCTTTGTCGATGGGCGATTGATATATGTCTGCGTTTTTGTCATGGCTAGTGAGCGGGCCATTTTCAAAACTGGCGAATAACTTAAGCCTGCGTAGCAAACTCAACTCGCGCGCAAACGCTTGTTACGCTGGCTATAATAACTTTTTCATTTTATATGGCTAAATTTTTCCCCATCCGCGCGCGCTCACATAGGATTTTTTGAGGCCACATGCATCTAGTAATAAGACTGTTTCGCGCCAAAACTTTCTGAGCCTTAACGTCAGAGGGTAAGATTGAGCTGCTACCCACGAATGTTGCCGTTCGCTATTGTTGCCGTCTGCGTGTACTTGTAGACATTTTTTTTTCTGTAAGCTGTATAACAAATTCCTCAAGGACGGGCTCCTCGGGAAATTAGTTAGTTTTGCCTCTTCCTCAGATATCGATGTTTCCCTCAGTTTCACATTAGGAAATATTGTATTTCTCGGGAGGCCAAGTTAACTGTTTCTTGGAGACCGTTCTTTAAGCGTTTATCATGACTTGTTGATCTGCAGAAACAGCCGATGAAGAATCTCCATATATGACAGACGACGTCAGCAATGAAGAAAACCGCTTTGATAAATTACGTGAAAATAGCCAGCATGAGACGTTGAAAGGTTAGTGAGAGATTAAATGAATGCGAAGGCACAAAGAAAGAACTACAAAACGAGAACAATAACGAAGACGATACGCGAAAGCGTCCTTCTACGTCAATGCAAATTGCTGCAAATAGAGAAATTTGTCATTTTGCTCTTTCATTTCTTTCTAGCTAACTAGTCTGTTTTCTGCTAGTCAGGATTTTTTCAGTCCTATCCCAAATAGTTAAAATAATTGTTTTGACACTTCAAAATTGTACTTAAAAGAAGCTTTTGTGACATAAATACTGAGCAAGATATGATAACGAAATTGTATTCATTTAGTTGAAGTAGTGTTTAAACAATTTGTAATCCCTGTGTTTGTCACTTTATAATTGTTTTCTTCGCAGAACAAATTGTTGATGGTGTGGGAACAGCTGAGGATAATCTGGCGTTAAAGGAGGAGGAAGAAAAACAAAGAAAGGCCAGAATAAAGAAACTTTTGCCAAAGAACGGAGGTAGTCATTTCAAGAATTTTTCTTAAGCGGGATTGGGGCGGGGAACAAAGCTCTGCTATTTTATGAACCTGTTTGACAACTGTCACCACTGGTAGTTTCGAAGTTATTTTTGTGTGACCTTGAAGTTGAGCTGTTTATGATTGAGTGTCGCGAGAATTTTGATGAATGCTCGTGAATGCGTTGGTTTCGAATTGATACGCTTTGTCATTGGCTGGCTGTAAAATCTGGCGCCATATTTCTTAACCAATGAGAAACCCGTTCATACGAGTTTTCCACCGCTTGATGCCTGCTTCTGATGTATGCTTTTGATTGGATCTTGTTTTCATCGTGTCCATTGCTCGCAGTGATTGGTGAAAGTCGGTTTTACATTATTTGAAAATTTAAAGAAGATTTATTCATTTTTCTTTTATTTTCAATACTACAGATCTTTTTGAAGGAGATATAGTGATGGATCAGCGTTTGCGATCATGGGTGACGGGCGAGTCTGATAAACGAGATGCCATCAACGATGTGTCATACCTGTGGCCCAAATCAGACGATGGAACTGTAAGGGTACCATACACATTATCTGATGAGATACAGAGAGGTAAGAAAAGTTTTTAATAGGAGCGAATTGCATTTCTCTATTGACCTCGTTGAGATGCTTCCCCTCAACTTCCCTTCAAACGCTCTAACAAGACGTTTGTGTGTTGTTTGTCACCATTTATATTTAATTATATTAGGAGAATCCTAGAAGGGGGGATACCTTATCCCATGTCTTATTTGATAGTAGTCCTCCATGCAGTAGAGACCTTCTGCAATAGCTTATCAGGAGCTCAACTTTCTGTTAACAAGAAAACAATTGATTTTGAAAAAGTATTTTAGTAGGAACTGAAAGAGCAAACTTGCAAAATTTTTAGCCGTATACCGTAAAATTCCGAAAATAAGCCCCGGGGCTTATATTTTTCAAAGGCCCTATTTGAGGGGCTTATTTTTTGAGGGGCTTATATTCGGAGGGGCTTATCTACGGAGGGAAATTTGCGTTTCAAAATCGATTGGTCTAGCCATATAGTTGGAAGTAAATTTACCGTTTTTGCTTCGTTTTACTTTGTTTTTGAGGGCAATTTTCCAAGTACAAACCCCCTGGGGGCTTATATTTGGAGAGGCGATTTAACGGAGGGTTTTTTGCGTTACCGCATTGAGGGGCTTATATTTGGAGGGGCTTATACATGGAGGGGCTTATTTTCGGAATTTTACGGTATCTCTAAGGTAGCGATTGCTGGGGCCGCCGTAGCCCGCGAACGCAGACGTATTTCGGGTCGTCGCTCCTCTTTTCCGGTGGAGAGAAGCGACGACCGGAAGAAGGTCTGCGTTCGTAAGCTAGGGCCGCGGAAAATTAGAGGGATTAGAAGGATTTGTATGGTCAAACAACTCTTGACCCAGTTATAGCCCTTGCATCGGGTGGAATAATACGCCCTTTCAGTTCCTGCTAAAATCATATTTCTAAAATGAATTGTTTTTCATGTTTACAGCAAGATGATCACCTGACCTACTAATGTTGCTCTGTTACTTCTAAGAATCACCTTCGCTCGTTGACTTTTTCAGATTCTTGGAAGATGGACAGTATAAGTAAAGCCGTCGCCGCTTACAACAAGTATACCTGTATACGTTACGTAAGGCTCTTTGAGAGTGAAGAAGAACTTAAAAAGAGAGAAATCGTCTTGGATCGAGTTAGATTTATAATAAATTCTTCCATGTGAGTATACTAAAGAAATTTAGCCTTAGTAATAAATATAATGGTCCCTGCGAGTGTGGAAATTTCTGGTTGATATGACGTCACGGCGGCCATGTTGGTAGCGAAGAACAAAAGCGTTTCTTGTAAATTATTCAAGAAATAATTGAATTGTTTTGACCGCCAACGTGGCCGCTTTGTCACATGGTTGCAAATCAAGAATGGGCGAAAAAGATCGCCCACGAACAAGTTGCGGTGAGCGTCCAAAAGACCTTTTCCGAGTTCCAAAAACTCTCATTTTCAAAACGATGCTAAGCGCAAATGAAACATTATCTTTTAATCAATGGCTTCGCACTTAGCCTAGCTTTGAAACAGAAGTAAAGGGGCAATTCGGTCGTAGACAAAGCAACGGGAAAATTGGCTTGGTGACCCAAATCTGTTTTTAAACTTCTGTACGTACATGTACCCTGTTGGTGCCCTGAATTCATGGCATAACGCTGGGAGACGTCCGATCCCTTGTTACACTGAGCACATGATTAAAGGAAACGAGGGGCCCTGTGACTAGAACGCTATCCATTTATTTGCTAGGTAATTTACTTAGCTTTGCCGCACACCACTGAAAATCGTTTTTTTTTGTCTGTGTAGGTGTTACTCTCTTGTGGGTCGACAAGGTGGAAAACAGGATATCTCCATTGGTAACGGCTGCGAGAGATTGGGTACAGTTCTTCACGAAATGATGCACACCATTGGCTTTATTCACGAGCAGTCCCGACCCGACCGAGATAAATACATCAAGGTGTTTTACGACAACATCAAACCAGGTGAGATAAGTAATTTTTTTTATCATTATTTGGCTCACGGCTGGGATCACTTCGCTTAGAGAGCCAAATTTGCCATGACTTAATTCGATGAAAAATATTTTTGAAGTTAAGGGACCATACTCCATAGCCATGAGAATTTTGGTTATTCAAAAGACGTGATCAAAGAAGACGAGTTCTTCAGTAAAAGCAGTTTAAACTCATTTCACCGTTAGCTGGTAACGCAAACCTTTCGGCCTTTAGAGATCCCAAGAACAATAAAGTATCCAAACAAATAGATTTAACTCAACCAATTCCTCTCCCTTAGGCCCTTACCCTTCATCCGACACTGAAACCTTTGCCCATTTGTCACAGTATCGTCATATTTCTATCATCCTCAGCAATGATGCACAACTTTGAGAAATACACTGTAGGACAAGTTGAAGCACTTCCTGCCAATAAAAATTTTTATGACTATGACGTAAGTATTTTATGTGTGTTAGTCTGACAGGGTTGTTTTGATTAGTTGTCTTGAATACCTTTCTTACTATTTCAATTTGCCATGCTTGTGGTAACCGTATTGTGGAAAACAAGGCTTTAATGGTCTTCGCATTGTCATTAATTGTAGCAGCGGACAAGCTTGGGTTAAGTTTTTTTTAGTTTTACTTAAGATGGCTAGAACCTATTTATGTGCGTGTTGGTTATGTTTTTGATTTGCGTTTTTCAGAATGAAAGATTCAACCGATTTCTATGATTTTTGGCGTGCCAAATAAATAATCATGGAACTTTAAGAGAATTTTATTTGTTTTCTTGTTGATATAAAAACCTTTGAGATATCGACATATATTTAAAACCGCATTTTTACGAAAAATGTAAGTAACTTCGAAATCCCAAGACAGATTTTTCCCTAACTTCAGCAAATAAGCCTCAGAGCTCTCTAGTTTTACATCCTCCTCGGATGGTTTGTTGCTTGCAACGCCAACTTATAGAAGTAGGGTTACATTAGGAGACAGATCATTCCAGGTCGCAGCTCCGGCACTTTGGAATGTATTACCGCGTGAGATTCGTTCTATTACAGATCTAGGGATTTTTAAGTGCCATCTGAAAACGCACCTCTTTAGGGAAGCTTTTTATTAATTTATTAATTTTTATCACGATAATTACTAGTATCTTCACATATGTTGTATATTTTGATTTTATCATAGTATATTTTAAATAATTATTAGTTAGATACCCTGTATTAAACTATTATAGATAGGAATCATGTAATGCGCGCTGGATCATTACATGGAAAGCACGCAATATAAGAATTAAATTATTATTATTATTATTATTATTATTATTATTATTATTATTATCTGCAAGTTTGAGGGCAATCGTGACCGTAGAACTCGCTGCACAAAATGCTGGTCGAATTTAACCTTAAAATGCTACACTAACAAATGTGTGAAAGTTGACGCACCAATAGAGTAGAGTGCCGACAGACTCCTATCTGAAAGGATATTCTTACCTAAAGCTTTATTACAAGAAACAGAATAACCAGGAACCTACGGCGAACATAGTTAGCACTACAAGAAGAACAACTTTATGCTGTGTGCGCCGTAATATTTAAGAACTTCTATTCATCAAACTTACGTTGTATTTGTCCCTCTCTTTTGGAAACAAATCTTAACAATGCTTCCGCCGTAAGTTTCTGATTAAAATTGTAATGGTTATGATTACAATGGAAAAACTGAGCTATTTGTGTTTATATTTTATTTTTGACGTTCATGTTCTCTAACTCGCTACACTTTTTTCCTGTAGTCCTGTCTTCACTACAACAATCACGCATTTTCTCAAAACGACCAGGACACAATTGAATCGATAAAGGATCCAAGCAGGAGGTTTGGGCAAAGAGAATTCTTCAGTAAACACGATATAAAACAGATCAACGAACTCTACAATTGCGATGTTCCTCACTTAAGTGAGAAATTGGAAGACGTCACGTGGGAATAACAACAACTATTTGAAAAGGAATCCTTTGTCCTCTAAGAGTTTCAACGTCCAAAATTAAAAAAAAAACCTTTTAGATCAAAAAAGTATCATGTGTTAGGACTACATACAAAACTCCTAACAGCTTTCTTATGAATGGCCACACTATAGATCGTTTTCACATGACGTCATGGCGGCCATGTTTGTAAACAAAACAATGAATCGGGGGCCATGTTTGTGTACAAAATAAATCCCGCGGGAATTGAAATCTTTTCACATGTTAAGACTTTCTTTCTTTCCAAGCAATTTGCAAAGCTGCTAAACACGTGACTGAAAACGATCTATAGGATTTCAACCATATCTTCTCAAAGTCATTAATAATTCATGACGAAAATACAATGGAAATAATGTTTAATGAGCGTTTGGAAATCAGATGAAAAACTGCTCATTTTTGCATCCTTAATTTCTCCTTCTAAAATCGTTTTGTTTGAGAAGTAACATCAAGCATTCGACATGAAACACCTCGAAGTTCGTCAAAATACTCTGCTGGGCGTCGTATTTTCATCTCTCTTCTCAGTGCTTCATCCGGGTGATGAAACACTGCGTCTCATGCTTGATATTTTACCTCAAAAGTTTGTACTATAAATACACAATGTATCACAAGTCTCCAAAATCGACTCTGGGAGTAAAAGGCTTATAAGCAACAATTTTGTCGTACACAATATAAGCTAGCAGAAAGAATATTTTTCAATGGCTTATTAATTTTAGTACGTAACTTCTTTGCTCTAACCATGATTAAAAACTGAAAACACAAACCATAATTTTAAAAAGATGTCCATCTTTATTGTTTGCATCACTGGCCTTAGATGGGTTTTTTTTCTTCAGCTTGTTTCCATAATTGTTACTCACGCGATGGGGCTGAATGATATATTTATCACGCTCTGCTTCACAGTGTTGTTAACCGCACTTTATCTCGATTTTTTATAACGACTACCTCGTTGTACGTACGATATATATATGTACATGCATCTTAATTATGTAATGAAGGCTTCATGAGGCAAACGATTAAGTAAGTTGACTACTACAATTCAAGACCACATGCATGTTTTTAGAGTCAGTTCATATTCCGGGTGAATACGAGAACTGTTTCGTCCGTAGTCAGTTATTTCCCACAAGATTAGGTGACATGGGGATTTTACCTTAGAGTTTTAGGGGAGAAGGAAATAATTTTCCATGATTCAAGTAACTCAGTTTTCAGTGTGTTCTTTAATCAGCAATCGTAACATTCTGAGCATTCCAGAATTTCATTAAGACAGCAGTTTCTGTGCGTTTGAACATTTGAATCGACCTTTTAGTCGTAATTAACCCCCCTTAAGTTTCCAAAAATCACTCCGTGCTTTTGTGTCATTAAAAACTGGGTTAAAATTAATAATGGGATATAATCCTCGTGCGTTTTCCCTGAAAATGGATGCGCTAGAAATTTGTAACAAAATTAATGGGCTTTTGAATGAAATTGAATTTAATACAAAGAAATTATCACGGGGCGTTTAAACCTTCGTCATAATTTCTTTTTGAAGTCGTTAAGATAATTTTACGACCACAGTGTGCTCTTAATATATTTTTGTGATAGCTATGGAAACAAACATAAGTAACATTTTGATGGGAAGGTGTCATATGTAGCGATAATGGCCCTCTCTCATTGAAAATAACCACGTGAAGAAGGACAGCACAATCGAAATTTTTCAAAAGCAGTCTCTTATCGTGTTGTATGTCGCGGAATGTCCGCTCTGTACTTGGTCGGTTTTAATGAGAGGCCTTGGGGAAAAGGTGAAAGGCAAAATCTTTATTTATTTTTGTGGTTTAGTTTTGGTTGGTATTTTAAAGTTTAATTAGTTGTGATAAAGTCAATTGACCAGCGTTCCACTTCAGTATAATTGACTGGTATGACTTCTTGGTTCTCATTGTAGTATTAAAACTTACAGACACCATTGAAGAGAATACTAATGAAAATAAACATTTTCCTTTAAACTTAAATTAGTTGTTATAGCTCGTTACTGTGTTACTTTTAAAAAGGCTAAGTTTCGATATCTGTGAAAATTCAAGGATGATATTTTTAAGACTCTTACTTTTCCACGTTATTGATAACTGAACATGAACAGAAATGCACATCGCTTTAATTCCCTCAAGCTGCAAATGTGCGGGACTTTCATTCTGTTGTTCTCTTTTTAACCATTTCCCGTGTAGAACTGCCAGAATTTTTGTTCTTTTTCTTTTCCCTTTTTTCGGTCAGCGTTTTATGAACCGAGGTACGGTCCTGAGCACGCAAGACTTACGCCCAGCTCTGGAGGCTAAGGCTTGGAAACTGTTGTGCAATTCGTGATTTTTTGTCAAAGTCACGATTGTGCGCAATACCGTCAACTGTCGCTTATAATATAAATCCTGGGCTTCTACATCTTCGTAAGGGGTTTTAGAAAGGCTTATAAATGGAGAGGCGTATATCCGACGGGAGTTTATACATTTTCGTAAGGGGTGTTAGAAGGGCTTATAAATGGAGAGGCGTATATCCGACGGGGGTTTATACATCTTCGTAAGGGGTGTTAGAAGGGCTTATAAATGGAGAGGCGTATATCCGACGGGGTTTATACATCTTCGTAAGGGGTTTTAGAAGGGCTTATAAATGGAGGAGCGTATATCCGACGGGGTTTATACATCTTCGTAAGGGGTGTTAGAAGGGCTTATAAATGGAGAGCCGTATATCCGACGGGGTTTATACATCTTCGTAAAGGGTTTTAGAAGGGCTTATAAATGGAGGGACTTTTATCCGAGGGGGTTTATTCATCTTCTTAAAGGGTTTTAGAAGGGGTTATAAATGGAGGGACTTTTATCCGAGGGGGTTTATACATCTTCGTAAAGGGTTTTAGACGCGCTTATAAATGGACGGACTTTTATCCGAGGGAGTTTTAACATCTTTGCAAGGGGTTTTAGAAGGGCTTATAAATGGAGAGGCGTATATCCGACGGGGTTTATACATCTTTATAAGGGGTTTTAGTAGGGCTTATAAATGGAGGGACTTTTATCCGAGGGGGTTTATACATCTTCGTAAGGGGTCTTAGTAGGGCTGATAAATGGAGCGACTTTTATCCGAGGGGGTTTATACATGTTCGTAAGGGGTCTTAGCAGGGCTTATAAATGGAGGGACTTTTATCCGAGGGGGTTTATACATCTTCGTAAGGGGTTTTAGTAGGGCTTATAAATGGAGGGGCTTATATCCGAAGGGGAATATACATCTTCGTAAAGGGTTTTAGAAGGGCTTATAAATGGAGGTACTTTTATCCGAGGGGGCTTTAGTTATGACCGGAATAGTAAAAGCTCTTCGAAACAAACCATAGCCTGACTACTGATTCCAGTAAAGTACGTTTCGCTCTTACTGGTTCTTAATTAAGTTTAATTAAGCTTATAATCCGATGTATTTTTTTGTTAGTAGATGGGCCTATGACTGGAGGGGGCTACGATAACGAGAACGCCAAAAAAGCTATAGGTTTAGATTGGCCAAACAACAACTCTGTTGTTTTGTACATTTCTCGGTTGCAAGACTGCGACGTAAATCTGCCCTATTTTCACGTTTTCTGAAGGACGTGAACTCAAGTCAACGCTTTCTTCTTCTTTTCCTGGACTTCGATTCTGTCCTTTAGAATTTAACTCCAGAAAAGTTCGCCAACATTTGTCAAATTAAACGAGAAGCGACGTTTTTGTAGCCGTCGCGGTATTAATCTCTCTAATCTTAAGTATTTGGGGTTGCACATGTACCTGCCTAGCATGTTGACAATCATTGGCTGGCATGGAATTTCCAATTACCAATTTAAACTCTGCAGAGAAGGCTCTCATGAAGTCTTGATAATGAAAGATTTAAATTTAAAGGAGGATTCTAATTCACAACGACGTAAAGTACAACAAAGTATAAGATGCTTCACCTTTGACAACTGCCGCTATCCTCAGCAGACACACGCGTATTGTTAACACTGTTAACACACTCGAGATAACATCAAAGAATTCTCAGGAAAGAAGAAACAGGTCTGTTCAACGCTGGCGGACAGGAGAGCGGCGATTCGTTGTCGGATTAACGCTGTTTTCATGAAACCCTTTTCTCGAATATCATATCAGGAAATAACGTTTCGTAAGTAGCAAAATACTTTAGGGCAAAGATTAATAAGGTTATAACGCCCTTCCTTCGTGCCCCTTATCTCATATTCTTTCTAGTTACAGATAGCGATTATATTTCACATGCAAACTATCACTGATGAGGACTTCTACTGCAGTGGAGTCAAAAACTGGGAAGGCCAGGGGGAAAAGTGGTGAAAAAAACCTGTAGGTATCTAAACTTCGCATTTGTTGTTTGTAATGACCTTTAATATTTGTGGAGCCCGGCGTGCATATCAGAAATTCCGATTTGTTCTATATAATCTAATAAACACAGAAGTTTTTTTTGTGAGGTTTATTAACAGTGGCTAAGACCGCCTGAAGACGTGAAGATCTGGACTAATCAATATATCATTTTAGGGAGGGGGAAGGTGGGGTGGGTGGGGTGGGTGCGGCGGGGGTATCACGGCCTTCCTCATAGGGGTAGAGGATAGTGAGGAAGGGAAAAAGGAAGGGGGATTGGGAGGAGTTAGGAGGGGAGGGAGGCTACCTTCCGCACGGAATCGACGATTTTTCGAAAAATTTGAGATAGGCAAAGCGAGGAAAAAAAAAGACAAACAAAAAAAAAACAGAGATAATTTGTTCCCCGCAGAACTATACAGAGCATACTTTTCGAAAATATCGACTCAAACATTTCTGTAAGTGCTGAAGAATGAATGTTGAAAACATCGGACTCGAGTCTTTATTATTTGCTGTTTTGATAAAACAGTTCACTTAAAACATCGTTTGAAGCCGTAAAATTGATGAAACGAAATCTGACTTGCTTTACTCGGAAAAGGGCAGTTTCGAGCAATTTCTCCGAAATACTTTTTTACAGATGGGAGAAATGAATTTGCTTTGCATTAAAAGATAAGATAAAAATTGAATGATTATAAGTAAAGCAATTGGACAGTCAACCGTAAACAAAAGTCCACATAATGGGCTTAAACGGATCATTAATAGGACATCAAGGGTATAGTGACAAGTTTCGTGTAAGCTTCAAGTTAAGCTAAGTGGCCTTCACATGACATTAGACAGATATGTCACTCAAAGAATTCAAACAGACTGTCTCAGATATTATATATAAAACGCATCTTTGGCTTGGAGTTTTCATTAGCAAAGTGGCAACTTTTACAAGTTCTGTCGCTGGGAACGAATACTGACTCCGCAAAAAGTGAAATGGCATTGTTGTAGCATCATTTGGCAGGTCTCTGAAGGCTTAAACGAGAGGTATGTATTTAAGTGGTAAGTTTTACAACACTGACCACTGACGCAGTGGCTACCATGTCGTTGAACCGCACATCAGTGAACGGCCAACATCGGATTTCAATCCAAAGCCGTATTCTCTCAGTCCCAGCATAGATATTCAATTTACTTATGGTAAAAGTATTTAACTTTTCCAGACTACTCACGCAAATTCTTTACCGTTAAAAGACAAGGCTATTCTCATTTGAAAAGTGCAGCACAATTCTAATAGACGCTTTCAGAGCCAATATCGGTAAAACGTCCTTGGTGCAAAATAAGTGTACATTATAGTCACGAAAATCTAGAACCTACGACTGAACTATTACTGCTATTAAGTGCATGAACAATGTGAAAGAGGCATCCTCAAAAACGTTCCATCTCTCTCTCTCTCGCTTTCTTCCAAGAGCCTGAGGCAAAAATCAAAATCAGTTATGAAACGTTGAAGTCTTGCTTGGTAAAATACCGCGAAACAGATTGCACTCAAAGGAATATTGCCGGAGATTTTAATGTTCACATGTACATCATGGAACTTTCGTGCACAGACTAACTTTAAAAGTTAGAACTACTTTACATGTCTCCAGAAATCACCCAGGACAGTAAAAGGTCAAGAAACATTTAAAAGTAATGACTAAAACATCAGGAAATTAGAAGCTGGAATACTGAAAGATAACCAAATGTCTAATTATAGTATGTCTTGGTGACTTTTTGAGACTGTTTTTTTCCCGACAAATTCTTCGTGTATTCTTGGAACCTGAAATGTAATTTAGCTCCTTTCTACAAAAATTTTCAATCTTTTGTATTTCTGGAAATAAATCAGTATGAAACATTGCAAAATTAACATCGTGTGATAATATATCAAATATCCAGCACGAAAGAATATTTAACCAGCTGCCCGAAGCATTTCCTTGCTATTCTTTATTTCTTTACATAATCTCTTGTTAGGCTCCGTTTTCCCCTGATTTTAATAAAGGCATAAATGTCTAAATTTCCGGAAAAGGCGGCTAAAATAACAATTCAAGGCTATTTCACATTGGGAAACAAATATTTGCAAGCCGGGTACGTGGTTATCACACACTCTTTTGAAAACAGTTTGTTACGTCTAAACCAAATCCAAATTATATACACTCAAAATCGAGTTGATCGAATGATTTTGATACTGGCAAAATTTTGTCGTTCTCAGGGTTCTCTCCCATTCGTCCTCTGAAGGAGAGATGGACAAGTAACCCTGGGAACGAGGAAAATGAGAGTGTGTCATAGGTGAAACGGCTTAGTTTGCCGATAGAGCGAACAAACGAACGGAAATAGAGCGATTTGATTGGTTTATCGAACGGATCCAAACTTCACGCCCGAGAACTTTCTAGAAATAAACTGATACTTCGCTTTGAGGCCACAGTGCAACACGATTGGCCAATCGCACAATGTCTTCTCCATATTAGGGTTTTCTTTAGCGGGAAAACGAAGAGGTCATGTTTTGATCTTTTCGTCCATTGGCTGATAAAACAAATAACGAACACTTACCGAAACCATGGGCGCGATCCATTCAACCAAAATTTCCGGAAATTTCGGTCCAAAACTCAATGGATCGGTTCGGTCCAACCGGAAAAGTTTCGAAAAAACGGGTCCACCTTTTGAGGTGGACCACTTTTCCCGGTCGGACCGGTTGGAATTTTGGTTGAATGGATCGCGCACCATTTTTCAAGGTCATACGAAAATCGCTCTAACATGAGTCTCTATTGAATTACGTTCACTCTCATTCTCTTTAAAATTTACCTGTTTGATGTCTTCAACCTTGTACAGCTCGAAACTATAGACCTTCCTAGATACAGAGATTTTTATTCACATTGCGCGTTTCGATGTCTGAAAAATAAAACTACCTAACCAAGAGACGATAATTGGAAGTATGTAAAGGCTAGAAAGACTCTCAAAAGAAAAAAAAATAGTATTCATAAGAAGAAAAAAATGCTTAACAGGGAAATAAACAAAACTTGACAACAACACCAAAACGATTTTAAACGAATATTTGCTTAGTTCTTTTAATTTTGTTATTAAACAATTATACTCATTAATCACGGTTCAAGGATTGGTCGCAACCGAAAAATGCATTTTTTAATCTGTGAAACTAAACAGTGAAACATGATTTCGATTGCAGTTCGTTTGTTGGACTGTAATCTGGGCGTTAAAAGATTCGGCAAAGACGTTAACATAAATTCGCTTAGGAAACTGTACGTGAGCAAATAACACTCATATGACGTCAACTTGAAGGATGTTCATGTCATAAACATCTTTTTTTAGTCCCAAAACGTACATTATGTACGTAATTGTACGGGTATATTTTTTTGCATTTACACGAACTTAAATATATTAGAAACGTTCACGCATTGATAAATGATTGTTTCTGTTCTTGAAATTTACAAAAGAATTATGCTATTAGGCATGTATAAGCGAAAACCTTTCCCCCAACTCATCTCAATTAACCATGAGAAGCTCGACTCCCTCCTCCCGCCCCATCCTTTCGCATTGTAGAATTGAATAGACGTAATTGAAGAGTTCGACGACTTTTTCTTCTCAACATACAAGCTAAAAGCAATGAAAAAGAGAGATAAGATAATGACCTTTTTCGTGGGAGATAATTACAAAAGCTTATTAAACCCTTTCGTTGAACCTAGTGCGACCTTTTTTCACCTGAGTGCCACAAGTCTTCTAGGTCAGTGTGGGTGGTATTTTAAGTAACTTTTACAAAACAATTATTTGCACCGGAATAATTAGGAATCACATAGAATTGCAGGCTTCCTTATCCGAAAACGTTTGTTTTTAGACAAAAATATATGAATACATACTGCTGTAAAGCGGCGTTTGCGTTGAATCACGTCGAAAACCCCCAGGGGACTTTAAATTTACTTAAGAGAAGTGACATTCATAAACGTACTAAAAAGACCTCCGAAATTTTGTTTGCTGAAAATATTTCTACAGGTTATTACATTACCTAGCGTAAATGAATAACGAATTTGCTTTTAAGTTTGAATAATTCTTATAACCAGTTAGGTAGTAAAAAGTAATCGGTTATTGAAGGTAGTTTGAACCATGATTTTCCTCACTCATATTCTTTAGTTAAGTGATCAGTTCAATATATCTGTGAATTCGTTCAAATTATTTTAATTTAATAGTTTTGAACTGCTGGCTGTGATTTAATTTCCGCTTTGAGGCCTGTTCGAGGTGCAATTATACAACGCCTTTACAAATAAACAGACACTTTCTACTTAAATGTGCCGCAATAACGTTAAAGCTTTTTAGTTTTGACGCTAGCAGCTGAGTAAAGAACGCCAGCTACACTTGATATCTTCCTAGAATCAGAATTTTTGTTTCGTTTTTGACGCAATGGTTGTTATCCGTCATATCTCAGTTCTACAAAATTAATGAAAACTGTGAAAACACACTCTGCAACGATAAAAATTGAATTCACTTTTGTATACAGAATTCCTGGTCATGGCCGCCTTTTGCTTGCAAATGCAATGTTAGGAGTTAAGTCCGGCTCTTTCGAAATTTTTGGAGGTCTTTTAAAATTTATCAGTTCATTATGTTTAGTCTAGTTCAACTACGAAACAAGTTGCACGATTCAAATCTCCTCCACACTTGCTGCTTTCCGGAGATGAAATAAATAAAAGATATGGGTGTTAAAGACTGAAAAATAACTCTACGAACAATTGCCCTTGTTTCTAACAGTTTAATTAAACACAAGGGAACTTGACCTAGCACGGAGTTGCTTCTCCATATCTTTATTTTCATGTTTACGAGAGAACCAGTTGTAAATTATTCATACTCTATCACTCGCTTTAAAGATTTGAATTTTAATAAACTTTGGAAACAATTTTTAGCTAGAGCGTTTTTGAAATATATAACTCAGGGTTCCTGACTAATAAGGAGACAAATTCTCCTCAGTTGCGATTTTGGGTTTTTTCCAGGCTTTTTCACATTAGTTAATTTGGAAGAAGCTGTATAAGCCGGTCTTAAATTAAAGAAAGTTCAACCCATACGATCAGATCCTTAATTCGTATGACTCAGTTATCATATTTGGAAAGTTTTACATTAAAATGTAGATATTTTTACCAATTGAACCTAACAGGAAGTGACTACTCCTTTTTGATGAACCGGCAAAATTTGATTGGATTGTCCTTTGTGGATCGGCAACTTTGTAAAAGTTGGAGTAATACATGTAAAAAGCTACATTTGACAGCGTGTCAGAATTCAGTGATGTTTGCTTTCTTACAAACAATATTTTCAGTCTTTCTTCCGTTGTTTCACTTGCCCCAAATGGTTTCATTTTCAACAGCGCACATCCTCACGTATTAAGCAGACTTTTACCGGGCATTTTGATCTATTAAGAAAACTATACGTCTTAAATAGAGAGACTAATTTGCTTAGCTTATCTAAAACCATACACCTTGTATATTCATTTCCTTCAGTCAGCGCGTACATCTGTTTCCCAATATACAAACAGTTTTTCCCTGCGATAAGAAAAGATTAATTCACTAAATCTTTTTATCGGCCAAATAAAATTGTTCGCAAGTTAGCAAGAAATATAGCTAACACCTCTAGCTTTATTAAATTACCAAATGTGCTAAAAGACAAAACCTAGTTGTTTTGAATTAATTTATCTTTGTTTGCATGTCACGCTAATGTAACATCTTTTCCAAATCAAAAATATTTCGCCTCGAGCTTCGCGAGTCAATAAACAAAATTCGCCGACTTGTTTTCCGTCCTTTACTTGCGGTGGTGGCAATTTGATTATCTTTCAAGTGTTTCTTGGAGATGTTTGGCAAATTTACTTAAACCTGTGAGCTTAAACGTTTCCTTAATTATTGAACTTTTATTTCTCTAGTTTAAATGTCAAGTAATGAAAGAAATCTTTATCATTCTTTCAAATCATTCCCTACGTCATTTGTTCAACGCACGTCCAAGGAATATCTTCAGTCGCAACACGAAGTTCATTCACATTGAAGGCAGAGCAATTAATTTGGATAGGTTAAATCAAACAACACACGCTATATAACGCACCTACGGCAAAAAAATTAGTTTTGACTTTAATCTGACGAAGTCAAGGCAGCTGATCTTGCGGTAAGTCAAAACTGCATCTCCCGGGCTTACTACACAGAGGAAAATATGAATACAACTGTTTACGAAGGAGATTTTCGCGCGAATGGAACAGTGAACGGCAGCGGTGTTGCCCCGAACGCTACTTTATCGCCCACAGATGACCAACCGTACTCATTTCTTCTCCGCCTTCTTACAACATTGTTCTTCTCGCTAATCATCACTACTGGTCTTCTTGGGAACAGTTTTGTGATGGCGACTCTGACCCGTTGGCGAGAGATGCAGACACCATGTAATCTCCTGATCGCCAATATCTGCCTTGCTGACATTGCAGTTTGCGTTTTAGCAGCACCATTGAGGATCATCGAAATTTTTCGTGGGTGGATCTTTGGTGACGTGATGTGTTATGTTTTGACTCCTCTCCAAGATGTCTTCGTGGTGATCTCCGTCATCACGCATACCGTGATCGCGTTGGAAAGACATCGAGCCATCGTCTCTCCGTTCAAGCCAAAGATGACCCTAAAGCGAGTAAAGACTACAGTGTTGGTGATTTGGTTTGCTAGTTATGTGACAGCCGGTGTACCGATGGTAATCTTTCTTAAGAATCAACTGGCTGGAGACGGTAATTACTACTGTTTCCCAGTTTTCAATGAGGACAGTTATCGAATCGCATACGAGATGTACCTCGTGGTTTTGTTCATTACCTCTCCTCTGCTGCTGCAGTGCGCGCTTTACTTTGATATCATCCGTGTTCTCAAAGCCAAGGATGAAATTCACGTGAGATGCAAATCCTTTAAGTCAAACAGCTCACAAAGGAAATTCCTCAATGACCGTATCCAACAGAAAAAGCGTCTAGTGAGAATGTTAATAGTGCTCATGGTGGTTTTTCAAATATGTTATCTTCCCCGCGGGGTGATAATGTTGATGAGTGAGTTCATACCCGATATAATTACCAGAACAGAATTTATCTATGTAGAACTCATAACTTTGGCGATGTTTTACCTCAAGCACGTCATAAACCCGTTGATACTCTGGGCTATGAGCAATGATTTTAGGGCCGGCTGTTGGAACATTTGTTCCTCTGGTGACGAACAGCTATCTTTTAGAGGAAGTCACCGTAGTTCCTCAAGCTATCGGGTAAAAACCAAAAGGAGACTGCAGTCTTTAGAAAAGTGATTAATGCATGTTTTCCAACAATCAACTGCTTCCAGCCCCTCTTTTTAACAACTTAATTTAATTCTTACTGACCGGGTCTGATCGTTTATGCTGTATCTCTAATTTTTGTGATTTGAGCAGGAAATGTTGTGATTTTTATTCAATAGTTCTAAGTGAAAGACTTAGATCCAGAACTTGCTCCAAAAAATGTGCTTATACAGGCCTTGCCTGTGTATTATCGTCCGTTTTGCTAAGAATACTCAAGATAAAGCTGAGTAGCAAATATCGTAATTAAGACTGAGATATCTATGAGCTAATTATTGAGCTGATACACGGGGATTTGAATAGTCATTTACTGTAGGATTTCACTGAAAGAGGAAGGCTTTCGGTTAACAATCGTGATCAGTGACAAATGAGCTCACCATGAACCCAAAGAAAGAGCATTTATTTCATAAGGCTTCAGTAGGTTTGATAAAAAATTTAACAAAACTTGCATGTTACATATAATTTTATGTAGTCGACAATTTGTGAATTGTAAGTTAGACTCAGTTACCTGAGCCGTTTCAGTTTTTGCTTGTTGGTCGTTGAAGTTTTGATCGTAGTAGCTCTTAAAGTTTTTCAGTTTGAAAACTTCAAGGAGAATTAAGCTATCACGGTCTAGCTATAAAAAAGAAGCTAAACGATTTCCCAAGTTAGGAAGTTTGATGAGTAGATGTGATTACAAATATGGATTGAAGAAAGCAAAGTCAATTAGTTTGTCTGATGAAAGTTTGTTCCAATATGAATATTATGATATATTTTGATCTTGTAAAATAAATGAAGAATAATTTGCATGCGTGTGTTATGATCGCACTAAAGAACGTGCTAATTTCATATTTTAAGAACTATCGCATACAATAGTAAATTGAAGTAGTTTTACATACTTGTCAGTAATCAATGAATATATAAATTAAGAAATTTGAAACGCATATTTCAGTTGTAAAACTAAAATGGCCCATCTTGTGTGTCCAAACTGAAAACAAAAGATAGAGCCCGAGAGCCAAGAGAAAGAGAAAAAAAGTAAACAATTAAAACAGCAATAACAAAAGAAACCGTCGATTAACATGTTGATATTTCCAAAAAAAAAAAACGGCTAAAAGATACAAAGGGACATTCAAACCAAATCCACCATTAAACGTTTAGCTCTTTGAAAATCTGTTTCAAAATATAGCACCGCTTTTTGGCGAGGATGCGCGCAGACAAAAAACTGACTCGCGTTTTTTGCATTGACGAACCGCTGGTGTTAAAACAAAAATTACGCACTGATTACATAAAGTTTCCTAAATGTGTTTTGTATCTGATAGTGCTGGACGGAAGAAACCTAGAGCGAAATACGAAGTGATGAGAATGCTTAGAAAAATGAGTCATTGACTTAAACTAAAGCCCGGTCAAAATGTTGAAATGACTATTTACTTTTGCCGTCTAGAAAGATGAAACTGAGAACAAATTAAAATTGCGCTTTTTAAAGAGTTATCGCCTAGGCGAAACAAAACAATTTTAGCAATGTTTGCTTCCAATTTTAATAACAGAACACAAAAACTTATCCCTTTCCATTTTCTTAAAAACAAAAACAGGTGTGTTTTCAAAGGCCCCAGAAGTTTCGGAGAGCTTCGGGGTGCTTTAATTTTCATAATTTGTTTACTCTGATATAGCATCCCTACCACTAGCTGCGTTACTTTCTAAATTAAAATAGGTGTGTTTCAAAATAAATTTTTACCAGTCTTTGCACACTTTTCTTAAAAAACACCTGGTAGTCTTAGCTTACAAATCCTGAGCTTTGGTAGTTGGAACTTATGACTATCGAAGAAATCCCTCAATGATGCGTCCGGGGCCCTTGCTATAAATATCAACTTTCGTTGCCTGATAATCGATTGTTTGCTCTTTGACTAAGATCTTCAGTATCAGAAAATAATAACTGACAAACACCATTTTTTCTCTTTGAGTCGGTCGTGAGCCGAAGTCCACGATTGCGGCGCGATTGTCTGAGGAAACTGAGAAGCTCTAAAATTAGCTGCCACTAATTAATTTCCCAAATTAAATTAGGCGGTTAGCTTTAGGTTTTATTGAATGTTGTTATTGAATGTTGTTGTTGAAACTAATCGCGTGCCGAAAATAGCCAATAGCATGGAGTCTAGCCTGCAAGCAAGCTCTCCGGGGCGCTCTGGCGGCGGGGCGGGAAAAGGAAGGAGAGCTTGCAACGGGTGTCAATTAAACGCGAGCTCGCGGGTCACTTTTTTTTCAAATGCTGTTTTAGGGTAAGGATTGACACTAACCCTAACCCTAACCCTGGTCCCGGTCCCGACCCGGAACCCGCGTTTTACTGACATCCGCTTGCAACTACGTCTCCGAAATTTGAATTCCACCTGCAATTCCCCTGTGGCTCCCCGTCGATTGAGCTGTCAGATTTCCGCCAATCAGGGGGAAGCGAAAACGAGCGCGAATGTAAACAAACAATGAAAAACAATTATCAAGGGTAATGACGTCATTACTTATGTCATCTCCGCCAATCAGCATTTCGCATCGACTTTTCCTATGCAGATATTCAAATTCCAGAGACGCAGTTGCAAATTTCTCCTTCCTTTTCCCGCCCCATCGCCAGAGCACCCCGGAGAGTTTTCTCTCAGGCTACAAGGGTTATGTCACCAAACTCGTCTTCACCGACCATAGTGCATGTGACCTAACTTGATGATCTAAAGATTTCGGAGCTAAATGGAAAGAAGGAAGAAATAAAGGCCACGAACTTCAAAGTAGACTGGATCGAAGCCTGTGAGAAATTTATAAGAAAAGTCACAAAGCTGGAACCAGTTTAATTCGAAATCTTTAAGCATGTAATTTGGAATAGTCTTCTTCCGTTCGGAAAAGTCACTTTTGTCCTTTTCTTACCCATCACATCAGTTTAAACCACCCCGTTCACACTAGTACATCGACGCGTAACACAAATCTGTTGGTGATTAGCCGTAAGTCTACACCAGAACCATGTGCTATAGCGAATTATTGTTTACAGTTTTCGCCTTATCAACATACGCTTGTCATTCCGCAAAGCTATAATAACAGCTCTGTAGCCGTAATTTGATCTCCAAAAACAGTGTAGTTTTGGAGATAGTCTCTTTTAAAAACCCGAAATTTAACAAAGAATATATAAGCTCATCTAAGTTTTTGCCACCCAGCAATTTCGTATTTTAAGTTTGGTACAAACTCGTTTCCAGGGTCCTCTCCTCGAGTTCGTCACGTTAGGAAACTGCGTTCCAGTATTTATGACACGTGAGACCAATATGGTAGTTAAAATGGTCGTGATGGGGCGTTTTTCTGTGGTTTCTAGGATGATTGCCTGCTCTTAATATTTAATGTTTTTCAACGTAGCCGAGTATTACTGCTGCGTCGTTCTATAACACTGACTGTATCATCGATCATTGAGGAAGGCCAAAATTTTCGTTTACCATGTGCTCTTCATTCCACCCTGACTGGTAGAACCACTGGAACAGTTGTTATTTCAGCATCTATCCCGGCTGACAGATGAGCGTAGTTGTAGCGTTTTCAAGTAGCGCGGCCATGCGCGTCCAGCGTCATAGTGCTGACTAGGGAACAGTAATGTGGCATAAATTAAAACGTTGTGTGGATGTGAACCTCTATTATACGTGTTCACAAGTATTCTGCAAGAAATCAGAGAATTAGTTGGAAGGGGCCTACTGCCATGTTAGTTTTCGGTGATGTTCATTGGGCGTAATAGTATGCTGTATGCAAATTAAGGTAACAGAAGTCTCTGTGCATGCCGATAGGAGATCAATGTGAGTCGAACTCAGAAGGGGAGGACGGAGGAGAAAAGGACCCCTGTCCCCTGAGAGATTGCACGCAGGCTAGGGAAATTAATCAAAGTAAACTATGGGGAACTCGTGGATGCAATGTTTCATAGAAAAATTCCGGCTGCTGTAAACTAAGCATTAATGCTTACTGAGAGAAATACACGTGTTCGTGACATGGTTTTTACAACAACGCACTACACATGTAGTTAAATAAAAATGAATAGCTTCAGTCTCTTGCAGTGTTCTTGGACAATTTGTCTCCCCAAAGAAGCGATTGTTTTTTCTAAACAAACCTTAAATTTTTAAGAACTAGTTGATATTAGATGAGTGCTAGTAACATCTTAATGGTAGCATTGTTTTAGAAGAAAACTGTCGCGACTTATTTGGGATATTCTTGGCGTCTAAACTACGAATCGATGAAGATTTCTTTTTCATTTACTGTAAGTCATGTTAGTACATGCAGTATATCATTTGCTTGTTCATGCACAGTTTTTTAACCATGGGAAATAATTTCATTTAAATGTTTGATTTCATCACTGAATGTCACTTCCCACGATATATTTTGATTGTCATATTTGAATTTTTTAATTTTTATATTGTATTCAAGTCTATTAGCTTTTGAAAATTATTCACCACGGGTTTTCCATAGGACATCTTGTTTGTTGGCAGGTAGAGAACAAGGCGTTTCTCATATAACGAAAACATTATATTTGTTTTGGCGCGCACCCCTGTAGAACAAGGACAACAGCGAGTCATCGTGTACTTTTATTATAAACTAATTTGCTGTTGACCACCCAGCTGCCTTCCACAAATTTCAGAAACAGCGAAAAAGATAGAAGAGCAAACAATTTTTTTACAATATAATAAACCCAGCACGACGTTTGAGTGAAAATTGATTTTGCTACTCTTGCGGTGGACATAGACACCTGGTGAAACCGCGATTGAACCCTTGAAGGTTCAAGTCAAAACGATTTCTCCAGATGAAAATAAACTCGGAGCAGCCAATTTTAATACAATGTTTGCACCTTAATACAATTTGAGGTAAGCCCTTCGGAGTGTTAACATATCATCCAATTCAATCTCAACCGAATTTAATCAGAGGTCATCAAAAGCCCTAAACAGAGCACCTGTATAGTGACAAAATTCAATTATTCGCGGTTGGGTACTTGCTTCGATTGCGTTTTAACATTTTCCAAGAGGTTTTCTGCTTCAAGCGCGTCCGATTTAACCTGTATAAAAAAAACTTTCATCATCAAAATTAAGAGCGGCATTTTAGTGGACAGAAAGGATTTGCATTTATCTGAATCAGTGACAAACAATCATTTTTACTTGCCTTCTTCAAGTTTAAAGAATAGAAGAAAGAAATCTCAACCGCAAAAACTGTAAGTTTTGGTATTTAATGTTCTAAAAACTCGGTTTTTTGGTTTATTTTCGTTTGTATGACTGTACAATCTTTGCCTCTTCACCTTTATTGTACATTCTACAACGAGATATTCGAATTAACTTTCAGGGTAGAATCGTAAGTGTTGCAAATTGCGTGAAGTTGTGTTTCTTCTTGACTTATTCAACTGGGAGGACCCTTATCCGCCATTTTGCCACAACGTATTGTGGCCAGAGTTCTGATCTAGATCATTGCTGGTTTTGGTTAAGGGTGGAAAGGTTACCTGAGCTGCGAAAAATCTCAGGTACATTTGGAGAAAAAAAAATGTTAAGCTTAGGTTTCAGTGTTTTCTATGCAACGTGGTGTTAACGGGGGGAATTCACGACAGGTACAATGCAGGAAATGACGCATGCTGAACACAAAAACTACTGATTGACACTATTAAAACTTTTCGGCCAAGTTATTCTCTCTGGATTTTCTGGTCTTTTATAAAACACAAGCCTACATTTAGGGTAGCCATTTGTAACAATGATTGATATTCGTTTCATTTTTTAGTAGGTGAATCAAAGCTGATTTTTGTTCGGGTACACTCTTACGTTCCAAATAGGGTGCGGTTTATGTTGACAAAAACACGAGTAGGGTTTTTTTCCTTTTTGGCTTTGGATATCTGACAGGGAAAAGTTTTGATCACATCTGCATTTGTTAATTATTTTATGTCTCGAACACCAACAGAAGGATTTGGTTTAATCCGCCTTTTTACATATTATTTTATTTTCTCATGGCGCGCAGCTACATGAATCCAAGTCGATTTTCCTTGTGGTAGAAACTGAAAGGTCATGAAAAATGAAGAGATAATTAGGTATGGCTTGTGGTGCATTTTCGTATTTTAACTGGACAGTGATGTTTTGAATTGATTCAGTCCACAATTTCTTCCGCCGATTAAGCGATAAAGCTAAAATTCATGAGGTAGTGAAGAGTCTGGTTTGCGATATACATCCGGTCGGTTAGCCCGCCAAAAACAGCCCTAGGTTTCTAAATTGTATGAAGATAATATTTTACTCTAGAATAAAAAAGGAAGTAGGATATATCTAGAACGGGTGGGGGGAGGGGTCGGGGGGCAGAGAAAATTCTCCGAGCAAGCGTTTTCAGTCGATTTCATTCTCTGAGCCAAGAGTCAGTCAGACAAACTGATCAGTTTGGGTGTAGTTCATACAAAAAAGTCTTGATTTCTGGTCTAATAAAGCTGGGTTTCATTTTAGCTAGCCTTGCATGATGTATCGCTCATGTGTATATCTGAGTTTAATTTATTCAGAAAAAGATACATACGGTGGCAATTTTTCATTGTAAAAATTTCATTTTAAAAAGGCAAGAAATTGAAAATATTGCAGGAAGTAAGAGGAAAATTTATTGGGAGCTCTTTTATAACGTACACGAAAACAAGAAGTACGTAATCAAAAGTTAACCAACAAAGTTAATATAATTATGGGCCATTACTGGTACCATTTCTTTTTCACAGTATGGATTCTTAATATTTTGCATTTTCATTAAAATAATGGCTTTGTTTGATTTTCTTTGTTATATAAAGTTGGTAATATATATTCCTTTTCTTTTTTCAACACTTCGCACTATAAATCTTATGGGCCAATTTAAATTTCGTTTTTGCCAAAAAGGTATTATTCTTAAAATGCGGTTGTACGTTAAAAACACAAAGCATGCAAATTTTAAAAAGCTTTGGCTTGACTCTAGCAGAAGACATAAAAAACTTCAAGCTTGATTTACATTTTGCTCGTAAAACAACGCATTTGGTATATATCTTTCATTTTTGTTACTGCATATTTTATTTTTACAAGTGACGCTTGAGAAAGCTACGTCCGGACGTTGTAAACTCCTACAAACGACCGAACAATATTTATGAGACTCTTATATCCGTTTAAGAACTGATTATCTATCCAGGAGTTCCAAGATGGTGGGGAGTGAGATAAATCGGCGTACGCGGGGAAAATTATGGAAGACCGTGGGACGAAATTTGCGACCTTTGCTTTTTGTAACATTGTTATATGGTGCGCGTGCTCGCGCAACGCTTAGTTATGCTTCTGTTTCCCCATTAAAATGCTCCATTTTCCCGTAGTCCACCAAAAAGTCACTAAAATTCTCAATAACGCTCATCATAGAGAGGCCTTTTTTGGATCAGTTTATGTTTCTAGGAAACTGCCCACCTACCCCTCCCCTAAGCTAACATTAACACTGTCTTCTCATTTAGGGCAAAATGATGGCTTAGGGGAGGGGTAGGTGGACAGTTTCATAGAAACCTAAATCGATACTTTTTTTTGTTAATTCTAAACATTTTAAGGGGGTTTAAGGCTAACAAAAATGTATAAGTGGTATGACAACAATGTAAACAAATAAATACTTTCAATATAGCAAAATGATCATCTACATAGCTGTATAAAGGTGAAATTTGAATATAGTTTTTTAAATTATTTTTAAAGTCGTCATATCTCTTCAAAAATGATTCAATTTTTTTTTTCTGTGAGAACAAAACCTGATTTTCCGGAAAAATGCCACTCAAATGCTCGAATAATGCTCAATGCTTTTGTCTCACTAAAATGCTCACAAAAAATGTAAGCATAATGTACATGGCCTAGTAAAGCTACCTGTGGCACGAAAATATTGTCGTTTCAAATTGCCCTTTTACAAGGATTTGATTGACATCAACGCATTAAGTAATAGGTAAAAAAATTCATAGATGTCAAGGTCATAAAATGAAAACACCAGGAAGTTTAAAAGATTGCACTGATAGGCGCGAAGGTAAGTTGAAAAGAAAATATTATTTACGATATGTTTCAAGCCATGCAATGACTTAGTCGGTTCTTTGCTGCTGAACGACCGGTGAGCAATGTTGAGATGTTGAACAAATCATCCAAATCTCTATTCTCGTTCACAACCGATGCATCCGACATTTCGAATGACCCATAGTATAACATGCAACATGGCATGATACTTATATTCTTGACTGACACGAGTTCTAAAATTTTTTGACCAACAAATGTTGGACAAAACCGTATTTCACTGGCTCTCTTGACCCCAATTCTTGAACTTTTCTGCTAAAGACTTACAGTGAAACCCCGCCTTAGGGCCACCTCGGTAATACAGTCACCTCGTTATTAAGGCCACTTTTTTTTGGCCGCCCAGCAATGCCAGTGAAAACCCTCGTTAATGCGGTCACCCGTTAATACGGCCAAATTTTTTTGGCGAATTGGTGACAGTATTAACGGGGTTCCACTGTATTTCGGAATTACTGTTTTCTAAAATTCTTATCCGACATATTATCGTGTAAAGGTAGCTGTAAAGTTCCTGATTAGGCTTTTTTGTCTTTTCCGGATGAACGCTAAGAATTCAATTTTGGGGGGCCGCGGAATCTGCGGATTAGATGGATATAAATTCGCGAATTAATGGCTTTGAGCTTGTAAACTACTCAATTCCTTTCGTGAGGATTTGAGTATGCACTTGATTCGTATATACATATTCATTAATTAAAAGTAGCTATAAAGAGCGTTACTCCCCCACAAAGTCTGTGCTCTGAACACACAACCCGCATTGAGCGATCTTTCAATTGTCCATAAAACTGACATGAAGATTCTATTCTACAAATTAGGAGTGAATTTGTGTCTTTTGGTTGCGAATTTTTTAATAGTGACAATGGAAAATTACTCAAAAATATTTTATGCGGCGCCAATGGGTCGGATATGAACAATGCAAATTACCGCGTTTTTTGTATCTGCTAACATTTTTTGAATTACCTGGGAACAGAAATATGACTCAGCACCGTGTAATTCCAGAATTATCACTTGAAATAGGAAGCATATCCGAGAGAATCAAGATTCTCCAAGTCAACGCTTTCTCCAGCAAAGCAAATCACTCATTTTTAAAACAATGAGATGTGAATGCGACTTTAAATTAAATTTGCACCGCGGTACACAGCTGGCCGGGGCACTATATTTCTAATATTTCTCACAAAACAGAATAAAAACTAATTTGAAAACAAAACAATCGCTGATTTCTCAATTTCAAAAGGTGTGAGTTGTTTTAATTGTGATGCGTCGTAAAACTGACTTTCATGCAAATTGTCCTTCCAAGAGATTCGCTCTGGATTTTCTCCTTGTGTAGCGAAAACAGAAGCAGAGCTACACTCCTACGAAGATTACTTTTCACTTAAGTTATAACCAAGAAATTCTCATATGAGCCATTTAAAAAGGTAAGAACATGTAATTTAATTCCATTTCATAACTGATTGTTTATGTTTTGTAAAATTAATCGTTCCACTTAGTTGTTTGGCAATAAATCAAGATCTGTGTCCTTTTTCTTAAAAATGTGATTCTTAAAATATCGATACGATCAGCTATAAAATAAAATACACTAATATGGGACCAAGAAACCAACGTAAGTACAGTCAACAACGACACTCTTTTCGTCATAACGAAATCACATTAGATCGTCCTAGACTGGATTTTTCCCCGATTGTACTCAGTATAAACCTTAATTTCTTGGCTTCTTTATTGAAATTTTCTTTGAACCACTTGAACACATAAAATCCTGTGAAATGAAAACTCAAACCTAATTTTGAACAAGTTACATAATATCTACGCATGTTTAAACCCAGTCAACATAAGTTTTACTTAAAAAAAACATATATTACTAATGTACCTTTAATTTTTTTCATTTTTAAATAATAATTGGTGGTTTGGGAAGAACTCTAAGTTATCGGCGAAAAAATTGACTGCATTTTCGGACATAGGTGTAAAAACGGCGGATTTCATGAGGGTTTGGATGTGGGTGCAAGAAATTTATATTTAAAAAAAGTAAGCTTCTGGCATAGGGGGTTAATTCGATTCAAGGGCAGTGCTGATTATAGGAACATTTTACTAAATTAGTTAATACAACACATATAAATATGATAAATATCCCTCATCATATCCCTGTGTAAGTGCAGGAAGTTCATACGAAACAAAGAAGCTTATTTTTTTACATTGAAACACTGAAACAGTCGCTAAGGGCAATGAGTTTATTCATTACCAATATTTTTATTCTTTGCGTTGCCCCTTTCTTAGTTACAGATTGCGTGATGATCCCTACGTTATAAACTACCTGTAAAGCCGACAAAAACTTTATGACACTCTAAATTTCAGCGGTTAATCAAACCAAGATTTGTCGTAAGTGCCCGTTTCGGAGGTAAAAGTATCAGAAAAGCTGTCAGTGATTTTCTTGCACACCATTTTGAACACGGGGGGTGGCCTTTTCACCCGTATCAATTTCCTGCCTTCATTCTTCTCCTGTCTCTCGGCAATTTCAGGATATAAAGTATAATATTCAGTTCAAACAGCAGTTCTCTGATCCTTCAAGGTTTTATTTTACTGTTCTTGTTATGTTTTTAGGCAAAGCGAGTGAAATTGTCGGCTATATTTTTAGCTCTACCAAAACAGTTGAGCTCCGGCGCCCAACCTCGTCTTCAGGGGCTTCTCGGTTTGCTGGCTCTTTTTTTGTCGATATTTGGTATACATTTGACGTCATCGATAGCATACAATATCGCAAACTTCTTCCAAATTTGCTCAACACTAGCTGGCTTTGAAGAATTAGACGGCGGATTGAAACCAATCCAGAAGCGGAGAAATTTGTTGAATAATAATAATACTTCCTTTGTGGTCGATGAAGGCTTTGTTGTGACGATGCTTGGTTCTCTTTACAGTTGTTGTCATTTCAGTACATGCCTAGCCTGCGAACCGCAGACGTATTTCCGGTCTTCGCTTCTCTCCCTGCGGTTGAAACTAGAATCGAAAAAGCCGGATGATCTCGCAGGTGTGTACGTCACATTTTTGGGGAAGTGTGTGCCACGTTTTGCGGGGTGTGTAAAAAATGTCCTTGGTTCAGACCACAAGTTAAAAAAGGTTGGGATATAAACTAAGAATGACCTCAAAAGAAGTGTGATTAGGTTTTGCCGAAAAGTGAGTTTAAATTAATGTACTAATGGGAGAATTATGTCAAATCAGACCGACGTTTTTTGTTGATCTGATTCAGTGCGTGGCTGAATAGAAGGTTTTCGCCTGCAGAGTTAGAAATTTTATTTATCACTCCTGGAGAAAAAAAGCTATCGTGCAATGCTCGTACTCTAGCTGCCGGGGATTTTTTAAATCGTCAACGAAAAACTACTGTATGTGAGTGAAAATACATTGCTTCCACAATTCTATGTTGAAGAAACTTTTGGCATTTGTCTGAATTTGAAGAGAAACCGAGCTAAAATCAGTCCTGAAAATGTAATGAGTTTTTGTAGAAGTGATGGCTTAGTAGCAAAACGGCACAGTTACATAAGTGAATTACGGATCCCCTTCCTTATAACATTGTTTGCTCAAATGAGATTGAAATTCAATTAAGTAAGTCTTTAATAAATTTACTTTCTTTTTGAAATCTATATGCAAAATGTCAATGATACGTCTGTTTTTCCTCTCTGTGAATGTGTATACCCTCTGTTGATAAAACCACATAATGATATAGGTGTATATACTGGTTATTAAACAGCTAAGAACCCGAAACATACTTTTATAGCCATTCAGAAAATACTCTTTGAGTAAAAAAAAAAGATGAAAGAAATTTGTAATTTTCCTCATTTGAAAATTGTCTCTTTCAGGGCAATTTTTTCAATATCCTTTTCTAAATTCGTTAATTCATTTAGTGGATATATTGTATTTTTGTTCAAACGTAACGTAAGTGTTATTTTCGTAAAATGCGGATGCAAAAGCTTTTAACGCTAAACACTTACTTGCCCTTTTTATCAATTGGTTTGCATGTCATGTTTTTGTGTACTAAATAGCAATTGAACTAAGAGTCTGTGTAACAAGTTTGTTAGTATTTCTTTTTCTACTTATAGTATTGTATGTTTCCTGTTTTTATGACTTAAATCACCATGATCACGCTAAACATACTTAAAAACCGCAGGGCTCACTTAAGTCTGACTCACAGAAAGTACTCGAAATACCATCATCGACGTTTAATTTTAAATATCATTGAACTTGATTTTGCAAAACTAGTGTCTGCTTGCAGATTCAGTCTGCAAAATATCCCGCGCCGTTTGGCGGTTGAATTATTTTCTTTTTGTAGAAAATAAGCCCTTAAAGTAGCTAGGTTGGGATAATATTCCTTAAACAGACAGAGCCTTGAAATAAATATGAAAACGGTTACTGAAATGAAAAATACTGATTAACAGGTCCTAACTTAATGTCTTTCTTAGTACTGCAAATATTTCCTGAGCCGAATATTATAGAAATATCACGGTTCCGCGTAGTCGTATTAAATTCTCTATCGGAAGTGTTCATGATTCGGAAACAATAACCTTTAGTGTACTTTTCAATTATTCAAGCATTATTATCAATAGTAAAGAAAGTTTATCAGCGCAAAAAAAGTCTTCTGAAATTTGAATGTGGCATATTTATTATCTTGTGCTATAAAGAAATTTCTCTTGTCCAACTATACATTTGGTGCTTTAAATCTTTCCCAATGTTCCGTGCTTTTATGAAGGATGTTGAAACTTTTTTGCTTCACTTTTCACTTTACGTGATCATATTAATTTTAGATGCTCAATATCGACATTGTGCATAATTGAAGTTATTTCCAGATATGTCCATTGGCAATAAATACACGATTTTTTTCTTCCTTTTCACTTAAAAGGGAATACTTAAAGCTGTCAAGCCCAGAAAAAGAGGAGATCTCAGAGATTCATCAGCTAAGGAAAGTTGGCGTTCAAGGCGAAGTTAATCGGAGACAAATTAAGACGAAAAGGTACGTTATAGATAATCTAAAATTCTTATTGTGATGTCTTTGAGTGGAGAGAAATTTCTTTAAGTAGTTACATTAGCATGGCTATAGCTTGTCGCCAACAGAACTCATTTCATCAGATACGGCACTTTGTAGATAATTATTTGTATGTCCTTACTTGGCTCGACTTGGCTCCTACATCAACACGCCTATTTTGACTAAGCAAAGCAGAATCCTGATTGCCGAATATTAAATAAATCTTTTTTGCCTTGTTTAAGAGCGCGAATAGTATGAATATGAGTTTACATCTTTACCTTCATTGTGTATAAATATTTCCGATTTGGCTTTAAAGCGATTATATAGGAGAAGCTTGACCATGAACGCGAGCAATGTACTTCCCTGAATCGCTTTATAGCCATAAACATAACTGACACCGCTTGCAAAAATGTTGCCCCACTGACAAAAATATTTGCTTAAATGAATATCAAACTTCCGTCCATCTGGCTATCGTTGATTTTTTTTCCGCCGTTTAAACGAACCTTGGAATGTTAAACTGAACTTTGGTGGTCAAGATGTTGGTCTCTTGCTGATTACTATGTAGCAGTATTGCTGTATGGCATATATAGGCTGCAGAATATGCTCTGAGAGCCGTCTAGAGAGAAGTTTAGAATTGGTAGTTTTGGTCTCTGAATTTTTGGTAACTATTTTGGTTTAACAGTTGGTGCGTTATTCAAATCAGACAAATCAGATTCTAGACTTCATTCTCCAGTGCTAAGAATCCTAATGCGATTATGACTTACACCTAAAGCGCGATACAAAGTGGCAAGAAATTGTAACCTACCGAGAAAGCAGATGATTAATTTGCGCGATGCCAGAATGTCGCAGTATATAAAAAAAGGTGTTGATAATAGGTCTATGGCTACGCTGGTAACTTATCAGGAATAATCCTTCCACTACATTCAACCCATACTTATGCTGAAGTTGTTGCCGTAACACCCGAAAACCTAATCGCTAAATTACCTGAAAGTAACCTTTTTGGTTTCAATTTTTCTTTGCCGCCAAAGTCACAGTTTTTTTTGCCGTTGTTTTTCACGGAAACAGATTTAAAACTGATGGTATCTCTGAGCGATTATCAAGCCTGCATTGTAATCTCCCTTGATTTTTGCCTCAATGACGTGTACAGGAGTCAGTAGATCAAAACAAAGAGTAACGTTTTGTCGCAAATGAAAATCTAATCAATTTCATTGTACGCTTCTCTCTCAAAATCGCCTCTTGTGTCTCTGAAGTTCGGAAAAAGGACAGGCGAGATATTTCAACCTTGTCCCAGCAATTACCTTCCAGTTATTCCCGCGCCATACTTCAACTATTTGGGTAGGCCTAACAGCCCAGTTGAATGAAGTCACGAGTATCTTAAATCTAAATGTCGTGAGCAGCCTATCATGCTGATTATCTTAAAGTAGGATAAGACATGGATAATTACATGAGTATAAGAATGGGGTGCAGCTAAACTTCATCCAGCTGCTTTAACATCATCGTACTAACTTGATGGTAAGGCAGGTATCCAACCGCTAATAATTTTTAGTCCATTCTGCTCTCCATTGTCGCAGTTCGTCTTCGTTTTGAAACCAAATTTTATGGCTCAAACACGTCAGATCCGCTTTGTTTTTTGCAATTATTTTTGTCTTCGTACGTAGCACTGAGAGTAGTTTGCTTGTGCCATGGCGTTAGTGCAAGGCAAAAAATATGTAAGAAAGCAAATGGAAAAGTGCCGGCCGGAAAACTGAGGAAAACCGCAATAACCACCGGCAGGTAGTAAGTGAAGAATCAATATTTAGTTTTGGTGTCTTGTGGGAGTATGACACAGTTGCACTGAAAGGTTTTCAAAATTAAATTAAGTGCATGTCTATAAACACAATGTTGCGATCTTAGGCCATGTTACTAGTTATCAGCATTTACTCTTGTAAATTTTAAGAATAAGTTTGAAAATCAGCTTACAATACTAAAGTTTTGAGTAGGGTTTTCATACGGTGGTAATAAGAGAGAGGGGATGACATCCTTTTTCCCTCGATAATTTATACTAAAATGAGGGGGAAGGAACTCACCGCCCCACCCCTCCCCCACTAATCCGTCTATTGGTTCAAATGACATCTCTAATAGACAATTGCATGATCATGTCTTTTTACTACAACTCCCAGCATCCTTGTTGTTTTCTGGTGCAAATTAGGACTATTGTTTTTTAAACTTCAGCAGGATTGAGAAATTCAAATAAGATAGCACAAACGAAATGAATTCTGGTAGTTGTAGTCAAATGTTGTCATCGTGAAAATGGCCTGTTGCTGACTTCCTTTGTTTTTGCTACTTACAGGTATTATAAGAGGTGGAAACTGTCATGCGCCTTGTGAACTCAGTGTTTTAGCCGAAACAAGCTATTTGGCGACGTGGGGACAAAGGCAATTAGCTCATTACCAAGAGTTTCAAACATTGATAGTATAACGGAGAGTCTTCACCATTGGACTAAATCCACTATATCCCATTAATGGAAAACAGCACCCGACCCTCGCTAATAAAACACCGCGCTTTGTTCCCGCTAAAAGCAAACGTCACTAAATTTCCACCAATTGGAAACACTTCAACGATGACAGTTGTAGCAAATGCCACGTCGTCTGAATTGTTGAAACACACTTTGTTTCCGCTCAAAGCAAATGTCACCACGTTCCCTCCAATGAGAAACGCTACCGCGATGACAGTCGTAACAAATGTCACCACGACTGAATTCCCGCCAAGTCAAAGCGCACCAAGTTCCACCAATAACGACATCTTTAATGCGATTCTCACCGTTCTTCTGGCCTTTGTTATTATAACTGGGCTGATTGGCAACATCATGGTTATCGTAACAATACGAGGAAAGCGAAGCATGTGGACCCCATGCAATTTCTTCTTGATGAACATTGCTATAGCAGATCTGTTGGTAGCCATTGTTCTAACTCCCCTTCGCACGGCTGAACTATTCAATGGCTGGCCTCTGGGTGAATTCTTATGTCAGTTTTTTGGGCCATTACAAGACGTGATCGTGTGTGTTTCGGTCGTCCTGCACACTTTGATAGCATTCGAAAGGTATCGCGGAATTGTGACACCTTTCAAGCCTAAACTTTCTTTTCGAAAAGCCAAGATAGCCATGGTAGCCATTTGTTGCGCATGCTATGTACTCATCGGATTACCGCTGGCGTTAGTTTTGAAAGAGGTAGAGAGGAAGGGAAATAAACATTGTGTTGCTAATTTCCCTTCTCTGACATTCCGTCAAGTTTTCGAAGTTCACCTTGTGGCGACTTTCATGTTTTTACCATTGGTTGTTCAAACTTCGACTTATATCAAGATTGTTACCGCGATAAGAAAGGAAGACAAGTTGACCCAGACAATTTCAAGAAGCGGAACTGTTGAGCAGAGGAGAAATCAGATCCGGAAAAAAGCACGTTTGGTTAGAATGCTGATTATTCTCGTTGTTGTATTTCAAGTGTGCTTTATTCCGCGTGGAATTTATATGCTAGTAAACGAATTTACCAGTGTAAACTTCAAAAACGAATACCAAGAGAGCCTATTGGTCGCTGGGATAGTCACAATCGTTCTCAACTATTTAAAACACGTCTTAAATCCCTTTATTCTGTTTGCCATGAGCACTGACTTTCGAAAGAACTGCTTTCTTTCTCGCGATTTCTGCCACAAAAAACCGCTGGATTTTGTCTCAAGCATTAAGCATTCCGTTTCTCGGGATTCAAAAAAAGACCAGAAGGAATTGCAGATGTTGAGTGATAATTCACCAGGACGTAGAGAACGTACAAGTATAGAGACTGACGTGTAGACATGCATAGGTGCAGCCAAGTATGTGGGATCTGCAAACAGGAATGGCTATTACATGCACTCGTCATTGGAAACCCCAAACACTAACCCCTGGGGAACATGGGGCATTTGGAATTTTTTATCTCTCGAAACCTACATTTTTATCAAAGGGGCTGTGTCACGGCAGTCCAGTGCATTTTGTTTAAATTTGCCAATTACTCGCCCTCAATCGCTATGGAACTTAAAGTAAGCAAAGAAATTACGTGTAAATGACAAAATCAGAGATCCGAGACAAACAAATATGGCTCCTGAGCATTATTTTTGAAGTTGCAATCAGCAGGGACCAAGTTTGAAAAACTGTTAGGCTCGATGAACAGTTTTCAAAAGCCCTAATATCAATCCGTTTCAATCTTCTTCAGTTTTGCCCATCCGTGGCATCTGTTGTTTCTGTTGTGTAATTTTAACCTTCCTTTAAAGTTTTAAGCGGTTATTTTTATATTTCTCTTAATTTAACGGGCATTTTGTAATTTCCTAATTTGGCTGAATTTCGTGACACAGCTCCTTTAAGCATACAAAAAAGGGCGAAGACAACAAGAATTACAGTATCAGGTATTTGCATGACATTTTCCAGTGACAAGTGCATAAGAAATACTGCATCGCCTCAAACACCAGCGACACCGCTAATCTGGCTGTAGCGGTCCCGTAGCTAACAGCCTGGACTATGAGAGTTCATTACTATTCATGATAATAAAACTACAAATAATCTTGGGCACTTCCCACGGGGAACTCTCTTTTGATAATGACGGGGATTCTGGTGTGAAAATTAGGATTAAACCCCTAAAAGAAACAATACTCCTTCCCTGCATGACGGCATTTATTATTTTCATTTAGGTATTTCTTTGCATAACTCAAAGCAATAACTTTATCGATAAAAATATTGGCTCTCTCTGGTCCTTAGTGAAAATCTTAACTGAGACCACAATCTGCAATATCTACCCCTAGTCAAGACGATCATACTGGCTCGTCAATTTCATATGGGAGTCCCCGGGGCGCGGGGATGGGAAGAAGAATCAGCAAGTCGTCCGTAAGCTCCAGCTTCATAGCTACAACAGAACTGTGAATAATGTCGGACTGACTTCGGTTCACGGTTTCGTCGGTAAGGAATTGATAATCGCTCAAGGCTATCAGAAATTCAGTGGGCAAAAGTAATTTGATTTTCTTACCTGCCGTAAAAAAGATTGCAAGTACGGCTAATCATTTTGTGCTTGTGGTTAAAATGATTAAGTGACTACTAATATCAAGAGAGGATTATGGTAGCGAAAACTGGGGAACAGTAGTAATTACCGAACCCATAATACTCCCTCCATTGCTCTAAACCTGCAAGATATTGAATTAATAGTAGTCTTTTGATGTCAGTCCTAAATAGGTTATTTCCAGTCGGCCAAAGTCTCTCTTTCAAAACGAGGGTAAGTGTGAAATCTTTGATTTGAAAACCAGAAGTTTGTAATTCTTATACAAGTAAAACTCAAAGGTTTTCCATTTGGCCTCATTTTAAAAGTGAGGCCGTTTTAGAATGCTTAACCTATCATTCACATGTGTGGTTGGGGATATTGCATATTTCACGCAAAAACACATACATGACTCAGTCTCGATCAAAACTGACGTTGATAGTGGGATTTAATTTTTCGCTGTCCTTGTCGTGACATTATACTGTTAACAATTCCATATGCGATCTTTTTGATATTTACTTGGTAACAGTTCAGGTGCTGTAATTGTTTAATCAATAAAGCCTTCAGAGACCCGCTTTGTTGGAAAAAATGAGTCAGGGTAAATCCGGGGGGTAAATCTTAAGTCTTTGGACCAGTTATAAACGACACGAAAAAGAAATATTACTACGGCTAAGAGCATACAGGGAAGAGAAATTCCAAGCACTGTCCACAGATAGCCCAGCGTTAGTATAGCCGGAGTACAAACGGCAGAAAACAGCGCACGTGCGTTTCCAAAGCAATTAACAATGAAGCGAACAAATGGCGCAGGATTGGTATTGTACTGAAACAGTAGCAAGGGGTGCGCATATGGAGCAAACTCAAGCTATCAGTAAGCGGGCGTACAAAAGGATCTTAAAATGGCGCCTATATAGTAAGTACAAGACACGCAAACAGCCAACAATCGTTGCGCAAAAGGTGCGTTTATGATGAGTTAAGGGCATAATTGGTGTCATAGTGATGTGCATGTGGTTCACGTATGGTGCGTACCGTGTGCATACATGGGGTGTAAATAGTGCACAAATATCAGTGGTCATGGTACACAAACAGTGCGAACATCATGCGTAATACTGTGATCCTGATGGTACTTATATGGTGCGCAAATAGTGCGTACATCGTGTGTTGTCTAGGCGCAAAAAATGCGTTGTCACGGTAAATAATGCTGGATTTACGCTTATGTTACAAATTGAATTGTTCTACTTTTAAAAGGGAATCCTACACTAAAGTTTAAGTAATGTCAGAACAAGTAACTGTTCTTTAACACGAAGGGCGTCATTTACATAAATGACTTTCACATTTTCCAGTGAAACTAAGAGACAATGCCCTCACATAAGTTAGGTTTCCGGCTTCATCTTGTTTCTTCCTGTTGCTAGACAACCAAGCAAATTAAGGACACCGCCTCTTTAATTCTTATTTTGTCGGCAACTGTAAGTAAGCGGTTGATGAGCCTGATCACGTGGTTATTCAAGTTCTGCCGCAAGTCAAACAGTAACCGCAACTGGCGCGAAATTCCGCACTCGTGGCGAAGATGATAAACGGGTTGATAACATGTTTCAGGTAGTAAATAACTAGAGTTATTGTTATAGCATATTGGAAATTTACGTCGTTTGTTAAAGCAGGACCACCAAATTCAGTCATTATCATGGTGACGATGCGAGGGATGGAACAGAGCTGGAAAGCACCAACAAGCAGAATAAGCATCTTCACTACCCGCACTTTGCTCAGTGCAATTCTAGTCAGATTGGGATTGCTTGATTTGGTTGCATTTCTCAGTTCACGATTGGCTACCTTAACGACGCGTGAGTAGGTGTATGTTTGAATAATTAAAGGTGTTGCTATAAATACAACAACCAGATACACTTCAAAAAGCTGGCGGACCAACGAGGACCATACAGCCTTGCATATTATAAAACCTTTCTGGACTTCTACTTTTAGTACAAAAGCCATTGGGAGGCAGATAGAGACGTAACATAACAGCCAAATGACTACAGTAGCTTGTTTAGTGCGACTGACGGATAACTTCTTCTTAAACGGCTGAACTATGCTACGATATCTCTCCAAGGCAATGACAGTATGTGTAACTACCGAAACACAAACAATTACGTCCTGAAGAGGTGCAACGGTTTTGCAAAGGAAATCTCCAAGTGGCCATCCATGGTACATCTCCACGAAGCGTAACGGGGCGATAATTACAGCCACAAGAAGGTCAGCAACTGCTATGTTCATGAGTAAGTAGTTAGTAGAAGTTCTTTTCTGTTTTTGCCGGTAGGAAATTGCACTATAGACCATTAAATTCCCAAAGAAGCCAATGCATATTACAATAACCAAAAGAACAACGATTATGGTTCTATATTCATCTGTTCCATAGAATATGGGGGGCCGTGGAGTCGAGTTCTTCATCTCCCGTTGAACTGAACAGATCAACTACAGAATTACAATGTACACTTGATTTAAAGGCCGGGAATGAGATGGTGTTACTGCAACAACCTTTTGTGAAACCTGTAGAAATACAAACATAACGTTAAGTCTATGCCTTCGTTATACATTTGTACAGCTCGGGATCTAGCCCACTATGACCCGAACGTGAAAAAAACTACAACAGGGTCGTTTAATAAGCAATTTTTTTCTTTCTCTTTCTGAACTTTAAATGCGCTCCCTAAGCATTCAGCTCTAGGAAATGATTTGCCTGAACTTGGACAACTGAGCGAGTTAATAGCGTATAACTAAAATAGGAAGCGAAGTTACCTCATAAGTAACGTTTTCTATGCAGTGCCCGTCATGTCGTACAATCAATCGTTAAAGTATGTTTCTATAATACAAAGATCTCATTTTTGTTGACCAATTGATTTAATCTGTAATTGCTAAATACTGAGTACGGGAAACTTTGATACTGAGCCCAAACTTCTAGGAAGAGACAGATTAAGGTTGCTCCGTCATTAATACAGGAGCATTCGCGATGGCTGCGCAATTTTGTAAAGAACAACAGAAGCCATTCGGCAATAATGTCAATAATATGAAATATTCCGATTTCATTGTTGGTAAATATTTTAAAGGATAAAAACTGACTTTTTACTCTTACCTGATTTGCTTCGAAATTAGTTAAACTAAAACTCAGTGATAAATTAGATGCTTGCTCACGATCTCTCTATACTAACAAATGTAAACCCTGTGTTTTCTTATTCTTAAAACGCAAATAACACGAATACGTGCAATGATTGTCACATAAGTGTCAAAACTGCGTCAAAAAATTCTGATTTCGACAATAACCTAATATGTTATACGTTCTTAGATAAAGAATTGTCCGGGCGATCAATATTGAAACATTCGCTACCATGAGGTAAGTAAGTGAAATCCTTATAATTTTTAAATAAGCTACTTGCGCGGTGACATTCTGTCGAAAGGTGAGTAAAATATCCTGGCGACAATGCAAATTAAAATTAAAACTGAACGACTGTATATCATCAGCTGTATCATACATTCATCTTAACTTGTAGAAAGTTACCAGGATCCTATTAGCCCTGAAGCTGCTTGAGTCATACGGCAAAAACAGTGATCATTTCGGGAAAGTTATCTTTCAGCTATTACATAAAATATTTTGACTGTTGTTTTACCGGTTTTGGTTAAAACATGATTGTAGAAGGCCTTATAATGAAAATTCTCACGCAACCCGTTAGTGTTCAACATAAAATAAATTGCGACAAAAAGTTCGAAAATAATAAAACCAAACAACAACACAGAGGAAAGGTTGCGGTTAAAT